CCGTATGTTTCTTTACGACCAAAAATTTCGTAAAAGTAGGTCTTTTTTCGAGGAAACACGGTAACACTACCAAAACGATGTATACGGTCAGGCACATTGTGGTACAAACCAAAAATGACACTGATATCCTAAAGAAATGAATACGGATAACACAGACTATATAAAGTGGATAAAGTAAAGCACGTCACTGCCCTCGTCTGGGGGGGGGGGGGGGGAAACAAGACACATTATAACTGACGTAGCTGTATGGGAAAGTCAGTAGAAGTATCTGAGGGAAGCTGCTGTAGCAGAGGACTCAGCAGCACGGAATGCCCAATACGCCGTGATGTCGGTCGTAATATAACATAACATATAAAGAATACTCTCAACTAAGTTCCTAGTACTAAACTGTTCAACTTATATGTTTTGTAGCATCAGTTCCATTAGTGTTAACTACTATTTACTCAGATGTATTAACTTTCCATCTTTTGTTTCGTGATAGTAAAATTATGAACAACATATCAATAGTTCAATTAAACATATCTACCGTATTAGCTAGTACACATTTCAGAACTTTTTTAACAAACTTCAGCACAAACGTCGTGTATATTTTAACCACAGTGAACTGCAATGAAAGTCACACATTACTTGAGAGATGAACTGAAGTTAAGCGAAGAAGTTCACAACCTACAATCTCAGACTTCAGCCGACCACGCTAACCGTGCCAATAGCGACTGCATCTGGCGTCAGCTCAGGTAGAACCATGAATCAAATTTCAGTCTGCAGGTACGGCAGGTAAAAACATACTGTGGGTTAGATATTCTCAGAATGTCTTGGGGAAATGCTACAATGTGGAATAGAGTGGTTTAAAAGTTCGTAGTACCCCCCCCCCCCCCCCCGAACTACCATCACCACATGACGTGGGCGTTGTTGTTAGCGCCGTAAACTCAAGCATAAAATCCTGGTTATTCATCCATGTTTGGACTTAAGTCTTCTTTCAGCACTTGAGTGCTGCACACACATCCATGTCTGGACTTAAGTCTTCTTTCAGCACTTGAGTGTTACACACACATCCATGTCAGGACTTAAGTCTTCTTTCAGCACTTGAGTGTTGCACACACATCCATGTCCGGACTTAAGTCTTCTTTCAGCACTTGAGTGTTGCACACACATCCATGTCAGGACTTTAAAGTCTTCTTTCAGCACTTGAGTGTTGCACACACATCCATGTCCGGACTTAAGTCTTCTTTCAGCACTTGAGTGTTGCACACACATCCATGTCAGGACTTTAAAGTCTTCTTTCAGCACTTAAGTGTGGCACACACATCCATGTCAGGACTTAAGTCTTCTTTCAGCACTTGAGTGTTGCACACATATGCATGTTACATATCAAGCTATTTTTGTGTAGACTGTTGGTAGTTCCCAGCTTCTCGTGTAGATACATCCTAGCTTCGGAGGGAATTGTTGGTAGTTCCCAGCTTCTCATGTAGATACATCTCAGCTTCGGAAAGAATTGTTGGTAGTTCCCAGCTTCTCATGTAGATACATCCCAGCTTCGGAAAGAATTGTTGGTAGTTCCCAGCTTCTCATGTAGATACATCCCAGCTTCGGAAAGAATTGTTGGTAGTTCCCAGCTTCTCATGTAGACACATCCCAGCTTCGGAAAGAATTGTTGGTAGTTCCCAGCTTCTCATGTATATAAATCCCAGCTTCTGAAAGAATTGTTGGTAGTTCCCAGCTTCTCATGTAGATACATCCCAGCTTTGGAGGGAATTGTTGGTAGTTCCCAGCTTCTCATGTAGATACATCCCAGCTTTGGAGGGAATTGTTGGTAGTTCCCAGCTTCTCATGTAGATACATCTCAGCTTTGGAGGGAATTGTTGGTAGTTCCCAGCTTCTCATGTAGACACATCCCAGCTTCGGAGAGAATTGTTGGTAGTTCCCAGCTTCTCATGTAGACACATCCCAGCTTCGGAGAGAATTGTTGGTAGTTCCCAGCATCTCATGTAGACACATCCCAGCTTCAGAGAGAATTGTTGGTAGTTCCAAGCTTCTCATGTAGACACATCCCAGCTTCGGAAAGAATTGTTGGTAGTTCCCAGCTTCTCATGTAGATACATCCCAGCTTCAGAGAGAATTTTTGGTAGTTCCCAGCTTCTCATGTAGATACATCCCAGCTTCAGAGAGAATTGTTGGTAGTTCCCAGCTTCTCATGTAGATACATCCCAGCTTCAGAGAGAATTGTTGGTAGTTCCCAGCTTCTCATGTAGATACATCCCAGCTTCAGAGAGAATTGTTGGTAGTTCCCAGCTTTTCATGTAGATACATCCCAGCTTCAGAGAGAATTGTTGGTAGTTCCCAGCTTCTCATGTAGATACATCCCAGCTTCAGAGAGCATTGTTGGTAGTTCCCAGCTTCTCATGTAGATACATCCTAGCTTTGGAGGGAATTGTTGGTAGTTCCCAGCTTCTCATGTAGATACATCCCAGCTTCGTATGGAACATTAATCTTATATACATTGTCCAGATCAATGCCCTCAGAGAAATGGGAAGAATAGAGGACTTTGGTGGCAGTGAATCCACATCACTCGCCAGAATGGCAGACTTGGGAATTAAGATCGGCACAGCAAAAAACGAGACGCACACCAGCTAAGCCAGAAGACTTGTTAATCAACATAGAACTGGTACTATTAGCCATCGGACGTTGGGGTTCATACTGAGGGGAGGATCTGAGCACCTATGGACATGTCCGGAGTGCAATGAGGATAACCCAACTAACTAACTAACTAACTAACTAACTAACTAACTAACTAACTAACTAACTAACTAACTAACTAACTAACTAACTAACTAACTAACTAACTAACTAACTAACTAACTAACTAACTAACTAACTAACGTTGTCCAGGCCTCTAATGGAGAACACGTTTCTAGAATAACCGCGTTTTTAAAATTTTGAATTAGGAATCGACATTACGGCACTCGGGACACTCCTAAAAGAGCTCTGTCCCTGTATTCAGAAACAAGCGAAGAGTTTCTATTCCGATTTCACCAGTAACTGTTTGATTGTATGTTCGCCTCGCCTTTCCCTTGAGTGTTGAGCGTCAGCCAGATCCCCTGGAAACTGCTCGCAGCGCCATTCTCCTCAGACGGTAATGATTTATTTATGCAATCGCACTGTTCACTCGCTCCCAAAGCAGCCTACACAAAATCTAGCTTGTTACACAATTCATCACCAAAATACGCACAACCGGCCATCTATATGCCTGCTCGTTTCGTAACAAATTGGCATGACATGAAAAAAACATCCAAAGAACACTAACCTTCCTTCTTCCTTCGCATTCACAGGCTATATACTCCTGCAGAAAGTTCTAGTTGTTCGTCCACCTCTGGACTTTAGTTCTGTCCTAGAACATGACTGTTGTGTGCACACCCGTTTTACAAATCTGACTATGTGTATGCAGATTGTTGGTTCCTTGCCTCTTAGGCAGATGCACTTAGACTAAAGGAAACCGCCATTTAGTAGACTCTTACGACATGCTTGTTGGGGAGGCAGTGTGTATATCCTTGTTGTACCCAGAATGGGGCCCCGAAACCCACACAGGGAAGTACGCTAACTACCCGATTTCTTGCCACTCTGCCTGCCTCCACGTTTTTCAACATGCTCTGTGAGTCAGTTACAGTTACGTCACCAGTGTAAATGTAGATGACCACGTAGAGATGTAGACAGGTCTTGACAAGTTTGAACCCCTGGCTTGATGACCACCCTGGCCAAGCCTCTAGTTGTGAATATGTTTCTGTGGTGACCACTAAATCAAAACCCTCTCCTGATAGATCTAACATGATCTCAAAATTTCCTTCCTAACAATTTGACAGTTTTCAAAAACGGTCATTGTCACTGTAACACCCGTCGCTGGGATCTAGACACGCGAAAAGGCATCAGCGAGAACCACAAACTAGTATATAAGCGAGACCATAACCTCAAAGACACTCGTCAGAAGCAGATTTCATCCTAAGAACACGACACTTTTGTTCCCCAGTACTCCAGAATCTTCCCGAACTAGATACAAAACATCCCAATTTATAATTCACATCTCTTCTTATCGCTTTCCGAAAGGTTTTATTCAAATAGTGAAGCATTTACTTCTAAAACTTGCAATCTTTTTATGCCATAATGTACTGGGAAATTCAGCAGAAAGTTAGCAGATCATTTTGATGAGCTTCTTGTGCATGTGGCTCTTTAAACACCCTCACTTCATTTTTAGTTATGAGCAAAACGAAATCGACATCTCAACGACTGCCATTAAATCTTGCTCCGGTGATCACACTAACCGCCTCTCTTTGGAAATCGCGTCGTCAAAATGCTGGTGGTCTCAGTCGTGCAAGAATCAACAGTGAAAAACTCATATCTTTACAATTCACAGTTTGATGGAGCAAATGGATTACCATAGTCTGGTGAGATTGATGCAGCGGGGAGGGACGAGGGGTTCTAGCCGATACTCGTCTCTCAAAGGAAAGGCAAAACGGACGTATAATCAGAATGCTACTGGCGCCGTTGGTATTGGAACTATGCGCTAGCTGCTAAAAATGGGGACGGAGCCTCTTTGGGGAAAATGCCCTGAGTGCTGTAAAGTCAGTTCTTGTATCAACTCAACTCATATCTTTAACGACCAATCGGCGCTCGGTGATGATGAGGTGAATACCACTACGACCACCTTTACTTCCCAGGACATTACCTGGTACCCATTTTTGGCTAGGTCTGCCATTTACTGCTTTTATTTCCACTTTTGCGGTGTAAGCAGGGTGTCATTCAGCCCGGATCGACCACCAACATATTTAATACATTTATTTATCTGTTATTTCGCTCCGTATTCACATCGAGGATTCTAGTCCACGTTTTAGAGTTGCATTAAAAAGTAGTATCTTCCGGTTGGCGAAATTGATTTATCAACATGTGTTGATATCAGAAAAGGCGTGAAATTGTGTTTACCAAAGATATACTGTAATTTTTGCACTTGAAATATGGAGGAATCAGATATGAAGAAGGGCCACAGGGCTCGCCATTCTGGACCTAAGGCAGAGAAAAAGAAAGCTAAAAATAAACATGAACAGAACCTGACTGCGAGACAACGGAATCCTCGAGCATTTGCTATCCAGTCTGTCAACAAAGCGGCGAAAGCTTTTCGAAGGTAAGTAGTAGTAAATTGTAAACTCTCCATTTAGTATGTAATGATAAATTAGATTATACCGAGTATTTAAAAAGAGGACCGCTGCTTTTGGAATAGTAGTCTCTAAATCGTGTTATCCTAAAATAGGCGAAACTCGAAACTGACGAAACAAACTCCTGTCAGTGTCAGGTCAACCTCGCATTAAATCATATCATATAAATGAATTTGGGCTCTCCTCCGAACTTCTACCCCCCGCATTATGGCGGCCTGAAATATCCGTTCAGGGCTCAGTACAATGAAAAATGCGGACTTTCTGCCAAGGAACAAATCGCAGCAAAACTAGGATTACTTGTCGATTTCAAGAGACGCAACATTTAGCGACTACAGTTTCGACATTTTGCGGTCTTTTTGGCAATTTCCCTTACTATGGAAACCGTTCGAAAACTTGTTTGAGAAATGTCGGCTGGGGTTTCGGGATGGGTCCTAATCTCTCATGAAATTTTGCGATTGGTGTGATTTTCACCAGCTATAAACAGCTGAAAACGGCGGGAACGGACCTGATTAACAGCGCATGTCTACAACAGCCGGACGTCCTCTGTTTTTCTGTTATATCAGTTTGATTGAAAATAGCGATAAGTATTCAAAGTTGGCTTTAGGCTTTAACTGTTACCAAACATGGTAATGCTAGTTATAATTGAATTCTCCGTCCAATTTTACATTTGTGTATAAAATTTCTTTCTTGTCCGTGGCTAGTTAGATGTAGTGATGTACAGTGACATTTTTCAGGCAATCGCTATTATGTGACTGTGTCTGAGAAAAATTGTCTGCCATCTTGTCCAATGAAAACAAAGCCAAAACGAAAGTTGCGCAGAGAAAACTTCTTGTTTCTCAGACACAAGTTTTAGCAGCTGTTTTTTACACATCTCCACAAAAACCTACATATCTCAGCTCAGAAATGACATACAAGGCTAAATGGGGTACCATTGGAAAGAGATTGTTTACAGCTATCTAACTGAGCTGGTTTTATTGGTGATGGGGGCATTTTAAAAATTTGACTAAAGTACCTACATAAAAGCAACCGGTGACAATGTTGAGCATTTCTACAGACGATGAAAGCGATATGGTGGGTAGACCACGCGCTCCCACGCAGATTAGCAATACTGTTCTTCCGATTGAGGATTTAGCAGCGGGAGATGTCAGACTTGGCATGAGCAAAATGCGATTAAACTCACCGCCGAGCGCATCACCCTCGCCGCTATGCGCGGATGGGGGGCTAAACTAGGTGCCTGGGACTCACGAGCAAAGTAATTGGGAGGAAATTGCAGTAGCTGCATCTAGTTTAGCCCCTATCCGTGCCGCACATAGCGGCGTGGGGGATATGCTCTGCGGTGGGGCATAGTCACAGAACAAGGTCCGCAAGTAACATATCGCTGAGACCCTGTAAGAGCATTTTTTTTCCGAGCCGATCCTAGATTTGCCGCGATTTACAATTGTTTGTCGGCACAAAGTCCAACAAGTCCGCATTTTACATTTTTGTTCCTCGGCAGAAAGTCCGACAGTGGAAAGTGTCAACGGTCGCTGTTATCGTCGTCTGCTAATATCGTCTGCAGTGTTGCATCTCTTAGAATTGTCAGGTAATCAGAAACAATAAGAAACAGGTCCACAAGTAACATATCGCTGAGATCCTGTTAGAGCATTTGTTTCGTTATACGGAGCCGGCATATTTTTAGTAGAACTGAGCCCCGAACGGATATTTCAGGCCGCCATAATGCGGGGGTAGAAGTTTGGAGGAGAGCCTGAATTTGAATTATTGAAAATTGTCTACAGGGTCAGATAACACGATGATGATATTGATATCATCACTCATATAGCATTTAGTCTATACACAATTTCCTAGCTAAGCATGTCGTATTCAGTATGCATAAGGCTAGCAGTAGTGTCAGTGAACTGTCAGTGTCATAGGTATTTTCATTACAATAAAGAATGAATTTGATATAATTATAATTTTAAAAAAATCAGACTATGTGAGTGAAAAACTATGTTGGATAGATACAGCTAATGTAATTGATAATTGTTTCTGAATGCCTGTGTGAATATTATTGGAAATATAATTGGATATGGTGTAGTGGTGGCAGTGCTAAAGAAATTTTTAAAGAAAAAAGCAGTTGCAATAATGTGTTTGGTAATCTAACCTGGCTGCAAACCAATACACATTGATCAGATTGTAGTCCCTAACCCTAAACAAAAATAAGTTGCATATCCTTCACAGAATGTTGCAGGGCCATCCTCATCCAAATCATGTTTTTGCGCTGTTTTGGTTGTACTAGGTTACTTAGTTCCTAGAAATTTTACATTCAGTTATTTCGCCATTGCTTTCTGAACAGTTAGCTGTAGACACCCTTATCATAATCAACCTAAAGCATTCTCATTCTGCTGCCAAATAGTCCGCAGCTGGAATCTAATCAGGTGTCTCATAATTATGAAGCACGTTCACAATGTGACAATACCTGATCCGCAGACATTGACTAAACAAGCACTTATCTATAGGATAGGCCAAGTGGACATAGACTCTTAGAGGCTGACCATGTAAATTGTTGACAGAGGGAATAATTAATAGACCCTGGAAAAGTCCTTATAAAAAGCACAGAGCTGGACACTCTCACTGTTTATATACTTCATCTCAACACTGCATTATACAGGCGGAACAAGATCTCTTTTTCTCTTAGTCTTAGCATTTACTGGCTGTGAACTCTGGTAGACAATTCTTGCTGTTTATCCACTTTCAAAGCTGAACCAACAGTCTGCAGATAAGCGAAATACATTAAATAGCTGTGCACACACTCTGTGATCATTCTAGAAGCAAGTTTCTAACCAATGGCTGGACCAACTTTGATGTGCACTATATGTCTGCTTCAGCACCTCTGCATTCTAAAGAGCAAGATGGGATCATATAAATTATAATAATAATAATTAATTATTCTACGTCACATCAAAAACATATATAGAGCAAAATATGTAAATGTCAAATCGTAAGTTTCTTTCATAAGCTTTACATATAGCATTTCACATCCAATTGAAAGGTGCAGTATGAAGCACATAAACCATATATCCAACAATTTGCAGGACTGCAGACATCAAAACAAAGAAGCAACATATCCCCAAAGTTGATCGTTCTCCAACAGAACCACCTCCGATTGTTGTAGCCATAGTGGGCCCCCCAAAAGTTGGCAAGTCGACTTTGTTAAGATGTCTGGTTAAAAACTTCACAAAACAAAAACTGACCAATGTTCAAGGACCAGTGACAGTTGTTGCAGGTATGTTTGTTTCGTTTATTGTGTACAAAGTGTATTTGCTGTCATCTGACAGTTTGAAGTCAATTTTATGTCAATCTTTTATTTCCCGAAGGGCAATTGTTGGTATAGTCATCATCGTTAATTTCCACTTTTGTCATTATGTGACATGGAAACAGTTTATAATCCATTGCTTGGTTGTTAGCAATGGCTATTGCAATTCCATGCCATTTCACGCCAGTGTAGAAGTATTTAATGTCGTCGCTTCATATTCTCCTAGTTTTGACATCAGATCTTATCATATATAGCCCCTGGGTTGCTAGTTTTATGGCTGCATTCTGATGGGATGACCAGACAATTTGATTTTCTACTTCTCTTTGAATTTCATGCACGATGTTGTTCACACAGACTGTCTGATAGTATCATATTTTGTCTCGGATGATTAAGCTGGTCGCTTTCCTCAGGCATCTCATTTTATGTTGGCTAACCTTTGATAATGTGTTCGGCATTGGAAGCACAGTGTTGGTATGAATATGCCTATTGTAATGTTTTTTTGTGGTCATACTTATGTTTGTTGTCATATTATGATGAGCAAATTAAGTTGTTTACTAACTGACACTCATAGATGTAGAAGAAAAAAGTACATGACATTACCTAATCTGTTCTCCATGCTATTTAATTGGCCTCAAGGGTTCTTCAGCATTTTATGGGTATTCAATGTTGGTATGTTCATTTATCTACTCAGCTTATGTTTTCAAATAAATGTCCTGTACGTATACACATTCCCCCACCGCCCCCACCTAGACTGTATAACTACCTTTGTATATTCTTACTACCGGCGGATAAAGTAGATTTGTGCAGGAAGGGCTAAAAGACAACTGAGCCTTAAAAGTCACTTTACAAATCATATGAAGCCTTTGTTCGAGTGGTTTGTCTCATTAAATAATTTAGAGAATGTAAAATAAAAAAAAACATTATTCATTGCTATAACTGTTATGGATTAGTTTAGGTATCTTCTGCACTTTGTTTCCCACTAAAGCATAATACCTCAGCCAAGTCCTGTTCTTTGCTGTTGTATGCAGCTCCCTCTTGTCCTTTGCTGTTGTATGCAATTCACCCATGTCCTTTGCTGTTGTATGCAGCTCACCCATGTCCTTTGCTGTTGCATGCAGCTCACCCATGTCCTTGCTGTTGCATGCAGCTCACCCATGTCCTTGCTGTTGCATGCAGCTCACCCATGTCCTTGCTGTTGCATGCAGCTCACCCATGTCCTTTGCTGTTGCATGCAGCTCACCCATGTCCTTTGCTGTTGTATGCAGCTCACCCATGTCCTTGCTGTTGTATGCAGCTGCCCTATGTCCTTTGCTGATGCATGCAGCTGCCCTATGTCCTTTGCTGTTGCATGCAGCTGCCCTATGTCCTTTGCTGTTGCATGCAGTTCACCTCGTGTCCTTGCTGTTGCATGCAGCTCACCCCGTGTCCTTGCTGTTGCATGCAGCTCACCCCGTGTCCTTGCTGTTGCATGCAGCTCACCCCATGTCCTTTCTGTTGCATGCAGTTCACCCCTTGTCCTTTCTGTTGCATGCAGTTCACCCCTTGTCCTTTCTGTTGTATGCAGCTCCCCCTTGTCCTTGCTGTTGTATGCAGCTCACCCATGTCCTTGCTGTTGTATGCAGCTCACCCATGTCCTTGCTGTTGCATGCAGCTCCACCATGTTCTTGCTGTTGCATGCAGCTCACCCTTGTCCTTTGCTGTTGTATGCAGCTCACCCATGTCCTTTGCTGTTGTATGCAGCTCCACCCATGTCCTTGCTCTTGTATGCAGCCCACCCATGTCCTTGCTGTTGTATGCAGCTCCTCCATGTCCTTGCTCTTGTATGCAGCCCACCCATGTCCTTGCTGTTGCATGCAGCTCCACCCATGTCCTTGCTGTTGTATGCAGCTCACCCATGTCCTTGCTGTTGCATGCAGCTCCACCCATGTCCTTGCTGTTGTATGCAGCTCACCCATGTCCTTGCTGTTGTATGCAGCTCCACCTATGTCCTTGATGTTGTATGCAGCTCACCCATGTCCTTGCTGTTGCATGCAGCTCCACCCATGTCCTTGCTGTTGCATGCAGCTCACCCATGTCCTTTGCTGTTGTATGCAGCTCCACCCATGTTCTTGTTAATGTATGCAGCTCACCCATGTCCTTGCTGTTGTATGCAGCTCCAACCATGTCCTTGCTGTTGTATGCAGCCCACCCATGTCCTTGCTCTTGTATGCAGCTCACCCCATGTCCTCCCCATCTTGATAAACTCGCTCTCTAGTTCACTGTGTGTGTTTTTTGGTCTGCCTTTATTTTTATGCTTCTGTCAGTTCTAGTGTAAAACCCTTCTAGTTATATTCTTCCAATGTTGTCTTACCGTTTATCTTTTCCAATACCAGCGTCTTTTCTTCACCTGTTGATTCGTTGGAATTTATTTTGTGTTTATCATATCGAACTATTTGTTTCAGGTAAAAACAGACGGCTAACATTCATTGAATGTAATAATGACATCAACTGCATGATTGACATCGGAAAAATTGCTGATTTGGTATGTTTCTTTTCTATGAGCTGCAATGTTTGTTTGTGTCAAATGACCTGCAGTATCAGATAGTGATACAGCCTGTTAGCATTAAAGACAGTTGCGGTTTAGTTTATCTATCTTTACTAACTGAGGTGAGCAAGGGAGTTCCAAAGGGCTAAGATTACTGATCTAATATGACATATGGGTATACAGTCCATTAAAGCTTCAGAATGTTGCTGATAGCATGCTGTCTTATCTTTTGTTATCAAAAGTGGGGGGGGGGGGGGGGGGGGTGGTGGCTGCATTCAGGCTATAGAGAACTAAATAATTACAAGTTATTTTATGACCAAGAAGGAAAAGAAAGACAAAACAGATGCAGCTAAACATGTTGACCAAAGTCTTTTTCATTGTATGAAATAACCTTGACCCTAAACCTGTAGATGCTTGCACTTATGGATGCTGTACTTGTGGATGCTTGCACTTATGGATGCTATACCTGTGGATGCTTGCACTTATGGATGCTGTACCTGTGGATGCTTGCACTTATGGATGCTGTACCTGTGGATGCTTGCATTTATGAATGCTGTACCTGTGGATGCTTGCACTTGTGGATGCTTGCACTTATGAATGCTGTACCTGTGGATGCTTGCACTTATGGATGCTGTACCTGTGTATGCTTGCACTTATGGATGCTGTACCTGTGGATGCTTACACTTGTGGATGCTGTACCTGTGGATGCTCGCACTTATGGATGCTGTACCTGTGAATGCTTGCACTTATGAATGCTGTACCTGTGGATGCTTGCACTTATGGATGCTGTACCTGTGAATGCTTGCACTTATGAATGCTGTACCTGTTGATGCTTGCACTTATGGATGCTGTACCTGTGGATGCTTACTTATATAGTTGATCTTGTCTTTTTAGCGTTTACCAGCTGTAAACTCCAGTGAAACTTTTGGTTGTTCATTTGCTTCTGGAATTTGGTCTTCTCCCAGAACTTGAGTTTCATATGCCCATCTGTGTTACAGAATTGGCTTAATTGTGTGCAAACTTTTGGTTTCTCACCGCTCAGACATATTCAGGATGAAACACCCCTTATTAGTCATCTTCTACAACATGCTTGCTAGAAAGCGGTGGGTCTGTTTCCCCCCCCCCCACCCCCCTTTTCGGGCAGGCCCCAAAACCCATGCAGCAACTCAAGTTGATTAAAAAATCTTCTTCTTCAGCATTCCGAGCTCTTGAGCTTCATTGCTGCAGATATCACCCGCCTTTATTCATCTCTCTGGTTGGCCTTCTCTTTCCAGTTGGTAACACCAAGTGATTATAAAAGCAAGTGGTTTTTGTGTGTGTGAAGTTGGGCTTGTCCTGTTGCAGGATCTGCTGGTTTTTGTTGGATAAAACTGGCCTTTATTTTTTGTTGCAGGCTCTGCTGATGGTTGATGCTAAACAAGGCTTTGAGATGGAAATTTTTGAGTTCTTCAACATTTGCCAGGCCACTGGCTTCCCACGCTGCATGGGTGTCCTCAACCACCTGGACCTGTACAAAGATGGCAAAGCGGTCCGCAAGCGCAAGAAGCAGCTGAAGAACAGATTTGAAATCGAGTTATATAAGGTATGTGTGTGGCTTGACAGTTGGAGATATTGGAATGAAGGTAGGCTCATTGTCTAGACGTGGACGATAGCACTCTCGGCAGACTCATGATGCTATAGAGACAATGGTTATCTGGGCAGACATATGTCACTGTGTGGTGCCTGGTGGCATAAAGACTAGGACCACTGCCCTCTCAGCATGTCCTAAAAGGCGACTAAGAGGGGTTGGACATGGGGCCAGCAACCCCACAATGTAAAAAAAATAACCACGACAGAAACAGAGACAAACAGAAATAATACCGATGGAGATCCTGATGCTATAGATGTAGGTGACATGATGAAGGGCTGAAGGTGGGGGGGGGGGGGGGAGACTCTGTCCTGACAACCTGCCTCTTGGTGCCCCGGAACATAATTCATCTTGCCTGTTGGAATGTCAGAATGATGTAGGAAGCAGTCAGATTCGCAGATAAGAAGGAACGGCAGTATGGCTGCATATGATATGGGCAGACATGTGGCAGTATGTCTGCACATGTTTTGGGCAGATATATGGGTCTATGGGCAGATATATGGGTCAATATGCAGATATATGGTGCTTTGGGCGGACATGAGATTTGGCAGTATACGCACACACATGCATATGTCTGAAAAAGTATATAATTTCAAATCAGCTGCAAGCATCATGAAAAGATCACAAATGACAAGTGAAGTTGCAATTAGAAAGCCTTCTTCAGAACTTTACATTAATCTACAATAGCACAAATACAAACAGGAATACACACAATCACATACCTGGGGTATCTCAGATAGGAATCTCATTTCTGTCTGCCAGTAGAATAACTGACACCAGTGTGGCCCCCAAAATAAATACTGACCATGTGTTTTCCAGGGTCCCATTTGGGAGAGAGAGAAAATGGACCCACTGCCCTGTAACATTCCTATTGTAATAGACGATTAATTAAGAGTTTGCTGAAATGGCGTGTAGGGGGTCAGAAGGCATATATATCACAGCCTAGCTGTAAAACAAAAAAGTGGCTGAGGGTTTTTTGCCATATGTACACTTGTCTAGTCCTGTTCAGTAGGTAAGAATGGACACATAAAAATTCTTTACTATTGTGTTGTTTTCAGGGCGCTCGTTTGTTCTACTTGTCTATGCTGGTAAATGGAGAATACCTGGCCAATGAGGTTCATAATTTGTGCCGATTTATCTCGGTGATGAAGATGATTCCACTGATCTGGAGAGCTTCACATCCTTATGTTCTGGCCGACAGGTAATGTTGACATTGTCCCTGTCATGTTATTTGTTAGTGTATCTCTGAGCATATAGTTAGTGTTGTAGCTAATTTGGGTTCATTGTTGCTGTTTTCACCCAGCTCTGTTAGCATCTGTGTATGGCCCTCTTTTTCCTATTGGTGTCTCCAAGTGTATATGGGTCTGCTTAGAGGTTTTAGGGATTTTTTTAATTTCTCCCTGTGTGGGTTCCGGGGCTCTATTGTAAAGAAAACGAGAATAGACCCACTGCCTTCCTAACAAGCATGTCATAAGAGCTGACTAATTGGGGGCTTCTTTCAAAGTCGGCGTGCATCTGCTTGAGAGGCAGGTCCACAGGTGAACAAACAACCAGATCTTTCTGGCGGAGTTTACAGTAAGTGTACGCAAGGAAGTGGACAAATTTTATATTGGTGACTGTGACTTGTTTTTTTTTTTTTCATCTTTGCAGTTTTATAATCCCAGCATATTCAGCTGCAGATAACTCAGCTTTTTATTGATTTCAACAATGGTACATTTAGACTGCAGTAGCAAACTACAAAATTTAAAGTTGCTAGTAAAAACCACAAAGCAGTCTACAAAGATGGTTGGTTTGCACATCTTTTAAAGGGATATAACCTAATGTCGCTTCATTGAATAGCTCAGTGCTTAATGCCCTTGTGTTCTCACTTAGATTACCTGAACCATGAGCAGGGTGCAAACATTTCACGGATACCTTGACACTAGTGAGGGTCCTAGTGTATATTCAAGAATGTGTTTTCATGTTGGAACATTTTTCTTATGTTGTCTATTCCCCACAGGAATTATTGTATGGCCCACTCTTTGCGAGTAAATGTTGTTCATGAGCAGTAAAAATTATACTATATGATATCGTTCTAGTCATCCCCATGTGGGATGCAATTTTTCGTTATTTAAAGCCCCACCCTGGCTCTTGCCAAGTGCCATAAATATGGCCTTACAGCTGAATGGGTTTCTGGGACCTATCCACGGGTGATCCTCATTCGCATGGTTGCACCTTGTGTCACCGGATGTTTATTGCTTGTGTGATGTCCTGATGGGGTGCAACTTAGGATAGAATAAGCCGTAACGCTGAAGATTAATGTGACACCCATGATTTTTTAGTGGTTCTGGGTCCCCATTTGGGGAGAAACAGAATAGACTCACTGCCTCACTTACAAGCATGATGTCAAAGGTGACTAGTAATGGGTGTAAAAAGTGAATGTAATGCAAAACTCAAGATCTGGGTTGGGACCAAAGTCCAGAACTTTTAACTTGAGTTTACAGCCGATGAATGCTAAGAAGAAGGAGTGGACCGTTGATCAGCATTTAAGATGTGATATTGATGTTTATGTTTATTATTTAAGCTCCATACTCCCTTCACTTCCTTGACACTGTCAGTTTTAAGACCACTGCTGGTTTATATTTTCCTGCACATGGTCAGAAGCCTTGGGGCTTCCTAAAGTTGGCATTGATATCACGTTTGAACTTAATCTACAATCTCTACTCAGTATTAGTGTATATCAATTCCCAGTAAACCTATTTAAATGCCAACATGTTAAAAAGGGAAATCACTATTGAAATTTCCAACAATTATCAACTCGCTTCTTTACTAATTCCTCAACCAGCTGCATCTTGATGAAGAAACTATATGATGGTGAAGAGTAGACAAAACTATGATAGTGAAGAGTAGACAGAACTATATGATGGTGAAGAGAAGACAGAACTATATGATAGTGAAGAGTAGACAGAACTATATGATGGTGAAGAGTAGACAGAACTATATGATAGTGAAGAGTAGACAGAACTATATGATGGTGAAGAGAAGACAGAACTATATGATAGTGAAGAGTAGACAGAACTATATGATGGTGAAGAGTAGACAGAACTATATGATGGTGAAGAGTAGACAGAACTATATGATGGTGAAGAGAAGACAGAACTATATGATGGTGAAGAGTAGACAGAACTATATGATGGTGAAGAGTTGACAGAAATACAGAACTATATGATGGTGAAGAGTAGACAGAAATACAGAACTATATGATAGTGAAGAGTAGACAAAACTATATGATTGTGAGGGTAGACAACTGTGAAAAAACAACGATTTTAAAGTCTTTATGATCACAGTCTTCATTTCCATGCAGAAATGTTTTGTTTGGTGCAGAAATGTGAAATTTCAAATCAGTGCTTTTTTTTAAATTTTCAGAATGGAGGACATTACGAACCCTGAAAATATCAGACAGAATCCCAAGTGTGACCGCACGGTTAGTTTATATGGTTATATGAGAGGCACACATATGAAATCCAAATCTATGGTGCATATTGCAGGTAAGTGTCTGTGTTTGTGGTTAATAAACTGTGTTTTGTGGCTGTTTTAGTATTGCGGTTAACAAAGTTTATGGTGCGCATGCATTACTTGCTTTTCTAAATCAGAAGTGAGTCTTTAACCTTGTGATTGCATGAATGGAGCATGGTAAGACAAGCTGCCATGATGAGATTTCTCATCCCTTGTTACTGCCAGCCATCCTTGGTTCTTATTGTCTCTTACCAGTTTTTAGCCGTAGTATATTTCTTATTCCCCAGAGGATCCCTAAGTGGGTTCTGGGGCCTCATTGTTGGGGAAAAATAATAGACCCACTGCCTCTGTAACAAGCATGTTATAAGAGTCTACTAATTAGGGCTTTCTTTAAAGTAAGAGTGCATCTGTCTGAAAGGCAAGGACCCAACATTCTGCATATAAATGAGCCAGATCAGTAAAATGGATGTGCGTGCAAAACTCAAGTTCTGGAACAAAATTAAACTCCAGAAGTTAAAAAACAACTAAAGCTTTTAGCCGGTGAAGGCAAAGAAGAAGGTTCTCCCTGAAGAACTTTCTTCTGCTTTGGCTGACAGTAAAATTTTTTTTTTTTTTTTTAACTATCTTGGAGATGTATTCCTCCTGTTCTTTCCTAACAGGTTGTGGTGATTATGCAATAAAGGACATGACTTTCCTGCCCGATCCCTGCCCTACACCCCAGATGGAGAAGCGCAGGTCTCTGAACAAGAGAGAGCGGGTCATTTATGCACCCATGTCTGGTGTGGGTGGCATTGTCTACGACAAAGATGCTGTATACATCGATATGGGGACACAGAAAGCTGAAGAGGTTAGTCATTGATTTTCTGCATTGGTTTGGCTGTAACCTATGGTGCAGTAACAAGTAGCTCATTAGAGAGATAAAGGCTCACCTCTATGTCAACAGGCTCGTCTGTATCTCAACAGGCTTGCCTATATATCAACAGGTTCACCGATATGTCAACAGGCTCAAACATTTACTATGTTTAAATTGTTGTTTTTTTCCCAGCCTGATTGCTTATACCACATTGATGTGCGACTTCAAAAAAAAAGTTGCTAGAATTATTATTTCTGCTTATGCTGTATATGACGTAAATTTGTAGCTTCTGTTGTGTTTTATTTCTCATGAAAATCTTGGTAACTTTAAACTTTAAAAGATATTTTATACATAAATGTACTTATTGTTTAAAAAAAGGAACTTTTAAAGATCAATCATGGGGAATAGACTAATTCAGTAGGAGAATTTGTCACAAATTATAGCTTCTGTAAATGTTCTAGTGGGCTTAACTTATTTTTGAAAACAAGCTGTCAAAACCTGAAGCTTCTGTAAATGTTCATATATAGACTTATTTTGTTAGGTCAAGCTGTCAAAACCTGAAGCTTCTGTAACTGTTCATATATAGACTTATTTTGTTAGGTCAAGCTGTCAAAACCTAAAGCTTCTGTAACTGTTCATATATAGACTTATTTTGTTAGGTCAAGCTGTCAAAACCTAAAGCTTCTGTAAATGTTCTTGTGTGGAATTCTTATTTCCTAGGACAAGCCATCTGAACTGGTAGCTGCTCTCATGGAAAGTCTCAAGCCAGTTGATGAGAAGATGAGGGAAAGTCAGATTTCTATCTTCAAAGGCGGGCCAGCTATATCTGGCAGTGATTTTGAAAGAAAGAGGTACAGAAGCAGTTTATTCTCTAGCTGTTGTAACAGACTTCCACTCTGCTTCCTTTAATCTAAGTGGCAGGACTTTTATCAGAAATGACCTTTGTTTTCAGGTCGACCCAGCCAGAGATGGGTACCATGTAGTCGGTAGAGTCATAGAAAGTAAAGGGGGCCAGTGTGATGTTGACCCACTGAGTGTTGATTGGCCTATAAAATATAGGTCGAGCCCTATACGCCCTGATGTGTGGAAAATGATCTTTTACTTTTGTATTGTTGTTGCTGTGCTTTATGCTAGACATTATGTCACTATAAATTTACAAAGAAAGAAATATAGCTGCTAATGACAGTCGGCATAATCACAGGTTCCTCCTGTTGGTTCCAGGGCCTCATTTAAGGGAGGGAGGGGGGGGGGGGGGGAATAGACCAACTGGTCCCTGATAAGATGATCAGTTAGGGATTTTTCCTTTGAAGTTGGGGTGCATCTGTTTTGTGTTGGGGGCTCCATTATGGGAAAAAACAAGAATAGACCCACTGCCTCCAAAACAAGGTATGTCGTAGGAGTCGACTAATTGGGGCATCTTTTGAACTGGGACATCTGCCTAAGAGGCAAGGAACCAATAGTCTGTGTACAGATAAGCCAGATCTGTGAAATGGATATGCATGCAAAATTCTGAAAGTTCTGGAACAAACAAGAAGTGGTTGAACCACCAGAACTTTTCGTTGGCGTATACAGCTGGTGAACACCGAGAAGAAGATAATCACGGACTGATTCAGCCATGGAGTCCATCGCCTCGGACTGTCAGAGGTTGAGGAATATGGTCAACTATCTGACTGTCAGAGGTTGATGAATCTGGTCAACTGTCTGACTGTCAGAGGTTGAGGAATCTGGTCAAACAGTCAACTGTCTGACTGTCAGAGGTTGAGGAATCTGGTCAAACAGTCAACTGTCTGACTGTCAGAGGTTGAGGAATCTGGTCAAACAGTCAACTGTCTGACTGTCAGAGGTTGAGGAATCTGGTCAAACAGTCAACAGTCTGACTGTCAGAGGTTGAGGAATCTGGTCAAACAGTCAACTGTCTGACTGTCAGAGGGTGAGGAATCTGGTCAAACAGTCAACTGTCTGACTGTCAGAGGTTGAGGAATCTGGTCAAACAGTCAACAGTCTGACTGTCAGAGGTTGAGGAATCTGGTCAAACAGTCAACTGTCTGACTGTCAGAGGTTGAGGAATCTGGTCAAACAGTCAACAGTCTGACTGTCAGAGGTTGAGGAATCTGGTCAAACAGTCAACAGTCTGACTGTCAGAGGTTGAGGAATCTGGTCAAACAGTCAACTGTCTGACTGTCAGAGGTTGAGGAATCTGGTCAAACAGTCAGCAGCAACTGGTGACCCAATGACACACAGTAAGTTACGGGATATTGATGTGATTCCCAGGTCCCTCTGTACCACAGAATTACATCGTTGTGTTGAATGTTGAATTAAAAATCGATATCACAGCAGTCAGGACACTCCTATTGGTGCTCAGTCCCCACCTTCAGCAGCAAGCGAGTTCCAATTCCAATGGTACCAGTAACCGTCTGGTTGTTTATCCGTCATATCCTTCCCCTGAGTGTTGAGCATCGGCCAGATACCCTGGTAACTCCTCGCAACACCATTCTCCTTAGACCGTAATGATCTATCTGTGCCCCTGCACTGTTCACTCGCTCCCAAAGGGCCCTCAAAGTATTTTAACTTGTAATACATCAGTTCACCACCAAGTGGTGCAAGCCAGCCAGTCTGTTTGCCTGCTCATTTCCCAACACACCGGCATAACCTGGAGAAAATATTACACCATTGTGTGAAAAGACTAAAAGGTGCCAGCTCACTCTACAGTGAAGCTTGTGTATTGAACCCCACCCTGTGTGTGTGTGTGTATGTGACAAAGGTGGTAGAAATGTCTTTTACAGCATGTCATGTGTTCAGACCATTTGCCTGCATCCACTCTGATAGATGCAAGATTAAAAAAAAAAGATTATATCAGAACTAGAATTCAAGAAAACTTGAGAACAGCAATTCAGTTTCAAGGTACTAAAACACTTGGAGAGAAAATGAAACGAAAGTTGAGAAGTCCTAAATCTATTGTAAACATTTTCTTAGAGAAGTAAAACTTGTATGCTTCCCAGTAAAACACAGTAATGGATAATAAAATAAATATTGTGGCCGAAAAACCTTTATAAGCACTGACACTGATACACATAAGGAGCTAGACAATGATACACGTGAGGAGGCTAGACATTGATACACATAAGGAGCTAGACAATGATACACGTGAGGAGGCTAGACATTGATACACATAAGGAGCTAGACCTACTTCCGGTTGTGACACAATCCCATAAATGCAGATGAAACGGCATGGCTGCAGTGACCAGTTGTCAAACAGCAAAGTTAAGTATGTTTTAGTTCATTTGTGATAAGGTTTAAGTATTGTTTTTATGAAGCACAGTATTTATAGTAAGTTGTAAGAAGTGTATTTATCAAGCACAGTATTTATAGAAAGAATAGTATTTATGAAGCACAGTATTTATGGTAAGTTGTAAGAATTGTATTTATCAAGCACAGTATTTATAGTAAGTTGTAAGAATTGTATTTATCAAGCACAGTAATTATAGTAAGTTGTAAGAATTGTATTTATCAAGCACAGTATTTATAGTAAGTTGTAAGAATTGTATTTATCAAGCACAGTATTTATGGTCTCTTCTTTTATTCTCTTGAAATAAATTATCTATACCTGCAATGTTATTTATGGTAAGTTGTAAGTGTTGTATTTGTCAGGCCCAGCATTATTGATTTCCTTTGTTCATATTATGCCAAGAGTCAATGCAGAGAGGCACGTCAGTACACAGATTATGTCCCCTTGACCCGTACAGCTCTGGGGTCAAGCCATTTGGTGACATGAATACCAGGCACACCTGCACTGGTAATTTGTCTTCCATTTTTAAAGGCATATTTATGTAATTAACATTCTTCTGTTTTTCTCCATTGTTTAGACATATTGAGAAAAATGAAAGCGATGATGATGAAGACGATGAAGAAGAAGACAGGGATTCAGGCATGGAGGCTGAGAGTAGTGAAGATGAAGACAGTGATGATAACAAGGAAGACATTGAAGATGACAGTGAGGTATGTCATAACCTTTTTTTTTTCTTCCCTAAAATGCTAGATTGGGTTAGCATTGTCCACGTGTAGGTTCTGGGGTCCCATATTGGGTGGTTGGGTTTAGAGAACAGACCCACTGTAATTATATTACCCAGCGATTCTTAATCTGGTCTGTGAGGTATTCCTTGGGAACAGAAGAAAGTAGGAGTCAGTTGAAATAGTACTTACATAATTATTGCAAGACAATAAATGGATTGTCCTGATTTTGGCATAGTATTAAAAAACTACCAAAAAAAGAGGCTTATTCCTGCGTCGAGGGGGGGGGGGGGGGGTGGAGAAGACCCACTACCCAACTAAAAAGCAGTTCAAAAAGTCAACTAATTAGGGATGTTTTCTTTCATGTTGGAGTGCATCTGAGAATCAAGGAGCCAACAGTCTGCATACGAATAAGCCTTATCTGTAAAACAGATGTGGATGCAAAATACATGTTCTGGAACATTGTCAAAATCCAGGAGTGGACAAACGACCAAAACTTTTCATTAGAGTTTACAGCCAGTGAATGCATAGAATAAGAAAAATAAAACTATTGTTATCACTGAATTTGTTTCGCATTTGTTCAAGCCTAAGGGGGGCGGGGCGCAGATGGGAAGTGGTGGGTTTAGCACCATATGCCTGATGTCCCAATAACATGAAGAGGGTCAGTTACATACTTTGTGATGTGTTCTGAATATATTGAATCATAAAAACTGAATCACAAAAACTAAATAACATTCCGTCTTCTTCTTAAAGTATGTGGCGTTGATAGTCATGTCTGTCTGCAACCTTCTGTCTCGTGACTCTTGACACACATGATCTTCCATGCCATAATGTCAGACTGTCCAGCGTCTTTTCTCTCAGTCTCCCTCTGCCTCTCCTCCCCTCCACCTTTCCTACTCTCCCAATGTACTCAAGTTTGCTTCTTCTCATCACATGACCAAAGAATGTAGATTGTCGCTTTCTGATATGGGCAGTCGATTCTCTTCTTCCAAGACATCCTGATTACTCTTTTGATCTGTCCAGTGTGTTGTCACCATTCATGTATTAAACATCTCCACAGCATCCAAATAATTCTTCTGTCGATGCCGGCATTATTAAAATTCATTACAGGAAGACATTGTTTTGAATATCCTCTAAATGTCTGATAGGTCAGTAGTCCTCCAAAGAAGAAACAGAAAACGGCCTCACCCTCGGCTGATGACAGTGATGAAGCAAGTCTGGTTGTTATGAGGGCCCATTGGCTGTGAGTGAACAGTATGGAGGCACAGATAATCATTATTGTCTGAGGAGAAAGGTGCTACCAGGAGTGACCAAGGGATCTGGCTGAGGCTCAACACCCACATTGGTAGTATAATAGTAAGTATCTCCACCTGTCACGCGGAAGACCTGGGTTCAATTCCTTGCTGAGGAGGCCAAAAGAGGGTCTCTGTGGCGAAGTGGTCTAGTCGTTCCCATTGCGCTCGGGGGGTAGTGGGTTCGCTCCACTGCTGCGCTTTTCAGTCCATGAGTGCAATTTTTAATGGAGGTCCCTGGGGATCCTTGCCCGAGGTACAAAGTTTGTGCTTTGTGTGGCACTCTCTGTAGGTGGCTAGCTGTTCTGTGGAGAGAGACACACCCGGTGTAGTGAACTCAATCCTCTCAACTTTAACTTTTAACATTTAACTCCGGGAAAAGATGGGACAGATATACAGTCAGACTGTTACTGGCACCATCGGAACTCTGCACCTGCTGCTGAAAATAGGAGTAGAGCGCTTATGGGAATACTCCAAGTGCTGTGATTTCAGTTGTTAATTAAACCTTATAAACATAATGCTCCCAGTATATTTCTCCACTCCATTCTGTCGAGTGTAGTTACTTGAGAAATGGATGGAATACAGTATAGCACCTTCGGCTTTTCTCATCAACTTTGAGAGGGGGCTGCACAGTCTCGAGGCATGTTGTCTGCCTCGAGTGCTGAAGTTTCCTTATTCAATCCCCGGTAAGGCTGGAATGTTTCACGTGGACTTGGACTTCTAGTAATTCCCCCTGGTCTCTGTGTAGTAAGGTTGGATGTCCGTGTGCATTGTTGCGCACGTAAAAAATTCCTTGGCAGTTGGAAATCGAAAAGATTAGCCTAACGGTGCTGCCCAGGCAAAATTTTGAGTTAAAAATATACCCAAAGTATTTCAGGATCCTCGCCTTTGCTGCTGAGCTTCTTTGGACTCAGACTTGAGTTAGAAGAAGAACGGAGCACTTATGGGTTACTATCTATGTGCCATGATGTTGATCCGTTATTCAAACCTCACCAACTTTACAGGTCTGTAACAGAGGCAAGAGTGATGGCCCTAGGTTATTTTATGTTTTTCTTCCAGCTACAGCTGTCAGTACATCCACATTTTTATTCCTCTCTGTTGTGATATTCTTGGCTTTTTTTCTTAACAGCCACATCTCCAATGCTTGTAGTGTCACCATCGTTTCATTGCTCATTACCAGCCTCAATATCCATACAGTAGAACAGACCACATTACGATGTACACGCCACAGTATATTTTAATCACCTATTTTATGAACCAGTGTTAAACATATACACATTATAAAATGAACATTTTCCAGAATCTTTTATTGCAAAATATACACGTCTGCTTTGCTCAGCAAAGCAAATCCCCTTCTTTTTCCACATGCATGTAATGTAAAAGTAATCAGTAGGAAGAATTATCATAGATTTATGTTTGTGTATTATTTAGTCTCTCATGATTGTCTCCCTAGGATTGTTGAGATGGAAACACAATATGTATGAGAAAGCGGCCATGAAACACTCCAAGAGAAAGAATTACTCAAAGATGGTGTATGGAGACTGTAAGTGTTTATGTTTTCTGGAATTTTTTGAGTCGTGATGCCTCCTTTATTTAACTCAGTGTCTGGTAGAAGTATTGGAAAAAAATAGTAGCAGAAGTCATGGTCCCAGGAAAGAGAGTCTCATGGTCCCAGGAAAGAGAGTCTCATGGTCCCAGGAAAGAGAGTCTCATGATCCCAGGAAAGAGAGTCTCATGGTCCCAGGAAAGAGAGTCTCATGGTCCCAGGAAAGAGAGTCTCATGGTCCCAGGAAAGAGAGTCTCATGGTCCCAGGAAAGAGAGTCTCATGGTCCCAGGAAAGAGAGTCTCATGGTCCCAGGAAAGAGAGTCTCATGGTCCCAGGAAAGAGAGTCTCATGGTCCCAGGAAAGAGAGTCTCATGGTCCCAGGAAAGAGAGTCTCATGGTCCCAGGAAAGAGAGTCTCATGGTCCCAGGAAAGAGAGTCTCATGGTCCCAGGAAAGAGAGTCAGGGGTTGACTAGCACGAAGGTGGGCATCTTGGGTAGGAAAGTACGTGTGGGAGAGCTGGTAAGAGATAACAAGTTTCTTTCAGGCAGACTGCGATGAAAGTAACATTCACAAAGGACCCGCTACATGATGATGATCTGTTTAGAGAGTGTTTGAGTTAGAGCAGTGGCTAGACACTTGTCTGTCAACCAAATGGTCTTGGGTTGAGTCTAATTAGCAAAAGAGTCCTTGACTCACTTTAAAATATGCCATTTAGACCAGTGACACGAAAGAAGACTTGTCCTAATTATCCAGAAAGAGGACAGATGATCTGTCAGGTGTGTCCACCCGGTGGAGTGTAATAAAATAAAGTGCACAATTCTACATTGTTGTGTCTGCTCAGGTTTATTCTTCACATCAGAAACAAACATTTCTTCCCCTATATTGAATCTTCACCTGGCTGTGAAGCAGCCTTATATTTCATTTCTGTGTTGATATACTTTTATCATTAGATGTTTTTCTTGGTGTGCTCTCATATTCTGGTACATGTTTGTGGTGTGTTTTCTTGTCCAAGGATGTGACCAAGGTCTGAGAGCCTTTACTTTTGTATTACTTCATTAACAATTTTTTTTAAAGTATGTCAGTTTTTCATTTAAAGATGTCCAAATGGTCATGTTGATGTGTATACTTCACTGTTATGCACACTGAGCAATTAAAAAACTACTGCTCATTCACCAAGGGTCTGGTTTGTTTGAGGTATTTGATTCACAGGATAACCTTCCTAAATGCTCTTTTTAGGTAATATACTCATATGCTTACCCCCTAAACTTTTGCACAGGCTCAAGCAGTAGTAGCATGAACTGTGAGTCTTGTAAATGCATCACTCTAGAAAAGTTAAATTAGGTGGTTTTGCTCTGGGAATTAGGCCATCAGGTGGGCTGCCTTTATGAACTCACATGTCAGTTGTAGGTCCTCTAAAGTTCCCACTAGCTTACTCTGCATACTTTGTTTTTGAGGCCAGGTTTCTCTTCATTGGTGTAAGTATAGTCAGCAGGATTTGCTCAGGTGTTTGTGGTAGAGAGGATTGACCTAATTGCACCAGGATTGATCCTTTACGGTTAGGTCACCCGTTGCTAAATTTGCATGTTGTAGTTGAGCCTGCAGTATCCTGTTTACTTCATATGCAAATGACAGCCTCTGCTATTGGACTACCTACAGCTTTGTGTGTATGTTTGTGCTTATTTGTGGTATATTATAAATATTTTTCTGTTCATTTCCCAGCTGAAGGAAGAGATTCTAGATGCCTTTGTGACTGGGAAATGGGACGCAGAAACTGATGCTAAAGCTAGGCTGCAAGAGGATGGTATGTTTGATTGCCAAAATTGTCTTGATTGCCCCCCCCCCCCCACCCACCCCCATTTTTCTGTGCAATGCGGTAAGGAAAAAAAAAGTTAACCTCCTGACTCTGTATGTGACAGGTTGTCTTTACACTTTTCTCTCTTTATGAACATTTACACTTATATTAGTCATTCATGACTTTGATAATGTGAAAAAGCTCCAAAGTCGCAACTTTCACTTTTTGTTTGTGTTCGTTGTATTGTGAAGCTTGCTGTGATACTTTTTATTCATTTTTAAAAATCTTTTCTTGATATTTTTATAGCTTTACGGCAGCTTATTAATTTCACCTACCTCGTGTGTCCCGCCCGCCCAGAACTGCCACAATCTATATTTATGCCTTTCACACACGTCTATTTTCATCTACCATTATGGTTTTTTTTATTTTTTCAAAAAATGCTTTCAATATAAGTGATTTTGTAAATTTGTGTGGTATTGTTTTATTTATGTATGTGCTGATGAAGGCTCCATAGCAAACGTTCACATTTTGTTTGTGTTTGTTATATTGTTAAGCTTGCTGATATACTTTTCATTCGGTTTTATATCTTTTCTTGATATTTCTGTGATAATGTGAAGCTCACTAGTTCTACTTTTTGTGTTTGGTTTGAAATCCCTTATGATAACCATAAGATTTAAATTACTGTTTTTTTTAATCATGGATGCTAGTTATATTTAGATGTGCTATCGGATGCTTTATTATGGTTCTGTGTATAGAGTAATTGTGGTGTCTGTTTATGAAAGATGTCTACAGGTAGTGCGGTGCTGCACAGAATGGTTTGGTGTATTGAAGTAGCAGGATTATTTTTTGCTTATAAGTACTGCTCTAAGGTCATTGTGTGTACGAAGGAAAGCTATGAGGAAGGGAACTGGTCAACAAACTTCATATGTCATGGCCTAGAATTCTTGGAGGCTTATCACATTCCACTTCAATGGCCGTAACTGCTACTAGGTTGATTTGTACACATAAAAATGTCCTGAAGTGGATAAACGACCAGAATATTCTGCTGAAGTTTACAGCTGGTGACCACTGAGAAGAGGAAGAGTAATCATGGAAGTTATCTGTATAATACCATTTCTTTAAAAACCAACACCTGGGGAAGACTTCTCTTTATAATCATCATCATCATCAATTTTCACTTCTGCCATTAAGCCTTCAGTGGAGGAACAATTTGCGATCCATTGCTTAATGGACAGCATTAGCTGTTGTCATTCCATGACGGTGTAGAAGCTCTTTGATGTCATCAATCCATATCCTTCCAGGGCAGATTCTTACTTTCACTTTAGATCTTTTCATATGTCACGCCTACATTGGTAGTTGGTCTTTATGATCCTTAATGATTAATTGTCATGTTTTTCTATAGATGCTCTGTTTGGAGACTTTGAGGATCTGCAGACAGGAGAGACATTTGAGTCTGAGAACGGTAAAGTCTCTGATGACTCGGAGAGTGATAAAGATGACGAGGCGAAGGAAAAAGACAGTAAAGAAGAAGGGGAAAATGACGGTGTGTAATAATTTCATGACACTAGTAACATGTAACATATCCTATTTTCTATTTTTTTTAAAAAAAGTGTGAAACAGAAGAATGTGTGAGGGAACCGTGAACATTTGAGAAACGGTTAATCAAGAGATATTCTCACTGCATATCAAGACCATTAAATCCATAAATGTTTGGATTTTCCTCCTCACCATATTCTTTACTGTGTTGTGACTGAACGTTCCTGAACTGGTTATATTTTGTTTGAAGGCCAGTCAACAGAGTGCTGCAGTGTGGCATCACTCCCATTTGACTTGATAACTGAGGAAACAAACTACTGTAAACAGCATCCATCTCTTCAAAAGATCAGATGACAGAGGGGATTAGTGGTGTTTTTGCTAGGCCAGATGTCTGAAGAAATGAAAAATATGAAACAGATTCATGGATATGTAAATATGCTTATTAAAAAAACAACATTGCACCAGAGGCAAGAAGAAACATGCTTGGTTTATATGTTTATGTTAAGGGTTTGCATAATGAACGTTGGGGGTCTCCACAGCAGAGTGATTACACTACTTCTCTTGCACTCTCAAGGCTGCAGGCATGTTTCAAAGACTGGATCACAAGTGCAAGTTTTACAGAGTACTCTAGGGATTGTCACTAAATCTACGGAGTTCGTGCTTTAAGCTCTTGGCAGGCAGCTGCCATTTAGTGAAGGGTTACCAAAACATAAGAGATAGATCCTGGTGCAGTTAGGCTAATTCTCTTTAAACTTTATTTACCTGTTGGCTCGACCAGTGAAACAGATGAACTAATCCTCATTCTACAGGATCATTTCTGACCCAACTTGCAGCTTTAGAGCCAAAGTTATGAGTTGGAATATTTTCACGACACTCTGGTCCTGTCCATAGGTGCTCAGATTCCCCTTCAGCATACAAGTCAGCATTCTGTAGTTAAGAGTGCCAGTCCTGTGCTGGTTAATAAGACTTCTTGTATGTCTGGTGTTCCGATCTTTACTCCCAGTTCTTGCATTCTTAACAGTTAAGTGGACACACTGCCCCCAAAGAGCCAAAGTATACTTGTCTTTAGTTAATTTTTGTCTGGTTAGTCTGTGTGCTCAGTAGACATTTAGACTCATGACAGTATGAATGGAACTCAGTGACAAGTGAGACTAAGCTAACCTTTATATCTATGGGATCTCTTAAGCGTTAATGCATCCCTTAATAGATGGTTATTCCTGTGTGGGTTCCGGAGCCTCATTGTGGTAAAAAACAAGAAAAGTAAGCCTACCCAACAAGCATATCATAAGAGTTTACTATTTGGGGGCTTCCTTAGAAGTCAGTGTATCTGCCTGAGAGGCAAGTAATCAGCAATCTGCATACAAGTAAGTCAGATCTATAAAACGGATGTGCATACAACACTCATGTTTGGAACAAGACTTAAGTTCATAGATGGACGAACAACCAGAACTTTCCACTGGAGTTTACAGTCTGTGAATGCAAAGGAGAAGAAGAATAGATTGTTATCCCCATGTGGGCTTCAGGGCCCCATACTGGGAGAAGACCAGAACAGACCTGCTGCCTCCCCAAGTATGTTGTAAAAGTCAAATAATTGGGGTGCACCTTTGGAGAACATCTGCATGAGAGGCAAGGAACCAAGAGTCTGCATACAAATAAGCCAGATGTGTGAAACAGATGAGCACGCTCAAAGTTCTGGTGGATCTTTCTGTCAGATTTTACAGCTGGTGAACTTGAAGAAAAATAGATGGTTAAATAAAATAGGTTAACTATCATGTTTATGGAATCTTTCTTGTGCTACAAAAATTGTTTAATGGTGGGATAAAAAAAAAGGACACTAGTCAATGCCTTTTTTCACAGCTGATTAATTCCTGTCTATAGGCGAACCACAAGAAGAGGAGAGAAAGAAAACAAAAGCAGAGATGTCTGCACAAGAAAAACGGTTGGCAAAGAAAAGGAAAGTTAAAGAAATGTTTGATAAAGATTACGACATGAAAGGAGATAATGAGTACTATGATAACTGGAAAGCTGAAACAGACGAACAGGCTAAGGTAGGTAGTGTTTGTATATAGATAGTTATTTATGTCTCTTGTGCCTTGTTTGATGATACTAGAAACACAGGAAGATGATCACAGTAAACAGAATGGATATTGTTTTGTATAAGACAATCGTCATGGTGAGCATTGCTTCAGATGTCCCAGGTAGTTATTGACTTTTGAATATTTTCCCCAGGTCATGTCAGTGTTTTAGAAAGTGAGCAGGCAGATATACTGGCTAGTCCTTTACTACTTGGTTGTGAATTGATGCATGACAGGCTAGATGTTGTAAGGGTCCTTTGGGAGTGAGTGAACAGAGGGATCATCATGGTCTGAGGAGAATGGCGCTGTGGGGAGTTACCAGAGGATCTGACTGACACTCAGCACTCAAGGGAAAGGTACTTGCTGGTACCATCAGAGTTGGAACTCTGCACTTGCTGCTGAAGATGAGAATGGGGCTCTCACACACTAAAAAGATGGTTGTTATGATGTGCAGTCCTACTTTATGTACGCAAAGGGATCCCTTAATTAATCTTATACGTCCATTGCGATCATCTGGTAAACTTGAGACTAATATTGGTAAATTGTAGTGTTACAAGAGGCAATATGATTTTATAATTTCAGTTGACAAGATTAATGTTTAGTTCTTAATAGTAATGCACCAGGCGAGATGCAGCAAAATATACCAGGCAATATATTGTTTGTTTCTTCACTTTAAATTCCCAGTGTGTAAACATTGTTTTGAATATCTATAATTTTGCTGTAGAAATCGGCTTAGTCTCATTAGGTTAGCGACACATAAGCGTCATATGGGAAGTGATCCACAGAGGTTTAAAAAACAATTAAACACCCTTTGATGAATTTTTTGGGTTTAATTATAACAACATGCACATTTACAGTTATATATATAAATATGTATTTATCATCATCATATAGCACGTCCTTTGCAGAACGTCGCTCTCATCACGGTCTGCCCGAAAGAAACTCGGTCTCTCCTGTCTGCTATACTTTCATACTCATGGAGTCACTTATATCCTGTGCCCATCTTCATGTTGGTCAGCCCCTGCCCCTCCTTCCTGGTACTATGCCTTCTGCTTAATTTTTTTCCAATATGTTGTGGCGCTTGATATGACCATAATATTTCAGCTACTGAGACAGGATGCTGTTTATTAGCCAATCTTCCTTGATGTTCAGATCTTTCAAGATGTCAGTATATATATATATATATATATAAAAGTAAAACTACAGAATCATTAGAGAGGCAACACATATATTTTCAGTGAAACATTTCTATTCTCAGTTGCATTAAAATTGGATTTTCAGTGAAACCTCTGTTTTTTAAGTAAAGCATTTGTATTCTCAGTTGAGTTGGTGTATTTTCAAAGTGGAACTTTCATATTTTCAGTTAAACCGAGCTGAATTTGAAGAGCTGCCAGAGGAGCAGAGGGTTCAGTATGAAGGCTTCCGGCCAGGGATGTACGTGCGTATAGAGTTTGAGCAGATGCCCTGTGAGCTGGTGGAGAACTTCAACCCAACATATCCTATCATTATTGGTGGCACTGCAGACATTGAGGAGAAGCTGGGATATGTCAATGTAAGTTTATTATTTGTGAACAGTCATAGCCTTTTATCAGATTATTGTGAACAGTTATAGCCTTTTATCAGATTATTGTGAACAGTTATAGCCTTTTATCAGATTATTGTGAACAGTTATAGCCTTTTATCAGATTATTGTGAACAGTTATAGCCTTTTATCAGATTATTGTGAACAGTCATAGCCTTTTATCAGATTATTGTGAACAGTTATAGCCTTTTATCAGATTATTGTGTCTTCTTTCCTCTGCTTTTGTTCTGCCAGGGGTTGTCACATAAAGAGACCACACATCTCTGTGGCGACTAGTTTGACACACGTCCTCTACTGGTTTTGGCCATTTGTGTCATTACATAAGCCAGTACAGTGGTAAACATGCCTGTTGGCTGGTTTTGGCCACTTGTGTTGTTACATAAGCTTGTACAGTGGTAAACACATTAAAACGTGAACATCACACAAAGCACATGCTCCTTAGCTCCAGCAACAGTCCCTGATGATCTCTGTAATAATAGATTTAGAATTGATTTTGTGAGCTAAACGACTCAGACTGTAAAACAGACCCATGACAGTGCAAACAAGCGGCTTAAGCACTTTCCTAAGCAGACCCCTCAAAAAGACAACTGCAGTATTATATGATTACTTTACCCCTTTTGCAATGGTGACCTAGACAAAAACCATGACAAGAACTTGCAAATTTGGAATTTCGGCTTTTCCCCAAAATATATAAATAAACAAAACAACCATTATACATAGTATACAAAAAATTCCTATTCCATTTCAAACCATAAAGAAACAAAACTTACATGAGGTATTCAGTAAAAACAAATGCAGCAGAGAATCCACTGTTACATCTTCCTAAGGTTTCATAAATTTAATACCATGACTCATTTCTAACCTGTGACCCGGCTACTGTGCCAAACAGGAAAACCTGAAACCAGAATTCCTAAAATAAAGCGTTTTTATCACAAGAAAAATGTTTTAGTAACTGAAGCCATTGGCTTATTAAACATTTACGCGTATGCAAACCAGATTATTGCCCTAAGCAAGGATTCTCATAACAAGTCATTATAACTGTCAGTTCAGCAGCATTTAAGATGGCATGGCACGCACCGGAAGTGCCAGTTTTTTGTGCATCTCGGGGGAAAAGGGGAATTTTTTTTTTTTCAAATGACGGTACTTTCCTCATTGTGTTGTAATGGAAAGATAAATTAGATCAGAAGAATAAGACTGCTTTTCTATTCATTAGTCTTTTTTAATACTCTTTTTCAGGTCCGTATTAAAAAGCACAGATGGTACAAGAAGATCTTGAAAACAAGAAACCCCCTGATTATCTCACTTGGCTGGCGTCGATTTCAGACAATCCCATATTACTACAAACTGGAGGACAACATGCGGAAGCGAATGCTCAAGTACACACCAGAACATATCCACTGTCAAGCCACGTTCTGGGGTGAGTGACTACTGTCTCAGTTACTTTAGTGTCATTGTTTGTATGTCAGTTTGTATGACAGTCCTCTAGACCAGCGGTTCTCATACTGGGTGCAGCGAGGGTATTTAAAGGGTGCCGCGCAAGAATCAAGAATTTTCCAAAATTTGTTTGAGATCAGTGAAAACAGCAGTTTAAAACAGAAATACCATGAAGGAAGTCAAGAGTTCTGAATGCAGGTGTATTCAGAAGACAAAGCTATTGGCAGTGCATTGTCAATGTATGCTTTCCTAAAAAACAGATAAATGAGCAAACTTTCTGGGTCAAGTGATTTGAGGGTAAAATTAACCGAACTTTCCATATACATAAAAGAAATAATGAAAAATTCATCCAAACATCCTCTTTTCCTAAGTATTCAAACCGCTTTAAGTGTAGGTGTGCCGCGCACATTTTTTTTTGTCCTATAAGGGCGCCACAGCGTAAAAGTTTGAGAACCCCTGCTCTAGACTACAAGATTGTAATATTTTCATGTACAATTAGAGCTACTTTGTGTGTCTACATGGAGCTTATTTTACTTTGTGTCATGTCATGTCATTGTGTAGGGGTGAAAAATTACACGGAGATAGTGGATGGAAGGAAAATGTTTAGAGAGGTTGGGGATATAGAGGATGAGGAAAACCACAAAACAGACCAGTAGTTGGTCTGGCAGATTGATATAATGTAGGTTGTCAGGCAGACAGGATAGAGAAGTAATGAATAGACAGACAAGGCTATATATTCTTGTATCATTTTCTTATATCCTTGTCTGATCAGTTTGTAAGTTCTGAATTGTTTTGTATATTTACAAAAGCGGGTTACTTCTTGCTCTTCATCGTTCACCCTAGTGATCTGATTTTGGTGTGTTTGTTTGCAGCAAAGCTGCTGTATTTATGTCTTTCAGCTGATACATCTGATTTCATCTGGCATTTGTTCACCGGGTTAGCCTTCCGTGTGGTTTCGTCGGGCATGGCATAGCCTTATTTGTGTGGTGTCCTATTTGTCCCTTTATCTACAGGTGTTGGCCCCCTGGAAAACTAATCCAAGGCAACAGCGTGTTTTCTGATTGGCTCCCAAGGAAAGGCAGGGGCATTTCCCACCATCCAGGGAGCTTCAGTAAATGCAGAGGTGACACATGACGTGCACCAGAGGAATTTTCACATCTTGTACATGTCTGCTTAACGCTAAAGCATACGGGTACATCCATATGACATTTAATGCTTCTCATTGTCATGGACAGATGTTGCGCTTTTTGGAGACTGGTAGTACAATTTAGTTTCAGCTTCATAGCAAGCTGAGCGCGCGAAATTTGAGCCTAATCTGCAATTCAGTATGACTTTCAGCCCATAGATGTTTGAACTAAGGATAGTAGGATATTTGGCTAGCAGGCTCCACTTATGCTGCAAATGAGCTTTTATGGATGTTATCACCCGTGCATTGGGCGTGGGCTAAAGAGGGCCAGAATATTTTTGGACACTGCGTTTCTGGAGACCACCAACTCCGAGATCCCATACCAGCGCGGTTTATGTCGAGATATGAGCCATTATTCATAACACACGATAAGGACACATGGCTCCTTATACACATCACAAGAACTTTAACGTTTCCTCACGTCTTTCACCAGAATTACCTTGGTAGAAATTAGGGTTACCATCATTCATCCTTGTGTGGGTCCTGGGGCCCTGTTATAGGAAAAACAAGAATAGACCCACTGCCTACCCAAAAGCATGTTTAAGAGTTGATTAATTGGGAGCTTCCTTCAATGTGGGAGTGCATTTGCCCTAGAGGCAAGGAACCAGCAGGCTGCATACAACTGAGTCAGATCTGTAAAACTGATGCAAACGCAACACTCAGGTTCTGGAACAGGGTTAAAGTCTAGAAGTGGATGAGCAACCAGAACTTTCATCCAGAGTTTACAGCTGGTGAACGCAAAGAAAAAGAAGAAGACTATTATTCACTGTTATAAATTGGGTTTACTGTTATTATAAATTCTAATTATTGCTAATGGTTCAGATTTTAAAATTTGTATATTTGTGTAATCACTTTCAGGTCCAGTAACTCCTCAGGGTACAGGATTTCTGGCTGTGGAGTCTGTGGCAGACAAAACTGTAAGTGTTTGGAGAATGTGTGTTAACTTTTTGTTTGTTCCAAGGGTGTAGGTTTGATCATTGCAAATTTATGTTAGTGTTCCACGGGTGAAGGTTTGATCATTGCAAATTTATGTTAGTGTTCCACGGGTGAAGGTTTGATCATTGCAAATTTATGTTAGTGTTCCACGGGTGAAGGTTTGATCATTGCAAATTTATGTTAGTGTTCCACGGGTGAAGGTTTGATCATTACAAATTTATGTTAGTGTTCCACGGGTGAAGGTATGATCATTGCAAATTTATGCTGATGTTGTTGGAGGTATTTCAAGATCTGTTGGGCAAGGATCAAAGCTCAGTCGTCATGCCATAGTGGATTTATTTCTCTAGAATTGGCCCTGGCTCCAGGTTGACCCAGCCTGAAATGGGTGCAGGGTTATGTCATTGGAAGTAAACGCAGCCGTCATGATATTGATCATATCCTCTGCCAGTTGCTGATATAAAAATATGTCTCACACTGTATAACTGATTTACTTATTTGATTAAAAATCCATGAATATTCAGTGACATGACTAGTATGGCAAGGAATAAATGTATTGAACAATTTGTAACGTAAATCACCTGCTTAATCTGTCATTTATTTTGTCAGCTCAATTTCCGGATCGCTGCCACTGGTGTTGTGTTGGAACTGGACCAGTCTTCTGAAGTGGAGAAAAAACTCAAGCTGGTTGGCACACCTCTGAAAGTGTTTAAGAAATCAGCTTTTATTCAGGTCAGTATTGTTGTCATAGCCATGTCGTGAACATTGATCATTGAAATTTGTTATTATATTTGTGAATCTTATACTTCATCTACCCTCACCTTACTGGGGGCATGGACCACACCATCCTTTATCACTTCTTGCATCTCCCTTATGATTTCTCCATATTATTAATCTTTGCCTCTAGTTTTTTTTTTTTTGGGGTCTCCCCCCCTCCCCCCTCTTAAATGCTTTTGGTCCCTGGAAAAGCATATTCTACTTGCATCATTATACGGTCTTCTCAATTTCTGTTCTGTCCTACACTACACGGTGTCATTCCTTTAACTATTGATTTTTTACAATCTGTTTTGTTCAGTCCCTAATATCTGAATTAATGAGTCTACCACATATTTGAATTTCCTGTATTCTTGGCACGAATCTGTTAATAAGTATAGTTAATATAAAAAAAATTCCCTTCTTTTTCCATGTTTGTAGTGCTGATTTGACTTGGTTAAGTTGGGACAAGCATTCCATCAAACCTTGATGATGTTAATAGCAGTCTGATTATATGTCCCTGTTGCCTTTACCTTAAGTGTAGAGTATCAACCAGACCCCCTGGTCACTCCCCCACTGTACCACTATCTCCACACTATAGTGATCTATATGTCTCTCTTGGATTTACCTTAAGTGTAGAGTATCAACCCTGGTCACTGCCCCACTGTACCACTATCTCCACACTATAGTGATCTATATGTCTCTCTTGCCTTTACCTTAAGTGTAGAGTATCAACCCTGGTCACTGCTCCACTGTACCACTATCTCCACACTATAGTGATCTATATGTCTCTCTTGCCTTTACCTTAAGTGTAGAGTATCAACCCTGGTCACTCCCCCACTGTACCACTATCTCCACACTATAGTGATCTATACGTCTCTATGTATTACTCACTTGCTTCCAAAGACCTTGACCACATCAAGCTTTGACTTGAGAGTAAAATATCTTAAGTTGGGTACTAAGTTTAATTTCTTTTGAATTTACAGATTTCATAGTTCCTCTAATGTTATGAACCTATATTTCTCTTTTGATTTCTTAATTTTTTTGTAAAGCCAGTTTTGGTTGCAAAACAAAAGAGTAGCAAAAGATCACCTCTTGTGAGATAGAAAATCTGAAAACTTTAATAACTAAAATGCAAGATTTGTGCAGGTATACAAAAAAATTCTTTTCAGAATCTGTATTGCTGTATGTATATAACACATGGACAGTAGGCAGATCAGCTAAACAGGTAATGAGTGAGTAAGCATTACACCAACATTTATGAGAAGAAGCATGCACAGAGCAGATTTAATCAGTGCTGTAGCTCATAGTAACGAATCTCTTACACTAACACCATTGCATGACCTGGGAGTAAAGCATATTGAAGCACACCTGAGCTGCCTTAAATGCTAAAATAAGGAGACATTTTAACCAACTCCTCATGGGAACAATCGGTAGCACGACCTTTAAGTGGCTGCTGCATCCGAGGCCTGAGCATGCATTGGAATAAGTATGCAGTACTTTATTGTGATAAGATAATAAAGCTAGTAAAATCTAGCAGAAGTTTGGTTCTGAGGAAAATCAAAGAATATTTTTGAAAGCTAGAAAATTTTCTCGTATATTTGTGGGAAAATGTCTGAATGTCCACTGTATCTGTAATTATTTTGGCATTCTTTCTAGGCTTGTTTTGCATTCATTCATTTTGAAACACAGACTGACTAAATTAAATATTTATTGCTAACTTTTTAAAAGCCATTCTCATTTATTTGGTCAGCACAACCTGAATTTACATGCAATATTTGCTGTCTGCTTGCCAGTGACAGCAACATTATTGATTTTTAGTGATCCTTGGGTTTTTAAGCTGCAATGCTAGATAGAATGGCAAAAGGCATTGTACCAAGAAAGAGGGGCGGGGGCTAACTGGTATGAAGATGCACACAGGAACTTGCCAAGAACTTGCTAAATTACTATTTGGACCTCTCACATTTTTTTTAAACTTTTGTTTTGGTTGACTGAATTTGTATTCTTTTTTTTTTAGAACATGTTCAGCACGGCGCTGGAAGTGGCCAAGTTTCAAGGGGCCAAAATCCAGACAGTCAGTGGTTTAAGGGGCCAGGTCAAGAAAGCATTACACACACCTGTTGGGGCGTTTAGGGCCACTTTTGAAGACAAGATTAGAATGAATGGTATGTTAGTTCTTTCCATTATTGGTCTGTTCTCTGTTCCTTCATTGCATGTTTGTGATGATAGTATTGAGGGAGGGGGAGAGGTGCTGGTACAAGAGTCACACCTTGGAAGAGATTGGGGTTTCATCCACAGACAGTCCTCATTGTGGAGACCACACAGTATTTGAAACAATAAAAAAAAAACGTGGCACCCTGCATAGAGAGGTACTATGCGGAGATTAAACATGAAAAATCTATGATTAAGCACCATCAGGGAAATGAAGTCACAATTTGAAGAGCCTGCATCTTCCATGTAGCAGCAAACGGAAGTGAGTTTTGGACTATTGTACAGTCCTTAAGGAAGAAAATAGGGGGTTTTGAGCTGAAATTCTATAGAAAGGCTCTGCTGTCACAATCTCATGGACAAAGAAAAAAACAAACACTGATATCCCAAAGGATTTGATCATCAAGGAAGATTGGCCAGTTAACATCATCTTGTCTCGGAAACTGAAATATTTTGACCAAAAGCAAGCGCTGCGGCAGATTGGAAGAAAATAATAGCAGAAGGCATGGTACCAAGAAAGATGGGCAGGAGAAGACTGGCATGAAGATACACACATGATATAAGTGACAACCTTGGGTAGGAAAAACAAATAATAGTCTTTTTACCATTATTGTGTTACCAATGCCAAATCTAGGCATTAGCAAAAGAATAAGAGCGGAAACTAATATTGTGTGACATGACATATTTAAAAAAAAAAAGCATTCATCATAACAAGAAAAGTCATAAAAGAAAAACATTTAGCATTATAATGGTGGGAACAACACCTGTAATTTGATTTATTGAAAAACAAAGATTGAAATGGTTTGGCTACCTGGTCAGAATGAACTTAGCGTCACTTGTTGCAAGAGCAGGCAACATGAGGATGGAAACATCAAGAGGCAGAGGGAGGCCAAGAAGAACATGGATAGATGGAGTTATTAACTTGCCGCACTCAGTAATATCACCAATCAGCAATCTAAATGAGCACACACTATCCTGGGAACTGATCATTAGCTGTGCCTGTGACGCCTTAAAGCATTAAATAGAAGTAGAGTGTGACTGCTGGTATCCCACCTTCTGCCATGTGGCTGTGTGACTGCTGGTACCCCGTCTTCTGCCATGTAACTGTGTGACTGCTGGTACCCCGTCTTCTGCCATGTAACTGTGTGACTGCTGGTACCCCATCTTCTGCCGTGTGATTGCTGGTACCCCATCTTCTGCCATGTGACTGTGTGACTGCTGGTACCCCATCTTCTGCCGTGTGATTGCTGGTACACCATCTTCTGCCATGTGACTGTGTGACTGCTGGTACCCCATCTTCTGCCGTGTGATTGCTGGTACCCCATCTTCTGCCATGTGACTGTGTGACTGCTGGTACCCCGTCTTCTGCCATGTAACTGTGTGACTGCTGGTACCCCATCTTCTGCCATGTGACTGCTGGTACCCCATCTTCTACCGTGTGACTGCTGGTACCCCATCCTCTGCCATGTAACTGTGTGACTGCTGGTACCCCATCTTCTGCCATGTAACTGTGTGACTGCTGGTACCCCATCTTCTGCCATGTGACTGTGTGACTGTTTGTACACCATCTTCTGCCATGTGACTGTGTGACTGCTGGTACACCATCTTCTGCCATGTGACTGTGTGACTGCTGGTACACCATCTTCTGCCATGTGACTGTGTGACTGCTGGTACCCCATCTTCTGCCATGTGACTGCTTGTACCCCATCTTCTGCCATGTAACTGTGTGACTGCTGGTACCCCATCTTCTGCCATGTAACTGTGTGACTGCTGGTACGCCGTCTTCTGCCATGTGACTGTGTGACTGCTGGTACCCCATCTTCTGCCATGTAACTGTGTGACTGCTGGTACCCCATCTTCTGTCACTGATGTTCAATCGTTTCTCCAGATATCGTTTTCCTGAAGGCCTGGGTGAAGCTGGAGATTCCCAAGTTCATCATGCCCGTGACTTCTCTTCTTCTCTCACACGAAAGCAAGCAAGCCTGGTTGGGGATGCGAACCATCGGCCAGCTGCGGTATGAAAGGAGTCTTCCAGTGCCACAGAAAGCCGACTCCTTGTATAAGGTAAGACTACGATATGTGTCTGCCTAACATTTGCTTATGTAAAACATAACTAAAAGATAAGTGTATACATTTCAGAGACCATCTTGTTTATGGTTAAACTGTTTAAATCAATCTCAGAGGAACTCATATTTGGCAGTAAAAGGTAATACGATTGACAAATCTAAGAAGACTTATCCATTTCAAAGACATGTATAGAAAAACTAAAGAAATATAACTAAGAGGGCTATATGTATTTCGAAGACAAGCTCATATAAGTTGAAACTAATACAAAGGCTGAATCAGTTACTAAAACAAACTGAGATACGGTAAAACTAATACGAGTGTTGTATCTGTTTTACAGCCAAGATCACGTAAGGCTTAATTAAGTTAGTGAGTGGACAGCTGCCCTCATTGCACATCAAACCATTCAGTGCGTATGTGCTTGGATCCCCTCCTCAGTAAATCCTGCAGTGCGTATGTGCTTGGATCCCCTCCTCAGTAAATCCTGCAGTGCGTATGTGCTTGGATCCCCTCCTCAGTAAATCCTGCAGTGCGTATGTGCTTGGATCCCCTCCTTAGTAAATCCTGCAGTGTGTATGTGCTTGGATCCCCTCCTCAGTAAATCCTGCAGTGCGTATGTGCTTGGATCCCCTCCTTAGTAAATCCTGCAGTGTGTATGTGCTTGGATCCCCTCCTCAGTAAATCCTGCAGTGCATACGTGCTTGGATCCCCTCCTCAGTAAATCCTGCAGTGCATACGTGCTTGGATCCCCTCCTCAGTAAATCCTGCAGTGCATACGTGCTTGGATCCCCTCCTCAGTAAATCCTGCAGTGCGTATGTGCTTGGATCCCCTCCTCAGTAAATCCTGCAGTGCATATGTGCTTGGATCCCCTCCTCAGTAAATCCTGCAGTGCATATGTGCTTGGATCCCCTCCTCAGTAAATCCTGCAGTGCATATGTGCTTGGATCCCCTCCTCAGTAAATCCTGAAGTGCGTATGTGCTTAGATCCCCTCCTCAGTAAATCCTGCAGTGTGTAGCGGCTCACAACACCAGTTCGGTGTTGGTTTTTTACGTAAGGCTCAAGATTTTTGTAACTCAAAGCGCATCTCAGATAAAGTTGATAATAGCTAAATCCAACATTGTATTCAACATTTTTGTTGCTAGCTGTGTCAAGAGGCCTCTCCTTTACCCACACCTAGCAGTAGAACAGGTTCCTGTCCCACATTAGCTTTGTGCAGCTCAGGAATAATAACATAAATTGTTGCTTTTTTCCCCTTCTGAATTCACTGAATACAAACTATGAAGCTCAGTTTGTAGGGGCTACACGGGAAGAATATAATGTTTCGGCCTAAGCCTTTATTATCGAGTAGTGTAACAAGAACAAGTGAAATCCTGGACTCCAGCCCCAAATAGAGGAATTGGAAGAGATGTGAAAATATACATTAAAAAAAAAATAGTAATAATAATCATAATAATAACAAAAATTAAAATATTTTAATGTTTTTTTTCCCTAATCTCTGCTTGTTAATTTTGATTGTTCACACATCATCATCATCATGTGCTCTGCCAACTGGTGTAGGCGCTCATGCATCTGCACAGATCACGATCCCTGGTTGCCTGGAACAGCTCTCTTGATGATATCCCTCGATGCCATTGTTTCAGCACATCCAGCATCATCTCTCTTGGTCTGCCTCTGCCCCTTTTTCCACTGATTTTTCCAGTTCTCACAATGTTCTCCAATGTCTCTCCTCCCATTATGTGGCCAAAGTACAATGGTTGTCTCTTTCTTATTGTTGTATATAGAGATCTACTTTAATTAGCTTCTTTCAAGCAATCGTTGTTAGTTACTCTGGCCGTACACACATATATACCTATAAAGCATGGCCATTAATTTCTTATTTCTTAACTTAACAGCCAATTGTGAGGCCAGAGCGGGAAATCAAACCCCTGGTGATCCCGAGGGAACTGAAGAAACGTCTGCCATTCAAGGACACGCCAAAAGATTTTATCAAACATGAGGAGCCAAAGCGAGTTGCTGTTGTATTGGAGCCAGCAGAAGCCAAGGTGAGGAATTGTCTTAAGTCTTTCCATTATTTTAAAGTGTTATTTTATTAGCATGATTGTGGCAGTTTGTGGCTGGTATTGTTATACACCATCTGGAACCAAGAACATCCAACAAGATAGTAGAAGAACAAATGATGGTATGTATGATCTTCTTTTTGTTCGCATTCACCAGCAGAAAGTTCTATTTGTTCCTCCACTTCTGGACTTAGGTCTTGTTCCAGAATCTGAGTTTTGCATGCCATCTGTTTTAATGATTTGGCTTATTTTTACGCACATTTCAATCTTTGCCCGTTAGGCAGATGCACTCTGACTTTGAAGGAAGCGTTCCTAATAAATCACATTTTGCAACATGCTTGTCTTCCCCCCCCCCCTTTCCAGAATGGAAACACATGAGGAAGACAGTAGGATAAGGTCAAGTAAAGTATATAGTTTCAGGACTTTAGCTACATTTAGTGTCAGGTTCTTTCCTCCATTAGTTCAAACTGTCTGAATATCAGTACTGATCTTCCCAGGGTCTACTTTTGGGGAAAAAAACATGAATAGACCCACTGCCTACCCAAAAAAAAAAAAAAAAGTTGTAAGAGTTGATTAATTTGAAGCATCTGCCTGAACAACCAGCTGCACACAAACAAGCCAGTAAAAATGTATGTATACACAAAACTCAGGCCCTGACACAAAGCCCAAGTAGATGAACAGTCAGGGATTTATGAACGACTAGCAGAAAAAGCCAGAAATTTATGAACAGTTAGCAGAAAAAGCCATAAATTTAGGAACGGCTAGCAGAAAAAGCCAGCAATTTATGAATGGCTAGCAGAAAAAGCCAGAATTTTATGACCGGCTAGCAAAAAAGCCAGAAATTTATGAACGGCTAGCAGAAAGGAAAAAAGCCAGAAATTTATGAACGGCTAGCAGAAAATGTCAGGAATTTATGAACGGGCAGGGAAGGCTGTGATTCTGGGGATCTAAGACCGCATGAATATTAACTATAGAAACAAATCTCCATCCCTTACTCATGATCAGGCTCAGGTCTCCCAAATGAGAGAGCCGAACATCTTAGCTGCTTGGGCCAGTCATTCTTCTACAGTTTTCTGCAAACGAGATCTTTATGATTATGAGACACAAAGAGTTCAGCCCTATGGCACTGTTACAGTAATGTTTAAAATCTTAACATGAAAAATGAGCGGGAAAGAATGGTTTTGTGATTTAAACAACTTAACAAATACCCAGCTATACATACATTTATCACATCACTGTAATCTACCAAGCATGTAAGACAGGACTATCCAAGTCTGCTCAAGGGCTTTTATTTTGAAAATTGGGGATCATCACAGGCCAGAGCCCCAGCGTAGAATGATCTTTAATACAGTACAACTTGCAATGATCTGTGGGCCAATCTGGCCCATAGGCTGCTAGTTGAATAGACCAAATGTAAGAGATGATTAAGGAAGCCTGGCTACCTCAGTCCTTTAGCTGCAAAATCTATGTAATCATGAAGAAGTATGGCGATTCAACTGTTTAAAAATGTTCCCATTTACTTGAATGATCTTCATTTGTTCTACTGCTTATGCTGTTTAGCATCACAGAGAGAAGTTAGATGTAGTTTTTACTGTCTTTTGCTTGTAGCTTGTGTTTCTGTAGTGTCTCTTTCTTGGTTGGCCTCTTGTCTTGTAACCTGCTATGCTAATGTAGTACGCTCTAACTGCTGTCTGATTTTATTCCATTGTCACCAGATGGCCAAACCATTTTATTCTTTAATATTCTGTAAAATCATTAATCAGTCTTATGCCTACCACTTGGATGATACATTGTGTTGTTTCTCACACCTAGTTTGAGAATGGAGGCAGGGGCCTCGGTCACTGCAGCCTTGGGCATGATTGAGAGCCTTGGGTATAGATAGTCGCCGTCTGGAGATAATTGGTGTAGTGGGGAGTGACCAGGAGACCTGGTTGAAACTGAAAACTTTAGGGAAGACAAGACATACAATAAAACTGCTACTGGTAGTCGGGACTGGTACTTTTTGCTGACTGCTGAAGATGGGAACAGAGCACTTGTGGGAATGTCTCCAGTGCTGTGATATGAATTCTTTATTCAGCTCAACTTATCTAGTTAATCACTGTTTATATTTCAGCTTTTTAATTGCAAAATTTATTTCTTGCCAGATTGCAAACTTTATGAAGAGAGTCAAAGCTGTGTACAAGGACAAAGCCATCACCAACCACCGAGCCATGAGACAGAGAGTGCAGCAGTATCAGAAAAAGAAAGCAGCAGAGGAAGCCATCAGACAAGAAAAACTCAAGTTAGCCAAGAAGGGATTACACAAGATTTTAGGAGAGATGAAACTAAAGAAAGATGGAAAGAAAGGCGGACAGAAAGACCGCCATTGATGACCAGTAATTGTGAGAATTGTACATTTGAGTGATTTGTGATTGTACGACAGTTTGGGGGAAAAAGGTCTTCACATATTAGTAACACTAATTTTTGTTGCACATAAAAAAGTAGATGTCATGGGGGGAAAAACCCCACCATACTTTTCTACGAAAAATATTTCATATTTGCAAAACTGGTTTTAAATCACCGACTGTTGTCCCTTAAGAAATGGATGCAATAAGTGGTGGATGTTTAACTGAAAAACACTTTCAGAATAAAATCTATTCTTAATACTGACCTCGAAAGACCAGTTTTGCTAAGTTTTGATTGACATAATCTCTGTAGACAGTGCCTAGTATGCCCATATGAAAACTTTGGTTACAGGCGGCAGCTGCTTAGTATGTAAACTTGGTAGGTATAATTAGATTTGAAAAAAAAAAAAATTCAGTTATTTGGGGTGGAAAAAAATTGTGGACACACCCTGTCATATAGTAAAAGGGAAGGAAATCAATTAATTCTTTGCTCTGTTGTATTTAATGATTACTTCCCTTCACATAAAAATAAACCTTTCCCCAGTTTTTAGACATAAAAAAAAGTAGAGGACTAGGCATGCCTGTCTTCTCTGTGATCTAGAAAAATACAAATATGAGGATGGTATGTCTGTGCAGGAAAAGTTATCGATTATCATTTAAGCAGAGGTGTGCCTTTCTGCATTGTTTTATGTGCATTGTTATCATTTATGTGCAGTAAAAATATGAAAATGTTATTGCAGTAAAAATGTTTTAAAGAAATAAATTTATTGACTGCTCTGAAATGTAAAACGTTTTCCCCATTGTTTATTTAAATAACAATAAACTACGCATCCAGCTCATTGTGAGAGGATTGACATCAGCATATGGTGACACATCACTTGTGATGAACGAACAACATCGTGAAGCACCAAATATAATTCTTTTACTGAAATAAACAAGTAATACTGTTTCTGCTTTCACTGTTTCCTGTGTGGGTTCCAGGGCTTTCTCTGCTTCCCCAGCAAGCCTGTCACAAGAGTCGACTAATTGGTGGCTTTCTTTCCAAATTGGAGTGCGTCTGCCTGAGAGGCAAGAAACAACAGTCTGTATACAAATAAGTCAGACCTGTATTATGGATGTGCACTCAGGTTTTGGAACAAGACTGAGTCTAGAGATGGACGAACTACCAGAACTTTATCCCAGAGTTTACAGCTGGTAAATGCTAAGAAGAAGATACAGCACCTGTTAGAGTGCAAAGAGGATAAGGATATCTCTTCTCGCATAATGACTCAAAGATAAAGTATAGGACTATTTTCCAAACCCTTGGATGTATTGGGGATATAGTGCTAGACCTATATTTTACAGATGACTCGGTGGTCAACATCACACAGGCCGCCTTTACTTCCCAGAACTTTACCTGGTAGCAATTTTAGGCTAGGTCAAACTGGAAGCTAAGGTTATTTTTGGAGAAAATAAAATCCCCTCGTTTCAGTGATGGAAACTATACAACTGTTGGCAGACATTACCCAGATGTAATGTCCTGCGTTTGGGTTAACTATTTGTTGGTGATTAATACTTGAAGGCGAGAAAATAAAATGCAGACAGCGATACAGTTGGGGGATGATATTACCATAGAAGTGTTGGTGCCCGAAAAAACCCACCAATTTATATACATCTAACGTTTCAGAGAGATGATGCTATGCAACGTTTACCGGCTCAAAACAGCAGTCAGTTAAACTTTTGCGCAGCCATGCCTGTTATCAAATTTAAAACCACTCTAATTCCTACGCCACCAGTGTCGGCGTACGCCAAATCTAATTGTATTTACCAATCTAAATGCACCTGTAATGCTGCATATGTGGGCAAAACTGATTTATGGCTGGAGATATGGGTAGTTGAAAATATTCCACTGTGGGTGGTAAAAGCAATGCAGAGACACTAACAACTCAGCAAAAACCAATCAGATGTCTGGTCGACAAAATCTATCATGAGCAATTGCATGCCATATTCTAAATACCTGGCAAACTGCAAACAAGGATGATGCATTTCAAATTATTTACAGTTTGGCCAACCGTAGATTACTTAGATCCGCGGAAGTGTTTGCTATCAGCCGATTTAATCTAGTTTTATGCAGACAAAAAGGATATGCTCTTTACTTGCGGTTACCCTGGTGAAACAGACAGACTGTGAATGAAGTCAATTTTGGGTTTTAGTTGCAAGGATTAATTTACTTGCTTTATTTATATCGTTTGTTACTGTAGTATGCACCTGACGATACAGCGAAATATGCCAGGAAAAAAAATTGTGCATTCTGTTGTTTGTGTCTTCTTTGTTCAAATGTTATATAAAGTTCTCAAATCAATTCCTTCTCACAACAAATGCAATAAACACAGTCTGCATCTAATTATCTCTCAACAAATTTGTGGTACTTTCTTGCCTTGATGACTGCTTCATTTATGTACTGTCTCCCTGTGATCCACCCTTGCTATCTTCTCAGAAACCACACCACAGCTGCGAGCAGGTGTTTTTCAGGTAATCTACTTATTGTTCATGTCCCAGATAATATAAAAGCAGATTCTATATAACACTTGAACCTACTTTTTCTAAATGCTAATGACAATTAGCAATTGAAACACAGTCAAAGCAAAGAAAAACTCAGTTGGTCTGTAGCAACATTAATTTTAATGATGATACATTGAAGCATTTAACAAGGGAGTGACTTTCCATCCTTTCAAATACTCACATTCATACAACTATCTCAACTTGCTGCTGCTGCTAATAACTAACCAGAATTCACTTTTCATCATCTTAAGTGATGTCTTGCTGTCCTGGCTGGCTGACTAAACTTGGGGCCGAGCTTACAAACCCATCATGTACCTACAACTTTCCCTTTCCTTTCGGTCTAAGTTGACCAATAGTTGATACCTCATTTCTGGTGTGGGTGCTGGGGCCCCACTCTGAAAAAAAAGGGGGAGGGGGGAGATAGACCCACTGCTCTCATATGAAGCATGTTGTAAAAGTTCAACAAAGGGGTGTTTTCTTTGAAGTTGGAGTGCATCTGCCTGAAAGGAAATGTGTCAACAGTCTGCACCCAGAAAAGCTAGATCTGTAAAACAGATGTGCACGCAAAACACGTTCTGGAACGAAACTAAAGTCCACAAGTGGATAAACAACCAGAACATTCTGCTAAAGTTTACAGTTAGTGAACCAAAGCATGTTTTGGTCCCAGCTAACCAACTGTAACGAAGGATTTCATAATGTCTTTTCAAACCAAAACCGATATCAGCAGACATGACTTTGTAACAGTAAGAAGACCTAGAAATGAAAGCCAACAGAATTCTTGCTCTCTCCAGAAAAAAAGTTTTGTATAAATGGCAAATACATACCTAGGTTGACTTAAGTCTATACAGGCACCAGGAAATAATTAAGGAAGTAAAAACAGCTGGCATGGTACAAATCATATCAATAATCACGTGCCAGTTTGTCTTAAGAAAATACAGGACTGGCACCATATACCTAATGGAAGCCACTGTGGTATAGCAGCTAGAAGCTTGTCTGCAGACCCTAAACTTACGGTTTCAAATCCGCACAAAGCTCAATTTTTTTCTTCTAAATATGACACTAGCTCCCTGGTCGACACAGATGTAAATGGCTGCCAGGTAAAGTCCTGGGAAGTAAAGAAGGCCGGCACGATGTTGACCGCATCACCTACCGAGCGTCGATTGGTCTGAAAATATAGGTCTAGCACTCTATGGACCCAGAGCCTAATGGCACGGAAAAGAGTCCATCATAGCCAGTACATCTCAAGGTGCAGAAACGCATCTGTTAACATTTCAACGCGTGTATGCGCAGATAGTTGCCGTGGTCGAGCGGCTAGACGCTCGTCGCGGATTGGAAGGTTGTGTGTTCGCTCCCTGGCGGAGCAGGACTTTATTCAAAAATGACCTTGGCTCCCAGGTCGACCCAGCCCTGAGTGGGTACCGGGTGCAGTCCAGGGAAAGTAATGGCGGCCGGCGTGCTACTGACCACATCACCCATCTTGTGCCGATTGGTCTATAAAAATATAGGTCTAGCCCTATATGCCTGATGGCGTGGAAAAGGGTCCTTTACTTTACTTTTATACGCAAATATGGAAGGCTGGTCATGTGTGAGGTAACATGCCCCATTTCAGGGTGGGGAGCTTCTTGAACCTTAACAGGCGCTGTCCTAAAAGGTAATCAGTGTAATCACAAATATGCTACCATAGAGAAACATTGTTTTTTTGTAAATTAGCTTAAATATATTTTGTGTACAATTTAAAAAATACAGCAAGCCGTTGTTTTTTTTTTTTTTTTTTGGGTTACTGTTCAAATGGATTCTGCTACTTCGCTTTACCAAAAAAAAAAAAAAGCAACAGAGAAATCGAAACTAGGCACAATACAACAGTGAACATGTCATTCTTTTTTTTTCAAAACATCTCCCTTGAATAAATTTTTTTTGGTGATAGAAAGGAACACAAATGATCTGGTTTGGTGATTTCTTAATAAAGATGGTATCTGAAGAAGGGCCACCACTTCTAGTTAACTCCACCTTTAGAAGAACCATTAGCCTGCAGCAGTGGATTACCGGAGTTGTTTTCCTTTGTGTTTACTGGCTGTCCAGACTTGTCTGTTCCTGTTGGACCATCATCCTCTGTATCCATTTCATTAAGAGATGGGTTGAAGGTTGGATTTGGGATGTCTTTTCGCACTTCAAAAATCTGCGACACAACATAACATGGAACAAATATATATAAGTTTTCTGTTTAAATTTTTTTTTTTTAAACAAAACGGAACTGACTAAAAGGATGGTGTTGAGCTAAGAACTAACATCACAGTACTCAGGCCATGCCCACAAGTGCACCATCCTCATCTTCAGCAACCATCAGAGTTCAAAGTCTGACGGTAACAGTAGCAATTTGATTATATGTCTATCTTGCCTTTCTTTGAGTGTAGGTCAGATCTTCTTGTCACTCTTAGCTGTACCACCAGATTCCCCTGGTCACTCTTAGCTGTACCACCAGATTCCCCTGGTCACTCTCAGCTGTACCACCAGATTCCCCTGGTCACTCTTAGCTGTACCACCAGATCCCCTGGTCACTCTTAGCTGTACCACCATATTCCCCTGGTCACTCTTAGCTGTACCACCAGATTCCCCTGGTCACCCAGCTGTACCACCAGATTCCCCTGGTCACCCAGCTGTACCACCAGATTCCCCTGGTCACCCAGCTGTACCACCAGATTCCCCTGGTCACCCAGCTGTACCACCAGATTCCCCTGGTCACATTTAGCTGTACCACCAGATTCCTCTGGTCACTCTTAGCTGTACCACCAGATTCCTCTGGTCACTCTTAGCTGTACCACCAGATCCCCTGGTCACTCTTAGCTGTACCACCAGATTCCCCTGGTCACACAGCTGTACCACCAGATTCCCCTGGTCACCCAGCTGTACCACCAGATTCCCCTGGTCACATTTAGCTGTACCACCAGATTCCTCTGGTCACTCTTAGCTGTACCACCAGATTCCTCTGGTCACTCTTAGCTGTACCACCAGATTCCTCTGGTCACTTTTAGCTGTACCACCAGATTCCCCTGGTCACTCTTAGCTGTACCACCAGATTCCCTGGTTACTCTTAGCTGTACCACCAGATTCCCTGGTTACTCTTAGCTGTACCACCAGATCCCCTGGTCACTCTTATCTGTACCACCAGATTCCCCTGGTCACTCTTAGCTGTACCACCAGATTTCCCTGGTCACTCTTAGCTGTACCACCAGATTTCCCTGGTCACTCTTAGCTGTACCACCAGATTTTCCTGGTCACTCTTAGCTGTACCACCAGATTCCCCTGGTCACACTTAGCTGTACCACCAGATTTCCCTGGTCACTCTTAGCTGTACCACCAGATTCCCTGGTCACACTTAGCTGTACCACCAGATTCCCCTGGTCACTCTTAGCTGTTGTACCACCAGATCCCCTGGTCACTCTTAGCTGTACCACCAGATTTCCCTGGTCACTCTTAGCTGTACCACCAGATTCCCCTGGTCACACTTAGCTGTACCACCAGATTTCCCTGGTCACACTTAGCTGTACCACCAGATTCCCCTGGTCACTCTTAGCTGTACCACCAGATTCCCCTGGTCACTCTTAGCTGTACCACCAGATCCCCTGGTCACTCTTAGCTGTACCACCAGATTCCCCTGGTCACACTTAGCTGTACCACCAGGTCCCCTGGTCACTCTTAGCTGTACCACCAGATTTCCCTGGTTACTCTTAGCTGTACCACCAGATCTCCTGGTCACTCTTAGCTGTACCACCAGATCCCCTGGTTACTCTTAGCTGTACCACCAGATTCCCCTGGTCACTCTTAGCTGTACCACCAGATCTCCTGGTCACCCTTAGCTGTACCACCAGATCCCCTGGTTACTCTTAGCTGTTGTACCACCAGATCCCCTGGTCACTCTTAGCTGTACCACCAGATCCCCTGGTCACTCTTAGCTGTACCACCAGATCCCCTGGTCACTCTTAGCTGTACCACCAGATTTCCCTGGTTACTCTTAGCTGTACCACCAGATCCCCTGGTCACTCTTAGCTGTTGTACCACCAGATCCCCTGGTCACTCTTAGCTGTACCACCAGATCCCCTGGTCACTCTAAGCTGTACCACCAGATCTCCTGGTCACTCTTAGCTGTACCACCAGATCCCCTGGTCACTCTTAGCTGTACCACCAGATCCCCTGGTCACTCTTAGCTGTACCACCTGATCCCCTGGTCACTCTTAGCTGTACCACCAGATTCGCCTGGTCACTCTTAGCTGTACCACCAGATCCCTGGTCACTCTTAGCTGTATCACCAGATTCCCCTGGTCACTCTTAGCTGTACCACCAGATTCCCCTGGTCACTCTTAGCTGTACCACCAGATTCCCTGGTTACTCTTAGCTGTACCACCAGATCTCCTGGTCACTCTTAGCTGTACCACCAGATCTCCTGGTCACTCTTAGCTGTACCACCAGATTTCCCTGGTCACTCTTAGCTGTACTATTGATCTATTCATTACCTGTTCACTTGCTTGCAAAGAGCCTTGACCATGTCTAGCGTAATTTCACGACCACTTGATGCTGAATTAAAAAAAGGATGATGCTACTACCTTCACTGTACTTCTCCAGTCTTGCTATTATCATGAGCAACATGACGCTGTCAGCGCCTGTGGCTTAGGGACTGGCAGACAGCTGGTTTGATTCCAGCTGTAGATGATTAGGTAGCATCAAAAAAACAAATGACGTAATTACTGTGTTGGCGATAGATGCACTGCTGTCATAATAGGGTTTGGGTTAGGGATAGGGTTAGGAGTGGCCGTAGTTTTAAGGAGTACCTATACCCTAACCCTAATTTGACAGTAGTGCATCTATCGCCAACACACAGTAATAACCTCATCGGTTCACGCTGTCTATCGCCAACACACAGTAATTACGTAATTTGTGTCGTTCCCTCTGTTCCACTCTGTAATTGCAATGCGGCCAGGGGACTGAACTTCGCCGTACTCCATAATAAGTGGCCGTAGTTTTAAGGAGAACCACAAAGTGTGTCATGTCTTTTAATGTGGCCGAAGTATTTCAACTGTCATTTTTTTTATTTCTTTCAGTAATTCTCTTTCCAGAACCTCTGTATTGGACTGTTTTTGTTTCCATGAAACATTACCTATTCTTCTGTATACCCACATTCCCTTTTATAGACTGCTTTTATTGTTTACTTAATAGGGAAGTACTGATTTAATAATAAGGTTTATGCATTAATAAATGACAACATTCTTAATAAAGGTGAAAATATGTAGAGAAGATAACATAGTGTAAAACTCCAATGTAGTTCTGTGTAAAGATCTGATAATCAAGAATGATATTTAGTGCTTTATTAATATACTACCCCAAACAGGGGAAATCTACAGGTCACGGGACAGTCTAATATTTCAGGGGGAGGTAGATAGGCTGCACTCCCTCATGGGATGTAGGTGGGTTGGCGTTAGGGCCAGTTCTAGATTGTTTCGGGATCGTTAAAAGTATCAGAAAGCCAGGAAACCCAGTCTTACCACCCTCTAAAATGTTGGACTGTCCTGTGATGTCATCTGGGATAGGATATTATTAAAGAACTTGATATATTGTGAAACAGATCTACAAACATGTACCTGTATGTAACTCTCAGACAAAGTGATCATCTGAGGAAGAATGTCCGCCACATGCAAATCTTGCAGTTCATACCACTTGCCTTGACCCTAGAAAACAGTGCATACATCTTTAACAATGTAAACAAAAAAAATATTTATGTGAACTATATAAAAATGTTCTAAGATGGAGATGGTGGAGATGACAGACTGCCATGCAATGATCTTCTTGATGTTTTCTGCATTCATGGTAAGGGGATGGAGTTTTTCTGTCGGGGGGAAAATAATTATCCCAACTGCACAGTCCGTGGCAACAGCACTAGCCATGTTGCTCTAAATACTCATGCAAAGATCTACCCTGTGTGCAGTGCTCCCCTCCCTCTCCACCCCCTAAAAAAGGCAGTAAATAAAAACAATGGGCTATCCTCCGACTAACGGTCGGCAAAGATGGCGGCCGCAAAATATCCTTTCGAGCCACAGCCGCGTGTCAATTGCACACTAGCGGTCACGAGATAGTGGGAGACATGTGGCGGTGGCGATAGTCACCGGAAAACCGCAAATTAAGTCAAACGACTGTGGCTCGAAAGGAAATTTTGCGGCCGCCATCTTTGCCGACCGTTAGTCGGAGGATAGTTAAACAATGTTATACAGATACAGCGGTAACAGAGCCAGAGGTCGACCGCGCACAACATGGACCACAGAAACATCAGAAACACAACAGAAGAGCCAGTCCGGAGATTTCTTCCTGCCCTGGCGCTGTGAGGCATTCCAGGAGTAGAGAAAAGAAGAAGCAAAAGTGACCGGTTTTTTAAAACAATATTTGTGTTGGGTTGAGTTAAGAAACAACAACACAGCACTCAGGACATTTCCATTGGTGCTTAGTCCTAATTTTCAACAATGAAGAGTTGAAAAAATGATACCAACAGCAGTCTGATTATATGTTCATTGTACCTTTCCCTTGAGTGTGATGGGCGAATCCACTGGTCACGCCCTGCAGCACAGTTCTCTTCACACCAAATACATATATAACATGCTTCAGCGCTGTTAATTTGCTCCCAAGGGACCTTGACCACATTTAGCTTGTCATGCATCAATTTATCATGCAGTGGTGCAGCACCAGCCTACCTGTCTGGCTGTTCATTTTAAAATACACCGACATGCCCTAAAACAAGATTCAAGGGCACTAACTGTAGCTTAATAACAATTTACAAACCTGAAGAAAAAAGTCGAGACAAAACGCAAATTAAGTGAGATGGTAAACCATGCTAAAGACACATGATAATGATAGTTCAGAGCTGTAAAAAAAAAACACGTAACATGTGGTATTTACCTTGTGCAAGACATGACATCTGTAGCTACCCTTCCCCTTGCCTGGCTCTCCATCATGGACAATGTTTGCGACAAGGTCATAGGTCGTGTGCTTGTGGTGGGCTCGAACTTCAGGTGACAAAAGGTCACCAAAATCTATATTTCTGGGGAGCAAAGATCACCAACATCCATTTTTCTGCAGATATAAGGTTTCATAATCTAGGTTTCTAGGGAATAAGGATCAAAGACATTAAGTTTCCAGGGAAATAAGGTCATCACAATCTAATTTTTTGGGGAAATAAGGTCATCACAATCTAATTTTTAGGCAAATAAGGTCACTAAAATCAATACTGTTTGGAAAATGTCACCAACATCTATACTGTTAGGGAAATAAGGTCACAAAAATCTATTCTGTCACAGAGCACATCTGTCTGTGTAAATCACGGATGCGATCACAAGAAATAAATGTGTCCAGCTAACCACAGCTACAGCCTCACATCCCAACATCAGTCATCAACAGCTGGTAGTGATGTTGGGAAAAAGACAATAACAACAGGTAACACACATTGACACATTATTTATGTATTACTGTACAATTAACACTCCAGCTGACATCACAACTTACTTTATAGGGAAGTTGACAATTGTTGGGTTTTTCTCAAACACAAAGTAATTCTTGGTAAATCTCTGTAAACAAAGAAATCACAGATGTAGACAAAAGATTACAGTAAGCATTAATAACAATTATGCCTGTAATTTATAATCAAATAAAGAAATCAAACACTCCAAACAAACTGAGTCATACAGTGCTATATTTCATAAAACAAAATCACCCAAATCTTCACATATGGAGAAATGGAAATAAAACCGACTGTAGAAGTATGCTGGTACAATACTGAGACAAACAGGTTATGCTGACACCCTATGGAGTCCTAGTGTTGGTTCTGCAACCCCAGTAGGGAAGAATAGACGCACTGCTCCGACATAGCATGTTTTATGAGGCAAAGGGTGCCAAAATTGGATGTTACAAGTTAAAAGGTGCATATACTGCAGCCTAGCTGTAAACCACAACAGAATACACCAAGTGCCCTTTTAAGAGTGAATGTAGAAGGAGAGAAAGAACATCACAAAAGTAGATGGAAAACCTTAGTGCAACAAAGTCTAGCATGTGATACCACATCTAGTTTAAGAATGGAGGTGGAGGCAGTCACTGCAGCTTTTTGCTGACTTGAGACCCAGCTACACTCACATGCCACTGACTGTAGCAGACTCACAAAGCATGCTGAGAAAGGCGGAGACCGGCATATTTTGTCAAGAGTGGCAAGAGATCCCAGGTAGTTAAGAGTCCTTTGGATATTTTTACAGGACATACAGGTGGGGAGGGAAAAGGCCAATAATCTTGCCTGTGCAGTTTACCTACAATCAGTTTATAAACGGCATAACCACAAAAAGACTGATTGCTGAAAATCACACAAAATTTTCCTTTTGTTATCCATTTCCAGGTTACTGTGGGTAAAGTTCAAGGATATTGGTAAGTTTTCATACAAATTCAGTTTCTTTCAAGGGGGCTTGAGAGGGATCTTGCAGTTCCTGTTTTCCCAGGTTTCAAAATAATTCATCAAGAAGATAAGAAAGAGACATCCTTTTTTGGGTTGTAGTATGAGAAAAAGGGAATTGGAACATGTTGTGACCACTGGACAGATCTGTGGAAAAGAAGACAGGAAAGAAAATGTGAGAAGATTCTTTGCAGCCTTTTGTCATTTCATGGAGGGTTGTCAACAACGAACTGATACATGCAGATTGTGGAGAGGCATGTTCACCCTCCGCAGTAGTCATGGCACTTGTTGGTGAGGATACAGAAACATGATGTTTAGCAAGGATGTTGTTTATGAGAAAAATTCAATAGCGTGGATGAGGTGAAAGCCAGATAAGACCATTCTATATGACAATGATGAAAACTGAGAAAATAATTTGATCTGCAAGAAAGGGTTGAAACAGGTGGGAAAGAACAAAACAAAGAAAACTGATAAGAATTAGCATGTGACTCAATGTGTACCTTGAAATAAATAATGATGAAAGGCGGCAGGCGGGTCAGCTCAAACCTCTTCAAGGTGCTGTCCTTGTGTGTCTTGTACTCTTTCTCTGCCACTCCGTTGAACTTATTCAAAAGGTTGGCAAATGGCACCTGGATAATTTTTCAAACAGGGATCCAATCAGTGAGCTTTAAAACAGATAGGTATAAGACAAGCTATGGTGGTGTAACTGTCAGCTCTAAAATGGCAACAGGTTATTATGGAAAGGGGGGGGGGGGGGGGGGGGGGGGTTAAATAGCCAAAGACTTATGTGTGGCACAGTATCTTTCTTCTTCACTTTCACCAGCTGCAAACTGTGGTGAAAAGTTGTGGTTTTTCATCCACTTCTGGACTTCAGTCTTGTTCCAGAACCTGAGTTTTGCAAGCATATCCATTTTACAGATCTGGCTTATTCGTATGCAGACTGTTGGTTCTTCACCTCACAGGCAGATGCACTCCGATTTCAAAGGAAACACCCATAATTAGCAGACCATTACGAGGTGCTGGCTGGGGCCAGCTGGGTCAGTTCTGTTTTCTCTCTCCCACAATGGGGCCCTGGAATCCACAGGGCATACAGGTGTGCTGGAGATTACGAGATGCTGGCTGGGGCCAGCTGGGTCAGTTCTGTTTTCTCTCTCCCACAATGGGGCCCTGGAATCCACAGGGCATACAGGTGTGCTGGAGATTGTCAGGGAAGTAAACCCAATTATTATTTTGTCAAATAGATTAAGCAAATACAGTAAAAGGCCCTTTTCCCCGCAAGAGCTTCAACAGTCATACAACGCTTGACTCATAGATTTGTATACCAATCAACGCCCTGTGGGTGACGTTAACATCATGCCAGTCACCTTTACTTCCCAGGATTTTACCTGTTAGCCATTTTAGACTGGGTCACACTGCCAGCCAAGATTATTTTAATTTAAAAAAAAAAAAAAAAAAAAAAAAAAAAAAAAAATTGATGCAATTTGAACCCAAGCAAGACCGATGAGCTAGTAGGCAAGCATCTAGACAACCACTGCGCCACAGTGGTTCCCTGGTCATCACTCATCCCAAAATACACATTTACAAATACCGATGTTATCACACATCTACAGATACTGATGTCATTACATCTACAAAGATTATATCATGCATCTTGGTGCAGTGATTTTGATTACAGGCATTAGAGAAACTTCAGGCAGTTGTGATGAGGAAATACTTTGTACATCACTTCAGGCAGTTGTGATGAGGAAATACTTTGTACATCACTTCAGGCAGTTGTGATGAGGAAATACTTCGTACATCACTTCAGGCCATTGTGATGAGGAAATACTTCGTACATCACTTCAGGCCATTGTGATGAGGAAATACTTTTTACATCACTTCAGGCCGTTGTGATGAGGAAATACTTTGTACATCACTTCAGGCCATTGTGATGAGGAAATACTTTGTACATCACTTCAGGCAGTTGTGATGAGGAAATACTTTGTACATCACTTCAGGCCGTTGTGATGAGGAAATACTTCGTACATCACTTCAGACCCCAGCTGGCTCTGTGCTAGTTTTACGGATCTTCATGTAAGACTCCTGCAACATGTCCTTATCATGTGTTACCAATAATGGACTATATCGACCTGAACCAAACTGGCAGGTGGTCTTGGAGCTGGTAGCTCCCAGAAGTCCTGTGGTTCTTGTCAGCCAAACCCCTGGGCATAAGTAATAACAAACATGGACAACTAACTTTGAAGATGATTGAAGCCCGCAGTTGAGTACCCTAGTAAATGACACACTCAGGTCCAAATGTATGTCGATCACGACTCCTGCTGTATGCTTCAGGTTCAAATGTCAATCTCAATCCATCAAGTGTCCTACTGTATGACAGCAAAGGTTCAGATGTTCCTCACTCAAAGATACTCTTATGGAACACTAGAGTTTCAAACATCTGCTACCAATGGCCACACTCACCAGAGTGTGTAATGACCCCACATGGACATCCATGTGAAATACGCTATAGTCAAAGAGCATTCTAACATGCTAAGGAAGTGAGATGCCCATTTGTGCAGAGAATGGGAGTCTCATGGCTGTTCCTTTATTCCTAAAGAACGCAGCCTCTAGTGAACAAGAAACTCAACAAATGGGTGTGAGGTTTAGCAGTGCAGGATGTGATGATTCCTTGGATGAGCCCGGTATAAAAGCACCATGTTTGGGCTCTGCATTTATGGAAGCCTTCTTGGATGACATGGAATGCCAGTGCTCTTACCCTGCCTTCCTTTAAGGGTCGACCAATCTATGTGACTGCCCTGGATGGGTCCTTTATGATCAGCACTTGTGGATAAGGGATTAAGGAATCACCACAAATATCAAATACTAAGATGGCGGCGTGATCGGTCATGTTATTTTCAGTGATGTGTTTAATGTGATTTCTTCTTGGATTAAACTGTGTTCTTTCTACAATGATACTATGACAGGTCCAGCAAACCAGTAGGGTAGTGAAAGTTCACATAAACATGCTATTAAGTGTAACTTACCAACTCTCCCCACTGCTAAAACACCCAAGCATCACTATGGCACTAAAACGACAACTGATAAATTGCATATTTATACCAACCCTCTGCTACCAATGACAAACCTGGTCCCTAACAAGAGCACAGGAGAAAAAGATCACGACGTGCGAAATGAGATGCTTACGTAAGGCTGCCAATGTCACAAGGAGAGACAGAGTTCGAAACGAGAACATTAGATCAATTGTAGGAACCACACCATGCCTGCAATACATAAAGAAGCAACAAATCGAGTGGTTTGGCCACTTGATGCGAATGCAAACCGACCAACTGCCTCTACGAGCATACAATGAACAACACTACTGCCCTAGAGCAAGAGGCAGACCGAGAGTACGATGGATGGACAATATATCAGAGATCGTGAGGCAACACAGACTAACAACAACACATGCAACACACCTGGCCCAGGATAGAAAACTGCGACTCCCCACTACGCTGTGAGGCAATTGTGGACAAGACAAGACAAGTCAAGACACAAATATCAGGCTACACATTTACATGAAACTAACCAGGAAGCAAAATATGGATAACAAATGCCCGAAGAAGTTGGATGTGTGTGCTGAAAAGTGCAAATAATGCAGCTAGGCTGAGAACAGGCATAACTCAGATGAACAAAGAATGAAAAGAAGAAACAGCACATCTACAAATACACATCACAAAAACATAACATGTACAAAAACTGATGTTCTTACTACAAATCTTGATGTTCTCAGCAGATGTTTAAGGTGTTTTCAATCCTGCGAAGATGCTGTCTACAATTACAGACATGAATTTATTATGAGTGGAAACCGCAGACCTTTCCATTAAATAATGTTACCTGTGGAATAATGTTTTCCCTGGACTCGTCTGGATACAGAGGGGGTGGAGGCAGGTCACAGGTCAGATACAACCAGGGCATTTCTTCAACCTTTTCTGAAAACAAAAACATAATTTCAACAATGACAAGAAAATAAAGAGATATTCTAGAAATTCAGCTGTTTTAAGAGACATGTGGAAAAGGCTGTAAGCAAAACCAGAAGAGATGCCTTGAAAAGTGAAGAAATCAGAGCATCTTTGGGAACAATCCTTAGGTATTTTGATTGAAGAGCCACCTTCTTCACCTCATTATTCGCCCTTAATCCCGAAATGGAACCCATAGCAACCACACGCTAGCTATCCTATCCATTGCCATTATCTGCAGCTCACCCCATCTTCCACACCTTTTCACTGGATTCTCTAATTATCTTCTTAAAGTTTGTGTTGTCTTTTTTTTTTTAAATATCTGACTTTTTATAGACGTAAGTGTTTGTGGACAGTTCTAAGAATACTGTGGACCAAGAAGAAAAATGGCTCATAAACAGCATCCTCTCCAAAAACTGATATGTCAAGAGCCATGGTAGTCTAAAGAGAACAGTGACAGAGACAATACCTCTAGCTGACTGACTGTTCAACTAAGTTTACTCAGGGGCAAACATGGGGCCAGAGACATGAGCACAAGCACAGAAAGCTAATTAATACTTTACAATACATGGTCCATAAGCTAAATAGCCCTGGTCTAGTTTATGATGAAATTTGGAGAGAAAAAAAAAAAAAGGGGGGGGGGGGAGGGGTGTTGTTCACATCAAGTTACATGATAATGCTAATAATAACAAGAATAATACAGCAACAGCAGGGGTCAGGGGTCAAGAATTAGCAAGATTACCTTGGTAGCCTTCCTCCAGTAGAAGCTTGGCTTTCTCATGCTCACTCTGTACGGGAGAAAAAACAAAAACAAGTGAAACGTCAGTCAATCAATCAGCATGTCCTTTACAGAACAGCGCTCTCTTCCTAACAGGCTTGAAAGTATCTCTTTTGAAAGAGAAAACTGTCCAGCATCCTCTTTCCTGCTGTCCGGTTGCCTTTGTTGCCCTCCATACTCTACTGTTGTTACAATGTACCCCAGCTGATAAAATAATGTGGACTGTCCACTTCTAATGTATGTGATCAGTTCTCTCTGTGAGTTAATTGCTATCAAAGTATCTTCATTATGTTATTTCCCTGTTCTTGGTTTTCTCAGCAATCTTCAATAAACCACTTCTGCAGCTTCTACTGTGTTTCTCTGAAAAATAAGACCGGGTCTTATATTAATTTTTGCTTACAAATTCACTAGGGCTAATTTTCGGCGGCATATCAATCCCCCCCCCCCCTCTAAATACAACAACCTACATTAATTCATGTACGAAATCTACATTATTTCATGTAAAAAATCTACATTTATTCAGGTACAAAATCTACATTTATAAATGTATAAAATCTGTATGTCACTATCTCACGAAACTATCTGGCAAGTTAACCAGGTCAACAAATGCTTGATAAAGTCAAATGTGTCGACCGAAAGGCTCAAATAACGCAGCCCTGCTGTAAACAGGGGCACGGCATTTAGGTCACAAGGACGAATGAAAAGAAGAAGAAGAATTCATTTTCAAGTGCACACCAGTGACATTAATTAAATGGTCACCAGTGGCCATAATTAACAATAAATAATAATCATCACATTAGGAACAATACTGGAGGGAAAGGCCTAGGACAAGAGAGCAAAAGGTAAACAATGATTCAAGTGGGAGTACAACATCAAGAGATGGACAAACAGTAGTCTGGAGAGTGTACAAACAAGACAAGAGACAAGCATGTTGGAGATCCACTGCAGCCAACTTTCAGTGTGGAGATAGCACCTGACTGATTAATAAGGGGAAAAAAACCTTTTCTGGGAATCAGAGAAGTCAGTCACTTACCAGATCAAAGCTGGGGATCAGAGAAGTCAGTCACTTACCAGATCAACACTGGGAATCAGAGAAGTCAGTCACTCACCAGATCAACACTGGGAATCAGAGAAGTCAGTCACTCACCAGATCAACACTGGGAATCAGAGAAGTCAGTCACTTACCAGATCAACACTGGGAATCAGAGAAGTCAGTCACTTTCCAGATCAACACTGGGAATCAGAGAAGTCAGTCACTTACCAGATCAACACTGGGAATCAGAGAAGTCAGTCACTCACCAGATCAACATTGGGGATCAGAGAAGTTAGTCACTTACCAGATCAACACTGGGAATCAGAGAAGTTAGTCACTTACCAGATCAACACTGGGGATCTTGCGGGAATACACTCTCATCTTTCCTCTAAAGGTTTTATTGATGATGCTACTATTCAGCTTCCTGGTGCCATTCAATGCAGAGTGCATGGCATTTAGGAACCATGACAGAAAATCAATTGTGTCGCCTGGAGGAAACAAATCAGAGCATCATCTTAATAAAGTGTCTTGCTCTCTGTGTGGGTTCTGGGGCCCCACTGTGTGTGTGTGTGGGTTCTGGGGCCCCACTGTGTGTGTGTGTGTGGGTTCTGGGGCCCCACTGTGTGTGTGTGTGGGTTCTGGGGCCCCACTGTGTGTGTGTGTGGGTTCTGGGGCCCCACTGTGTGTGTGTGTGTGGGTTCTGGGGCCCCACTGTGTGTGTGTGGGTGGGTTCTGATGCCCCAGTGTGTGTGTGTGTGTGTGTGTGTGTCTGTGTGGGTTCTGGGGCCCCACTGTGTGTGTGTGCATGTGTGAACAAGAACAGATCTACTGTTTCCCTAACAATCATGTTGTTAGAGTCAACAATTAGGGGTTTCCTTTGAAGTCAGAGTGTGTGCATCTACCCGAGAAGCAAGGAACAAACAGTCTTCACATAAATAAGCCAGATCTGTAAAATAGATGTCTCACATAACTCAAGTTCTGGAATAAGACCAAAGTTCCAAAAGTGGACGAACAACCAGAACTTTCTGCCGGAGTTTACAGGAAGTTAACACAAAGAAGAAGTGCCTCGCTGTTTCATACCTGGTCATCTCCAAAGGTATTCATCAACACTAGTGCTGATACACTGTGTACTAAAATAGAAAGCAGGAAAAAGGGATCTTCTCACTGTTTTTCTTTGGCACTCTCTCCACAAATCTGTCCATCTTTTTCTTATCACAAGGGTGGCCAAAAAATAATGACTGCATTGCTCTTGGCCAAAAATTAATGATTGCTTTGCTCTGATGTTTTTGAGAAGTTTTCTTTGCATGTTAGCCTTTGTTCAAAACATTTCGATGACTGATTCTTGCTGTCTAAGAAGTTTTCTTTGCATGTTAGCCTTTGTTCAAAACATTTCGATGACTGATTCTTGCTGTCTAAGAAGTTTTCAGCAAGGAATCATATCCCTGTGTGGGTTCTAAAACCCCATTTCTGGGAACCAAGAATAGGCTTCCGGCCTATGTAACAAGCATATTCGTAAAAAGTGTCTAATAAGGGTGTCTCCTTCAAAATCGGAGTGTATCTGCCTGAGAGGTCTGCATAGAAATAAGCCAGATATGTAAAACGGTTGTACACACAAAACTTAAGTTCTGGAAAAATAACACCAAAGCCTAGAAATGGACAAACAACCAGAACTTTCCACCTGAGTTAACGGCTGGTGAATGCTAAGGAGAAGAAGAATAGAACCACAAATATGAGGCAACATCATTGTAATATTATTTTGTGCACTATGTAACACTGTTTAAAAATTTTTTCACTAAAACACTGTGTCTACTCAGATTTATATTTTAAGTGAAATCCCTGTAGTATGAAGTATTTCAGTTTCTGAGACATCATACTGTTTACGAATCAGTTTTCTTAGAAATTTAGACACAGTAAAATGTATTTTTTCTTCTTCCTGCAACATTAGTGAAGCATTTGAATTATCTTTAATTATCAAGAGATTGTTCATGCTTCACATACATAACTTGCCACAGAAAAGATGTACTGTGATACAAGCTCCTACTGTTATTAAATCTCTGTATGGCTAGAGCTGGTCTCTGCGTAATCTCTTCTGAACTGTCATTATTGACTGTATTTGCCACTCACAATGCAGTGTAGGATTGGGGTGGGGGTGGGGGGGGGGGGGGGGGGTGTGGATATGTCATGAACCTATTTAAGGCCCCACAAACTGTAGAGATAATGATTTTTTGGAGAGCTTCAGTCAGAAAAAATTGCCATCACTTATCAAGGATAAAATCCGGGTCTCCTGCAAGAGAACCAACAACTCTCAACCATCTTACACCTGTTAACAGTCTCCATTTCTCTTAACTATGGAGCAGAGTTATTCAGTCTAAGACATTTACAATTTCTTTCCTGTTCAAGCCTTAGACTCCAGCACTGAAGAGGAAGAAATAAACAGTGCCATAAAGTGCCTCTAACTCCCAATGGGATATTTATAATATTTTTGAGTTATGGCCCTTGCCTTTCACATCTTTTTCTGGCTAGTATTTTCTGTATTCACATGTACCTCGGAGCTTCAAGTGGGCGAACAGTTAAGAGACCACAGTTAAGTGGTTTTGTATATTATTGTGTCCCTGTGTCGGTTCTGGGGCTGCATTTTGGAGAACAAATAACAAACCGACTGCCCCCCCCCAACAAGTAGGTCACAGGAGGTGACTAATTAGGAGCATTTCTTTCAAAGTCAGACTGCATCCATCTAAAAGGCAAGGAACCAACAGTCTGAATAAAAATAAATAAGCTAGATCTCTAAACCAGATGCGCATGCAAAAACCAAGTTTTTGGATAAAGACCAAAATTCAGGAGTGGATGAACACCAGAGTTTCGAGTCAAAGAATTTTTAAGAAGATGTCATTTGCTGATGTTGGCTACCCGCAGTGTTCACTTGTCATTCGTGACTGTGATAATAGTAAGGAGTCATTTTCTCCTTGATAATTAATGTTTGCGTTTTTAATGAAAGAAGAAGAAGAAGTTAGTTACAAATAATGTACTGAAGCTCAGGTAAACGGAATCAACTACGAAGTGTGACGCATTAAGAATGTGAGAAAAGCAGGCATATTAGCCTATCCTGCAAAATCAAAGAGAGCATGGATTATGTGCATTGAAGGTTCAAGAACATGAGGGATAGAAAGATTACTTAAGCCTAAAATAATCAAGAATGATCAGTCTTGTTTTTCAGTGTTAGAACAGCGCATCTGATGATGATGAGCGTGAGTGAATGAATTGTACGGCGAGGAAGTGTCTGTCATACAGCTGAATGCAATTTCCACGAAAACATGGCCAGCAAACTAGTTCGACATTTGTCAACATTGTTGTGTGTCTGAGGCAGCTGTGATCGAATGAAATCATGATGTGTCCTTGTTTTCTTGGGAGTGTTAAGGACTGGCGTCTTGTACAGATATGAACGATCGTTTAAAAGCTGCAACTGGCCGATGTTGGTCACCCTAGATGGCTTACCTTAAGTGCACTGGCAAAGAAACAGGTGTTGGGAGAAATTAATGTTATCCTAACGATCAGCTGTGATCCAATGTGTGTTTATTCAAGATGCTGAAGTATCTGTACTTTCTCTGCACTTGAGAAGTTTGCAGTGATGAGAACTAACAGAATCATTGCAACAATGTCCAGCTGACTAGTGCCACTTTTGTCTTCGGTTCTAGTGCTACTTTTGTCTATGGTTCTAGTGCCACTTTTGTCTTTGGTTCTAGTGCTACTTTTCCTTTGGTTCTAGTACTATTTTTTCTTTGGTTCTAGTACTATTTTTTCTTTGGTTCTAGTGCCACTTTTGTCTTTGGTGCTAGTGCCACTTTTGTCTTTGGTTCTAGTGCCACTTTTGTCTTTGGTTCTAGTGCCACTTTTGTCTTTGGTCCCAGTGCCACCTTTGTCTTTGGTTCTAGTGCAACTTTTGTCTATGGTTCTGGTGCCATTTTTGTCTTTGGTTCTAGTGCTCCTATTCCTTTGGTTCTAGTGCTACTTTTCCTTTGGTTCTAGTACTATTTTTTCTTTGGTTCTAGTACTATTTTTTCTTTGGTTCTAGTGCCACTTTTGTCTTTGGTGCTAGTGCCACTTTTGTCTTTGGTTCTAGTGCCACTTTTGTCTTTGGTTCTAGTGCCACTTTTGTCTTTGGTCCCAGTGCCACCTTTGTCTTTGGTTCTAGTGCAACTTTTGTCTATGGTTCTGGTGCCATTTTTGTCTTTGGTTCTAGTGCTCCTATTCCTTTGGTTCTAGTGCTACTTTTCCTTTAGTTCTAAAGCTAATTTTTCCTTTGGTTCTAGTGCTACTCTTCCTTTGTTTTAATATCTTTTCATGACAACTCCCAGTGAAGACAAACTGTAGACTAACCTTGCTCTGTGATCTGAAATTTCTTTTTGGAGCACAACACCACAGCCTGGAGCATCTCATGTGGACTCACATGGGCCTTGAAGTTACATGGGTTCCACAGCTTCCGAATCAGCTCTCCAAATCTCTGAACCAACAGGAACTGGATATCACCTGGTGGTCGCTTGATTCTCTTGTAGTTTTCTTCCTTCAGGAAATAGTTCCTCAGAGGAGCAACATGGGACAGGGACTGCCAGAGACAACAGATGAAATAATGACACATAATGGAAATGAATATACTATACAAATTATTCAAATGCTAACATTAATGCAGACATACAAACAAACACATAAGCATGCGTATAAATTAACAGCATTTCCAGGAGACAATGGACATGAACAAGCAACTATAAAATCAAAATGCGTCTCTGGATTTACAGAAGAACAGGTCGTATTTCATGGAAACAAAAATCACATACTGAGGTTTTGGAAAAAATGAAAGAAAAGACTATTACTGAAACAAATACAAAAAAGGAGACACATGAAATAATAAGACCACTTTAAAACACTTTTAAAAAGCATACTTGAGGAAGGGCAAGAGATGAAGAGGTAGACAATGATACAAGTGGAAGGACAACATCAAGAGATGTACAAACAGCTGTCTGAGAGCGTGTAATACCAAGAGAAGAGATAAAGCATGTTGGTGATCCATTGCAGCCAACCATCACTGTGGAGATGGCATCTGACTGATTGACTGATTTAAAGGAGATGCACAGATACACATGCTTATAAAATAACAATTCATATCTGAAAGTAAATATAAATAAGAATAAATGGTAAGCATGTCACAACAAATCAGAAAAGAAAATAAGTAACCAAGGAAATGAAATGTCTGAGAAGAGCTGTAGGAGTGCCCACAAGAGATATAATCAAGAATCAGATCATGGGAGAACAAGTTGGCACAAAACCAGTTCTAAGTTACATACAAAGACATCCAATCAAATAGTTTGCACACTTAGAGAATGCCTAATGAGGCCATATCATATAAGGCTCACAAAAGGAAAAGGCAGTAGAGCATGAGGTAGAACAAGAACAAGATGGAAGAATAACATCAGAGATACTCTACAACAGCACAATGTGTCTATGGTCAAGGTGGCCATGAGAGCAAGAAGCAGAACCTTATATCTTCCTCGACATCCAAAGTGGCCAAAGAGGAAGTGAAGAAGAAGAAGATGTCAGAAAGTAGATGGAATTATTATTAGGACCGAACAATCTCAGGAACATATAACACCAGATCCACTCCTAATTTCTCATTCACACTATTTACATGTTATTTCATCTAATCTCATGTCTTCTGTTAACATTCATTCATATACGGTTTCCGAACATCTACCTTGTCCAGTGTGAGTGTTCCTGTAGCCAGAAAATCCCCTCTTTCATTCCCCCGTACTCCGGCATTCCCCAGACAGTATATCCACGTGATTTCCTGCAATGCTGGTGTACTGATGCTTGGTATCCACTTTGAGACAATAGTAAGTCTCAATGCCGAGTTGGAACCAGCGCTTTCAGGTGATCATCTAGCCACGACATTATCATGACTCCCCAATTTTAAAAAGCTGGATCTAATACAATAATATTCTGCTAGTTTCCTGTGTGGATTCTGAGGCTCAACTGGGGCGGGGGGAGGACCCACTGTTCTCAATAAGCATGTCTAATGGGCGACCAGTTATGCATCTTTACTTCAAAGTTGGCGTGCACCTGCAAAGGAAGTGATGAACCAACAGTCTGCACACAAATAAGCCACATATGTAAAATGAATGTGCATGAAAAAAAGGATATAGATCTACACCAAAGTCTAGATGTGGACAAACAACCTGACCTTTCCGCCAGAATTTACAGACGGTGATCGCCAAGAAGAAGAAAATTCTGCCAGTAATGGGGACTGAAAGTACACAGGGCAAGGGACAAAGAGACTTTCAGATGTGCCTATGAAGACAGCGATGTTCTGTAAAGAACATGCTGAGTGATGATGATGAATGGCGACTGAACTCCCAGATCACCGTCTGTGTGATGTTTACACTAACCTACACGCTACCAGCTATCATTCTGTACTTCCAAGAAAGAAGAACTACCCACCTGGAGGACAACGTTGCAATAGTCGTTAGCTTTAATGTTGTTGAGACCCACAATACCTGGAAAGAGATAACAGAAATTACATACAAATATAAAAACACTTCTCCAACAAAAACTATCCCTGAACAGTCACAAAAGTGAGAAGAATAATTCAGGTAAAGATCAGAACAAGAATCACATGGTAAAACAGCATTTGTCAAAGTGGAAACCACAAGTAAAAGTAAAGCACCTTTCTTATGCCAGTGGTGCACCAGGTATATGATTGCAGCATAGTAGTTTAGATCAATCAGCACTCAGCGGGTGATGAGATCAATATCACACTGGCCCCATTTACTTCACCTGGTACCCATGTCAGGATGGGTCAATCTCTGCCTCAGCGCAGATTTGAACCCAAGATCTTAGGTAAATGTCTAGCAACCAAACTAAAGCAGTTCCCAATGGGAAAAATATGAACAGAAAGATATCAACGGCAATGAGAAAGAATGAAAATGTGCCTCATAGAACTTATATTATTATTATACATATGCCGCAGATCTTGATAATAAGCATAACTTTCCAGAAATGATCAAAAAGAGCAACCCGGATGTTTTGAAAGAGGTGAGGGCTTGAAAATAATTCACCAAGAAGATCAGAAAGAGACATCATTTTTTGGGTTGTAGTATGAGAAAAAGGGAATTGGAACATGTTGTGACCACTGGAAAGATCTGTGGAAAAGAAGGTAGGAAAGAAAATGTGAGAAGATTCTTTACAGCCTTTTATCATTTCATGGAGGGGTGTCAACACACGAACTGATACATGCAGATTGTGGAGAGGCATGATCACCCTCCGCAGTAGGCATGGCACTTGATGGTGAGGATACAGAAACATGATGTTTAGCACGGATGTTGTTTATGAGAAAAATTCAATGGTGTGGATGAGGAGAAAGCCAGATGAGACTATTCTATATGACAATGATGAAAACTGACAAAATAATTTGAGAAAATAGAGTAGGCAGTCAACATCTAGGTTTGGTGAAAAGGATTGGGGGGGGGGGGGGGGCATATTGTTAGGAGAAAGTATACTAACTCACAGACAAACATCATCATCAGCAAGTTGTTGACAGAACATGACTTTCATCATAGCATGCCTGAAGGTCTCGCTTGTTCAAGTCAATCTTTCAGCTCTATGTGCTTACATAGTCAATGCATCACCATAACCGTACAAGTAAACAAATAAAATGGTTGTGACGATATGCTCGGTGACTTCAGAATGTCTTTCCTCAACGGACTTTTATTTCTATGTATTTTAAAGTATACAGAAATAATATGGTTTTGGATACATCCTTAATCTAAGTAAGGCGACCAGAACAAACATTTAATTCTCCTGGACTGTTGGTGATATCAAACACTAAAATTTTTCCCAGACGTTAAGTGTTAAGGTACAGAGATAAGACTGACCAAGCTTAGACTTACTGTCTGCAGATTTGCACACCATCTGTTGGTGTCAGATATTTATCTTCTAGCCAGACATTTAGGAGCAGATAACACAGGCTAATTGTGTTTATCTCCCCCTGAGGTTACCTAACTTGAAGGCAAGTCAGACTGTCACTATTGACATGGTGAGCCGAAAGTGCTGGCAGTTAAATTGACATGGTCGAGTGGAGTGGTTAGCAAACAACTTGACAGGTGAAGTAGACCGGAGGTGTGACTTGGCCTATTAGCTTTGACCAGCTTAATTGAACCTGTAGAATGTGACCGTGGGAATTCAAACAAGTATTGTACAGCCCTGACTGACAGCAAATAGACACCCACGGGGAGGAGCTGTGACATCCTTGAATGAGAATGATTTTAGGGGTAATGTAGGAGGAGCTTAGAAAAAGTTATAAAGGGGTGAACTCTAGGTCTGGTAAATGAGACTCTGTCAAGCACATGCCATCTGCTGGGCTTAACCTAAGCTTGAGACAGAACTTTTGGCATTGTGGTATCATTCTCCAGGTAAGAAAAACTAGTTTGAAAACCTTAATTTCCTGATAGAAATCTAACTGTTTTTTGCTCAAGTGTGTGTCTTCATCACTTTGTAATACTCCTAGGCGGACATTTCTCCATTCTTGTAGGGCACTGTCACATTGCTTTATATCCTCTTTGATAGTGTCATGAATGTTTTTCGTGCACATGTGTTTCAATGTTGTAAAACTTAAATGTTGATGTTACCATTGAAATTTAATGAACTATCATGTTCTTGAAATCACAAGCGTGAAGATAACTTTGGCAATCTTTTCACGTGTGGTTAATGTGAATCTGTATTACATACAGCTAACACACTGAACTGCGTTTAACTCCAGGGAAGCTAATGCGGAGACTGATCCCGGAGAGTAAATCCATGAGATTTGTTATTTGATTCGCCCCAGAACTATTGCTAGCATTCTGGGCACGTCCATTGTTCCAAGCACGGATTTCAGAACTTGTTCTGTCTGACTGATTGTCATTTTGTACGAGAGATGGCATCTGACGTAGAAGACTTGACTATCATTACAGGACTTGTGTAGAGGAATGCAGAAGATGTAACAGCTGGAATGTGAGACATAAGCCCTTCTAAATTGGACAGGAGTGAATGTGAAAATGAGGGAGAGATGCAATGTTTTATTTAAATAAACATGTTTGATGTTATTATAATATACATGCTTAGTGTACACCTAGAGCAGATACTACAGATATGCGCTTGTTTCTTTATCACAGTTCCCACATTGGGCAGGGACTAGTAGGCATCCATTCTTTGCCGACAGTCTGAGTGTAACGACCTGCTTGAAAGCAGTGAGGACGACAAACTGGAAAAGAATAGGCAGGGTCTCAAGCCGAGAACTGTCCAAAGGTTGTTACTTTCCAATATATAATTTCATTATCAACATCATCTCAACTCTACTAGCCTAAACAAGTTCATTTTAATTTCGATTTATTCAAATAAATCATGGTGGATGTTGTTACAAAATAGTTGAGTAAATTGTGTACTTAGGTTCAAGTGTCTTTGTGCATATTAGTTTACTTCAGCTAACAAATATTTAAATCACTTGATGGGGGCTTTTAAGTAATGCCAGGAGAGGAGAACAGTCGGAGGGGTTAACTGAGTATCCTGATATTATCTCAGTGGGTTCATCTTGATCTCTATCTATCCCTTCTCCTACTCCTGTGGATACAAGTACAGCAACTTTCATTTCATGGAACGAGCCACTCGCTGTTTTCTTGGCTATCCAGGACTGTCTAGGATCAACATAGCTTAGATATTAGTCCAGTTTTTCACGTGGGTAGGCATTGTTAAGGTTCAAACCCACACCTCACTATATCAGTGTATTTACCCACGTGGGCGCGCGACAATGGTTTAAAAAAATAAATATTTTTTATTGTAACTGTCTTATTTTTCACTTCCTCTTATGCTACTCTGGGTGTCAAGGGTGATATGAGGTTCTGCTCTTTGCTTTTGTTTTGTGTGTGTCATGTCTGTGTGTACCGTTGTGTGTTCTCTGTATGTTTTGTGTGTATGTTGTATCTGTGAGTGTGTGTATATGCCTGTGTCTGTTGTCACTGTGTTTGCCTCCATGTATTTGTGTATATTACCCTGATTCACTTGTCTTTCTTTCCTTGTGTGTGTGTGTGCATAATTTTGCATGTATATTCAAAAGTATGCATCTTTCATCCATGCTTTTTTATTTTTACTTTATATTCATACTAGAGGTTTTGAAATACAAACACCAAATGCCTGCCTGATACGAAATATACAATTGCCATGTGAAAATTGAGTGCCTGAAATGGCTGAATGTAGGGTGGCCTGCGAGCTCAATTTTAAACCTTTTGGAAATAAAGTTTGTTTGTTCATTCGTTCTTCTGGCCACTTTGACCACTGAGCTGTTGTAGAGTTTCTGTGATGTTATCTTCCCAACTTGTTCTTGGTCTATCTTGTGCTCTATATCCTATCCTCTTTTTGTGTATGCCTTGTATGGTATGGTGACATAAGGCCTTCTCTCTAAGTCGGCAAACAATTTATTTGTGGTCTGTGTATGTAATTTAGAATTGGTTCTGTGCCGACTTTTCCTCTTATGATTTCATTCCTGATTTTATCTGATGACTCCTGCAGCCCTTCTCAGACACCTTATTTCCATGGTTACTAACTGTTTTTTTCTGGTGAGTATTATAGTTTAGATACCTATATAAAAATTAACAGTTTATGTGTCTGCTTACCTGGCAAGTAAGTAGTTCCATCATAAGCACGGGAGAGTTTTGGGTTCTTGTCCAACTTTCTGATCATAACATCAGTGAATGTAGGATTTAGTACATACTAGAACACAGAAAGATGTATCAGGAATCTTAACTCAAAATACTAGAATTCGAATAACTAATTAATATGTGAAGATTTAATGCCAACAATTTACATGCAAATAAAAAGTATATTAATCAAATTAATGTAACAGTATCAAACAGTTAATGTGTGATCAATAAAGGTTACTAATGGACAATAACCTAATGATCATCATTTGATTATCGCTGGCATGAAAAAAATGTGCAATAGATAGTCTGATAATTGTGACATAATTTTTATTGACATCATCAAGAGAGGAATCAATGATCTGATAGTTATCACAATACTGACAATGATAAAATCAAGAGAGGAATCAATGATCTGATAGTTATCACAATACTGACAATGATATCATCAAGAGAAGAATCAATGATCTGATAGTTATCACAATACTTACAATGATATCATCAAGAGAAGAATCAATGATCTGATAGTTATCAGGCAGGCAGTAGAACTTCTGTGTGGCCAGATTCAGAAACACATGGTGCCCCTCAAATACACTGTGTGTATAGGCATGAGTGTTGTTTCCTCTGCCTGTTAAAAAAATATATATTAACTTTGAAAAACAGAGAAGCCAGCATATTCAAATCAAAGTAAGTAAATACAAATAAAACAAAGCAACAGATACACACAGTAAAGTAAGCACAAGGCCTTTTTCACTAGTTAGTCAGAGATTACTTCATTGCACATAAAATCATTCAGTTCATAAGTACTTGCCCCCCCCCCCCCCTTTCCCCAATAAATCCTGCAGCATGTCGCGACTGATGACACTAGTTCTGTGTTCGTGTCTTTATTCTTGTTTGGCTTCCTGTATAGTGCTCTTATCAGGCCACATCCCTTTTAACTTGCTGTTTTTGCAGTAAACGATGATGGCTCCATATTCATATAGGGTAATCAGAACTTGATGGATGATGGGCTCAACACCACAGCAACTGCCTTTACTACCAAGAACACTGCCTGCTATCCATTTCAGGCAGGGCTGGCCTCGGCAACCAGCCCAGCGTTTAACCCTCTGGAGAGGATGCGGCCAATTTATCGGTCCGACACAAAATAGCAAAAAAGACCAATGGGCCGATCAGTTGGCACTATATAATACAAGCCTTGAGACTGGCTAGCCTGTTTTGGTACCAGCCAATCAGATTGCTTCTCACATTTCTTGCACATGTGGGCTGTTCAATGATGGGTTTAAAGAAAGTTTGATGTGATCTGTGATTTTACATCAACTTTTTGTGTGGGGTTTCCTGTGCCTAACAATGGCAACAAGGACTGTTGCATCATAGCAACCAAAACATAGCTGTAGGCAGGAAAACGAGTAGAATCATGTGCCAAAAGTGTCTCAGGGGCCTCTATGGACCTTTCTTCCCAAAACACAAGTATTAGGACTTATTCAGGCTTCATCTATGAAACAAAATTGCTAGCATAAAATATGCAAATGAGAACAGTTATTAGAATAAATATTGAGATTTCAGTATGATTCATAAATATTCTGTTAGCTCATTCAATTTCCTATAAGAATATATTTAGACTTGCACATGTTAATTAAACGCTTAAACTAAGAGAATTCCCTCCTGATGGCTCTGTCTTTTAGGCACTGAAACTCCAAAAAGACTCCGTCTCCAAAGGGTTAAAAAATCCTCGTCTCAAGGGGGTTTCAAATACATGATCAAAAGATCATTAGCCTTGCTAACTGATATGGGCTATCAGCCTCTCCACGATCTGTGATCTTCAACAGCATGTACCAGTTTTTGTGCTTTCGCCTCTCCATGCCAAGACAAAGGGCTGTTGAGAAACTTTTCAAGTCGTCTTCCTTCACCTCTTTTATTTTCTGGAAATCTTTCCAGTGGTCACAACATATTCAATTTCCTTCTTCTCATAATATGACTCTCTTTCTGTTTGTGATAATTTGTTTTCGAGCCCCGCTTCTTTTAAAACTTATTTTACAATAATTAATCTACATTTTGTGGTTTCTTTCTCCAGGCGGTCCTTGAAAACCACTACAGCAGACCAAGATATTTGCAATATGCATCACAGAAAGCACCTCTCCTCTGTGCTCAAGCTCTTCCTAATTTAACCTTTCACATTCCAAGACTGTGGGCACAAGGCAGAACAGGGTAAATATAATATTTCAGCACTTGTATAGCTCAGTGAGTGCAACAGCGAAATATTTCAACACTTGTATAGCTCAGTGAGCGCAACAGCGAAATATTTCAACACTTGTATAGCTCAGTGAGTGCAACAGTGAAATATTTCAGCACTTGTATAGCTCAGTGAGTGCAACAGTGAAATATTTCAGCACTTGTATAGCTCAATGAGTGCAACAGTGAAATATTTCAGCACTTGTATAGCTCAGTGAGTGCAACAGTGAAATATTTCAGCACTTGTTTAGCTCAGTGAGTGCAACAGTGGAATACTTCAGCACGTGTATAGCTCAGTGACTGCAACAGTGAAATATTTCAACACTTGTATAGCTCAGTGACTGCAACAGTGAAATATTTCAACACTTGTATAGCTCAGTGACTGCAATAGTGAAATATTTCAGACATCTAATGAAGTGCCTTGTCAACACACTGACAAATACATATTAAACTAACAAAAAGAAACACATACCTTGGAAGTACTTGCCACAGACCATGCAAGCATATACATTGATGTGGGACAGGGACACTGAACATAGCTTCTCAAAATCAAAATCTAGAACAGATCTATATTTGAAAAAGAAAAAAAAATTAAAACCTGTTATATTATTATATTAGAGACAGTCTGTCATAGATATGGCATGGAAATTATTGCAGAGAAAAGCAAGATTCTGGTAGTCACAATAATCAAGTACCTACCAACATACAGATAAAAGGGAAAAAACTAGAAGAGGTTGAAATCTTTAAATATCTTGGCTCCCACATTTGCAACGATGGCAGCTGTACCAAAGAGATCAAGATAAGACTTGATATGGCAACAACCGCAATGTCATAGCTGAATACGATGTGGTAGAGCAAAATCAGCATCGCAGTCAATGTAAATGTTTACAAATCATTGGTATTGTCTACTTTCTTATACAGGTGTGACAGTTGGACTCTCACTGTGGAAATGAAAAAGAGGATTCAAGCTTTTGAATATAAATGCTACAGTCACATTTTATGAATTAGTTATTTTGAACACAAAACTAATAAATTTGTCAGCGACAAAATATTCAAATTCACAGTACATCAGGAGCCTCTCTTGGCAGTGGTAAAAGGTCGCAAGCTAGCTTGGTTTGTGCACGCAGTGAGACATGATTCATTTGCAAAGACTGTACTTCAAGGAACAATGGGGGGTAGTCGAAGAAGAAAAGGGCAAAGAAGAACCTGGAATGACAACATCAAGAAATGGACAGGACTAAGTTATTATACACTTTTTCATCAAGCGGAAGACAGAGAAAGATGGCGGGTTGTATGTGCCAGTGCTTCCATCAGTACACCTCCACGACCCTAATGGGTCAAGGGTTACATTATATTATTATAAAGCTACATTACACAACTACAAATAAGTTACGAAAAAATATACTGAACACACAAGTAACAGATCAAACAGATGTAACACTAGAAACAACAAGAATTAAAGTAACAGCTCAAGTTACTTAGGTAGTAATTTTGACAGTGAAGGAAATATAAAAAAAGAAATAATGACACATATTGGCAAGACCATAATTAATCCAAAATGGGCGAACAGATAAGAGAAATGTCTGGGCAACCACTGGTATCAACAGTTATAAGACAGAGAAGATGTCTGGGCAACCACTGGTATCAACAGTTATAAGACAGAGAAGATGTCTTGGCAACCACTGGTATCAATAGTTATAAGACAGAGAAGATGGCTGGGCAACCACTGGTATCAACAGTTATAAGACAGAGAAGATGGCTGGGCAACCACTGGTATCAACAGTTATAAGACAGAGAAATGTCTGGGCAACCACTGGTATCAACAGTTATAAGACAGAGAAGATGTCTGTGCAACCACTGGTATCAACAGTTATAAGACAGAGAAGATGTCTTGGCAACCACCGGTATCAATAGTTATAAGACAGAGAAGATGGCTGGGCAACCACCGGTATCAACAGTTATAAGACAGAGAAGATGGCTGGGCAACCACTGGTATCAACAGTTATTAGACAGAGAAGATGGCTGGGTAACCACTAGTATCAACAGTTATAAGACAGAGAAATGTCTGGGCAACCACTGGTATCAACAGTTATAAGACAGAGAAGATGGGGCTGCTATACTGGACACATCCTGAGAATAGATGCACAGAGAATAACCAAACAGGCACCGAAATGGGAAATACCGGATTACGGAGGCGAGGACACCTAAAATAAAAACGCGAAAACAAACACAGATGAGAGATGCCAAAGGTGCTGGACTAGATTCCATCCATGATATTGAACTGATTGTACAGGACAGAATGGAATGAAGGAATAGACTGTGAGCCCAATGTGACATATAATGGCACACAGGACAGAACGGAATGAAGGAATAGACTGTGAGCCCTATGTGACACATAATGGCACACAGGACAGAATGAAATGAAGGAATAGACTGTGAGCCCAATGTGACATATTATGGCACACAGGACAGAACGGAATGAAGGAATAGACTGTGAGCCCTATGTGACACATAATGGCACACAGGACAGAATGGAATAAAGGAATAGACTGTGAGCCCAATGTGACATATAATGGCACACTGGACAGAATGGAATGAAAGAATAGACTGTGAGCCTAATGTGACATATAATGGCACACAGGACAGAATGGAATGAGGGAATAGACTGTGAGCCCTAGGTGACATAGAATAGCACACAGGACAATGAATAAATGAACAAAACTACATTAAATCAGTTTTTAAAAAGTTGCTATAGAACTCTTTAGGGCACTGAAATGTCTTGACAAATCCACAATGTGCAATATTCAACAACATGTATGTATCAGTTCATGTGTTGAAACCACTTCATGCCATGACAATAGGCTGTCATGAATCGTCTCACATTGTCTTCCTCTGCTTCTTTTCCCACGGATCTTCCCAGTGGTCACATGTTCCAGCTTCCTTTTTATCATAACAGGACTAAAAAATGACATTGTCTCTTTCTAATGTTTGTGATAAAACAAGTTTTCTCCAAGCCCTCGACTCTTTCAAATCACATGGGCTGCTTGCTCTTTTTGGCTAGCTAAGGAATTCTAAAGATTCTTATATAAAAAACATTTTCACTGCCCCCCCCCCCACCCATTTTTAAATGAACTGTCCAGGATTCACAACCAATGTTAAAACTGGCTCGACAGAAGCATGGTAAAATTCTTTTCCTAACCCCCTTTCTTCATTTTATAAAATGCAGTTTTGGCCTGCTCTATTCTGTTCTTTATCTTTGTGATACATCTTCCGTCAGATGTTATCTAAATGGATCTTCACTAGTCCAAAAAACTGAGATGAGATTCTTTCCATGCGATCTCTGGGAGGAGACTGGAGCACTTATGTAGATAATATTAGGCAATACGGTAATCCCTCATCAAAGCCATTCTTATAATGAGTGACTTCCAGTCAAAATCGATGCTAGGCAAGGTCACTGTTTTGATTCGTGGCAAATTCGTTGCTTCTGCGACGGTGGCTGTTGCATTTTTGCTCCATTTGTAGACTGAAAGGATATAGTTTCGTCGCCCAGCTACTGAGATGAGTGCATGGTGCGACCCTGTGAGCTGCGGATTTCATTTGAAATGTTTTTCGACTGTGACCAGCGTAGTGTTGTGAACTGTAGATTCTGAAAATGGCGCATTTTCCTGTCGTCGCAATATTGGTGGAGCTCTTATGTGATTAAAATTGATTGCGTGTGCAACTGCTGATTTGTAGGTCACCTCTGCTACTGTTGATGATGAACTGCATCTCTAATATCGCACTGTTTGTGTTAGCACTTCTGATAGCTACCATACGCTTTTAATGTGTGTGTTTGCTAGTGCATATGCTGAGACAGCAGTCTGTCAATCTTTCCACAAGGGACTGTGATGAACATTCTGTGTGCTTTTTGTTGGCACAGGGAGCGGAGCGAAGATGGGGTGACCCATTTGCTATGAAGCTGAAACTAACATTACCATTACCAGTTTTAGAATGTGAAACAACAGAACAAATATATTAAAATAAATAAATAAATAAATAAAGAGAGCGACTGAGAGAGAGGTGGGGGGGGGGGGGGGGAAGGGGTGGAGATTACACTTGTCCAATCAAACTAATCAATATCAACTCACCTGTTAATGGTATCCAGGTATGGGCAGGACCTGCTTCTGTCTAACTTTGGTTCCTTTGGGTGGACTGGAATCATGTATGTCAGCATTTGAATTCATGACACAACACAAATATACTTATACTCTGGCCGGACAGTAATGTGATTTCTAACTTTTGTGTATTTCTGTTCGTATTTCTGGTGTTCTAGATTTGTTAGGCGCTGATGAAAACTCTCAACCCACAACATTTACTTGCCGTCTATGTTTGCAACAATGTGAGCTGACTGGTTCTACTTTTTGTTTGCCTGGTATACTTTCACATTAAATAATTTAATATGTGGATATTCTAAATTCTTTCTATATAAAGATGTCAAATTCAGTTTCCCCTGGTAAATAAAGTGTGAGAAAAAGACAAGAGTGAGACAGACAGAGACTTGGCTATCCTTCGAATAACGGTCCCAAATTATCGAGGCCAAAAATACCCTAAGAGGGCCTCATGACATAAAAATTGCTGACCTTTTTCCGGCAACTACACAGCATACCGCGGAAAAGCTTCCGCCGAGTTAAAGTCACTGTCGAGAGTATCTCCCGAGCCGCTATGCGCGGAGCGGGACTAAACTAGATGGCTGGGACTCATGAGCAGCAGCTATCGCATCTCCTGCAGCTTCCTTCATTTTATCTGCTTGTGAGTCCCAGCCATCTAGTTAAGCCCCACTTCGTACCGTGTGGGAGATACTCTCGACGGTATAGTCGCCGAGAAGAAGTCCGCAATTTACATTTGACTGAGGCCCAGTTATGGTATATTTCCGGACTCGATAATTTGGGACCGTTATTCGGAGGATAGCCAGAGACTGTAATAATACAGTCATAAGTAAGCTTATCAGCTGACCCATGCTCAAGTGTCTGAATCATTACTGTTGTGGGAACTTGAGTTGACTTCTGTTGCCAGGCTGGCCCGGCCTATAAGCCCGGGTATCAGAAAATTTTCTAGGAAGTTGAGTCAACAAGACTGACAATGACCCTATCATCATCAAGTGCCAAGTGGTCTATATGTGTCACAGTTAAAACCAGCACAGTTAGATAGCTGTAAACAATCTCTTTCCAATGGTACCTCATTTAGGCTTGTATGTCATTTCTAAGCTGAGATATGTAGGTTTTTGTGGAGATGAGATGTAGAAAGCAGCTGCTAAAACTTGCCTCCCAGAAACTGCACAACTTTCGTTTTGGCTTTGTTTACATTGGACTGTCATTGGACAAGATGGCAGCCAATGAGACACAGCCACTGGCTGAGCCAGCGATTGCCTTAAAAATGTCACTGTACATCTACCTAGCCACGGTTCAGAAAGAAATTTTATACACAAATGTAAAAATGGATGGAGAATTCAATTTTAACTAGCATTACCAGTGCCAGTAACAGTTAAAGCCTAAAGCCAACCTTGAATACTTAGCGCTATTTTCAATCAAACTGATGTAACAGAAAAACAGAGGCTGTCCGGCTGTTGTAGACATGCGCTGTTAATCGGGTTTCTTCCCGCTGTTTTCAGCTATTTAGAGTGGGTGAAAATCACGCCAATCGCAAAATTTCATGAGAGATTAGGACCCATCCCGAAACCCCAGCCGACATTTCCGAAGCAAGTTTCGAACGGTTTCCGTGGTAACGAAAATTGCCAAAAGATCGCAAATTTCCGGACACCGTAGTCGCTACTAGTATCGTCTGCAGAAGCGCTCAAAATTGTCAACGGTCGCTATTATCGTCTGCAATGTTGCGTCTCTTGAAATTGTCAAGTAATTCTAGTTTTGCCGCGATTTGTTCCATGGCAGAAAGTCCGAATTTTTCATTGGACTGAGCCCCGAACGGATATTTCAGGCCGCCATAATGCGGGGGTAGAAAGTTCGGAGGAGAGCTGCAGAAGAAATGTATGTCGGTTTCGGGAAAAAACTAGTGACATTCTAAGCAAAGAAGCCTGTACTAATCAATATAAGCAAATTGAATTGCAGAATCAATATAACTTACCAATATTGTCATCTTTATTATCTGTGGGTCTTTTGATACGTTTTTCTGCCTCTTTTTTCATCATCGGTTTCTTGTCGTTTGCTATGACTGCAGCCATCTTGGTGCCGGAAGTGTCAAGGATAATGGATCCATCGTTACTTATTGTTGATTCTTTAAAGTTTGATTAACAAAAAATATTTATCTTGTATATAGACGACAGTTTCATTTAATATAATAATAATTGGTACATATGTAAAAATTAAGTAATAAACTTCATTTTAACTTGTGTAGTAATGTGTCAAATGTTTTATTTAATGACTGCTCCTTAAGGAAGGGGAGATAAGCGTTGAAGAAACCTTGTGAAGGAAAAATGTCGGTGGTTATTGCTGCTCGAGTCTGTGAGACTCCGGGATGTGGTGGAGCAGCCAAGCTTCAGTGTCCAACTTGCATCAAGTTAGGAATACCCGGTTCTTATTTCTGCTCCCAGGTGAAAGGCGAACTTATTCTTTTTAATTATAACGTTTTTACTGATGAGAAACAGTTCCATGCTCTGTGCCTTTCTTTTGTCATATCTGTTTGAACATGTGTGAATTGTTTGCTCTGACTCTGCTGAGAAGAGTTCACGGTAGAAGTTACTGTCTTAGACCAGGACTTTCTTTTAGACACAACACAAAAAGGTGCCGGTACTCACCACACAGTGTCCTGTGGTATTCACTGCGAAATGTCTGTTACATCAGCGCTGAAAAAAAAAATGATGCCTGAAAAAAAAAAAAAGGTGTAAATAGGGCTCTCCTTTGAACGGCATCATAAAATGGCGGCGTTCGGAGGAGAGCCACATTCTGGCCATAAAATAGCCAAAAATATCCAAATGGGGCTCAGTTATATTGAAAAATATGCCAGCTCCGTATAACGAAACAAATGCTTTAACAGGGTCTCAGCGATATGTTACTTGCTGACCTGTTTCTTGTTGTTTCTGATTACCTGACAATTCTAAGAGACTCACACAACACTGCAGACGATAATAATAATAGCGACCGTTGACACTTTACATTGTCGAACTTTCATGCAGACGAACAAATCACTGCAAATCTAGGATCGGCTCGGAAAAACAACACAAATCCTCTAACTGGGTCTCAGCGATATGTTACTTGCGACCTGTTTCTGTGACTGCCTCACTGCCGAGGGTATCCTTGCGCCGCTACGCGCGGCTCAGATAGGGGCTAAACTAGATGGCAGGGACTCACGAGCGGCAGCTACCGCATTTACTGCAACTTCCTCCAGTTACTTTGCTCATGAGTCCCAGGCACCTAGTTTAGCCCCCTACCCGCGGGGGATACGCTCAGCGATGAGTTAAATCGCGTTTTGTGCATGCCGACAAGTCTGACATCTACCGCTGCTAAATCCTCCAATCGGAAGAACAGTATTTCTAATCGCTTTCATCGTCTGTAATGTCTCAAAATTATCAACGGTCGCTAATATCGTCTAGTATCGTCTGCAGAAACGCTCTAAATTGTCAATGGTTGGTATTTATCGTCTGCTACTACCGTGTGCAATGTTGATAGTGATTGTCAAGTAATCCTAGTTTTGCCGCGATTTGTTCCTTGGCAGACAGACCGTATTTTGGATATGCCTGAACACTGTTAGGATATTTTATGGCTAGAATGTGGGTCTCCTCCGAACGCCACCATATTATGATGCCGTTCGAAGGAGAGCCATAAATAGTTTACCATCATCCTATATATACTGAAACAGTGAAAAAACTCTGGTTTAGATTCAGTCACATCACAGTAGTAACAGTACTCATACATGATACTGTGTCACAGAAAGTAACAGTTGAATGGGCTAGAGTTAATGAAATACTATTACTCAAATAGAGGACATAAGAAGGAAAGTTAAAATAAATAATAAAATACAAGAATTACTACAGGATTTGTGTGTGACCTTTACTAGTTTACTTTTTATGTGGTGGTAGTTGTATTCATCAGATAAGCAAGCACACAAATAAGGTGTCAGGTATAAGCTGTTATTGTTGTAACCAGTGTAATAAGGTGAATACATACACAAATTAAGTAAATCTGTTTAGGCCACAGTAACTATTGTGATGTCATCATAAGGTGACAGAAAAGGCCAGAATATTTTTATAGTAATTGTTGTTCCTCCACTTATGTCCTGTTAATGTTCCAGAACTTTTCCAGAAAAGTTTTGCATGCACGTGCATTTCACAGATCTGTCTTATTTGTATGCAGATTGTTGGTTCCTTACCTCTCAGGCAGATCAGATACACTCTGACTTTGAAAAAAGCATTCCTAAATAGTAGTTGCCTTGTTATGGGGGCAGAAATCAATGTTGAGGTTGCAAGTTTGTTACCAGGGCCCCTATGTAGGCAAAGAGTCCTGGTTATACTCTACCAGGCATTTCATAAGAAGCAATTAAGAGTCAATTTTCAGTTGGCTACCCATCCCATAACAAAAAAACTAAGCCTTATAATGTGTTTTAAACCTTAATTGTTTAACTTTGGTCTGATCAGTTGTTTTTTTAAATATTTTTTTTTATCCACTGGTTTGATAAAGTACACAGATAGAGCAGTGTACTGAATCCTAATTGATTCCTTTTTTTTTCTTTTTAAAGGATTGCTTTAAAGGATCTTGGGGTGAACACAAAAAGCTTCATAAACTAGCAAGTTAGTTTTTTCTTTATATACATGCACGTATTTGTATGTATGTTTTTTGCTTAAAGTTTTTAATATCATTTTTTAAACAATTATTATCTAGGACTCATTTTTCAGTTGTTTGCATTAAGGGCTTTTAGCAGTGTCTGATTGAGGATATTACTGATTGTTGTTTTTTGTCATCTTTCCATCTTTCTTAACTATGCTGTTAGATTGTACTTAGGAAAGCACAGAAATCACTCGCCATGTCTGTGGTGTTTGACTATCAAGACCCACTCGTGTTAGGAAAAGTATTCAAACGAGCGCAAGGGATTTCAGGACCAGTGTTGCAATTGCATGTATTTAATATGTTTCTATATTACTGATTGACCTGTCTGCTGTTGCAAATGTCTTCAGCTGTAGATGCACACTGGATGTGCATATGTTGTTCTTTTCCTCTCTTATATCCTTTCTTGCCTGATCCACACTTAATTCAAAATTCATGCAGTCTTGTTGTTTCATCTTCTGTCAGCATGCGCTCATAAATGGTCTTCAGGATATTTACGTTATCAGATGTTTTCCTAGTGGTGCCGCTTTCGAAGCAAACAGAAAAAAAGGTCATTCATTACTTCACACTTCTACATGTTTGGGTAATTTTTCCTGGTATTTTCATATATCAGTTGTTGTGCCTCCAATTCTGCAATACCATTACACAACTCTCTACATTCCCTTCCTGATGTGATAATGACTTGGTAGAAAATGCTGCTGTTTGTACTCCTCTTCACCGATTCCTGCCCCTTGTGTATTTGTTCGACTAATGCCACCAACTCATATTTATCTTTAGCTGTTGCCATCAGTGACTTTCCTCTGTTTAATTTTCTCTAAAGTCGTTCATGTTGTCACTCAGTGGGTGTCTTTAATCATTGGTGACTTGCATATCCGCCTTGGCCTGTGCCAGAGCCCATCTAGACTTAATAGATTAGTGAAAGAAGCTGTGGTTCAACAAGACCAGCAGTCTGTTCCATTGATGTCACCACACATTGTAGATTCTAACATCAGTAAATACGTCACCACACCTTGTAGATACTAACGTCAGTAAATGAAGACACACGGATGCCTGACTGAAGTTTGTTAAACCGGAAAGCACAAATTGTTTATCACAGCTTTCAGAGAAACACATAACTAATGTCTCTCTCTTGGAATAAACAAAGACAAATTGCAAAAAAATGGTTGCTGCTAAAATCTTTGCATGGTTTATTATATCGTGTACGCATTTCGGGGTGTCGCAGTTACATTGTGGCTAGATAAGTGTCTGAAGTTCTTGAGTTCATCTGCACTGGGTGAATTAAAAAGAATCTGTACTTTTAGGTCAACCCAGTCTTAAATGGGCAGGGGTTGTGTCTTGATAAGTAAAGATGGCTGGCTTGATGTTGACCATATCTTCTTTCGGCATTTGCCAATTTGTCTATACAAATATGAGTGTAGCATCATGTGCCCCGTGTGCCACTGGCAGGAAGAAGGTCCTTTACTTTACTTTTATGTGTTTTTTTTATTTTTCTAAAAATATGTAGGTGATTCAGCAATGCATTAGGAAAACACCAGAAAAATAAGGGCAGGAGAAACACAATTGGACATAAGAAATTATCGAGCTGTCTGACTGAGAGTAAGAAGTACTTAGCCAGAGAGCTGGCACAAATATCAGAACATTAGCCACAGATGTGATGCAAGTAAACCAGACCACAAATATAACCAGAGACTGTTGGCGGCTTCGGCTGGCCAGCAGCAGGTTGAATGTGGTCGAGTTTTTGTTCTTTTTTGAGTGTATATGGACTTGGACTTGAACATTGCATATACAGTAAAACCCCTTTAACACAAATTCCAAGGGACCCAAAAAAAAAAAAAAGTCAAGAGGTGTTAAAAAAATGCATGCTAAACAGAGGCTAATAATAATAATACATCCCCACTGGGATGTTGTTCACATGAACAGTGTTCATCATAAGCAAGTTTATGTTAACTTTTTATTGTAAATACATGTTTGTGAAATTTTTCATTGTGTGAAGTCACTAAACACCAAGAAAGGAATATATACATCTGCTGAATTTTATTGGGTATCATTTATGTTTATTTTGGAGTGATAATTTATGTTATGTTCCAGTTATAAAAATGTGGTAATTTTAGTTCATGCTATTTTTTTCAGAAGGAAGCTCAACTGATGATGGAACACAGTACAACCCATGGCCAGGTTTTCGATTCACTGGAAACTTACGTCCGTACCCACTGGTAATTTATTGTTTTTCCACACAACAGAAGTTCATAATGCCAGACTGAGAACAGGGGTTGTACGACTTGAATACTACATTAAGGGATGGGTCACAAAATAGTCAATCAGACAAACATTTGACGTTATTCTTTCTTCTTTGAGTTCACCGGCTGTAAACGCAGGCAGAAAGTTATGGTTATTCTTCCATTTATGGACATTAGTCTTATTCCAGAACTTGATTTTTGTATGCAGACTGCTGGTGCCTCACCCCTTATTGACTGGCTTTTACGACATGCTTGTTGAGGGGGGGGGGGGGGGGGTGGAAGGGAGGGAGTGGGTTATTCTGGAACCCACACAAATAAATTGACATTATAATCTGTTTATATTAACAATAATATACCAGTAATAATATTTGTTAGTATTCTTTCCTGATCTTTTCTTCATCTTGCGTCAGCTTTTCTTTGGTGAATCAGAATGTTCACTCTTTAAATGGGGCATTTTAGAGTTAGTAGCCATGGAAATTGTATCAGTCTCCAGCATACATCCCTCTTTAGGGGTTGTTCTCATCCTGCTGAATCATCAGCCAGCCTTACTTCGAGTGCACTTTCTATCAAACATCAACATTCATCTCCATCATGCCTCTGGGACTCCTGCCAAGACCTTCACCTTCATGGAAGTGACATTTGACTGAGTAGACACAAGTCAGCAGGATTGACATTGACAGCATTAGCGAGTGTTTGAAATATGGCAAAAGACATCTTTTTAGTTGCTGGTTCAATGCTTAATTCACTGGGCTCTCATGCAAGAGAACCAGGTTCGATCCTCTGTAAGGGATGGAGATTTTGTCTGTCAAGAGTAAAAATAAAATTCCTAGCCTGCACACCATTCATTAGCCATATGTCATTGACCTCTTCCCTATATACTCTGGCTCATACTGTAGGCAGATAACAGATAAAACTACACTAAACACACCTAACCAAACACCTGCAGAGCACATACAAAATCTTTAATGAACAAAGATCAATTCAAACGTTCAGTGCGCCTCGAAAGTTGCAGGAGTCCCTAATGTGAAATGTTGGCCCTGCTAGCTTTTACATTCACAAGTCACGTCGTGCAAATTTCCATGGATATACCCTGGACTCAATCCCCCATCGCTCGTGTACAGCGCTGTCCAAGCCATGCAAGGTTTCTGAGGTGCACCCAGGGTCAGTGGTCCAAATATGAGCGGGCAGTGTTAATACCACTACCAGTGCATGATAATTTCAACTAACTGCCTAACAGAATCTTCGCAAACACTTCTAATCCACAGAATAATGCCACACCTGAATAACTGCGTCAAAACACTGTACAAAACGAATCACATCTAGAACCTAACCAAAATACACTTGTTACCTATCACTAAATAGTTGATAACACGTCACATGCTAACGGCTTCTAACCGATGTCTTTGTCACAAACAAGTCATGCTCAAGCCCCCTCCAGTCTGTCCAGAACTTGCTCTATGCGAAGCTTTTGTTTCCCTGCATCGCTCACTCCGGCTCTCAGCTTCTCTTGTCTTTTCCACGCTTAGCATTCAGTCGTCATGACTTCTCCCATGGCCAGTCCATGATGGTCTAACCTTGAGTTCGTGTCTGGGTCATTTCGTACAGACACGAGCGATCAGCATCAACATACCTTCTCGTGCCATAGGCTGAACTGGCACCTGCCATCCACGCAGCTTTAAATCTCAGGCTTTAAAACCTGTCCTACACTGCCCTGATTATTGATTTAAGAATCGACGCCATAGCACATCGTGCATACCCATAGATGCTCCGTCTCCCAGAGCAGATGTCTTGAGATGTAGATGCTAACTATTCCCATAGCACGCTGATTATACACACGTTGTTTTCTTCCTCTCATTGTCCCTCCTTGTTGAATCCACTCCTGATTCCTCATTCACACATTCTTCCAGTTTATAACATTGTTATTCCATCTAATCTCGTATCTTCTGTCAACAGTCGTTTATACGGCTCTGAAAGTGGTAAATACAGACGGTAATGACAGTTTTGTTTGATCACTCAGTTGATCATTAGCCCTCCACCAGCTCACAGCTAGACTTCTTGTCCTTCAGTTCTCATGCAGCTTTCACCAGGTCCTCACGTTTATTTATCGTTGGCACTAATTCTTTAGTTAACATATTTCTACCTGATTTTTTGTTTGTTTTTAATTACAGAGTGCAACCAGGTCTGTTCCGGACAACATTATGCGACCTGATTATGCCAACCATCCCACGGGTAATTTTTTTCTCATGACACAAATGTTATCTTGCGTTTGAAGTGTTGATATCACTCTTGCATGCTATTAAATACATATATACACTCATATCTGTCTGTTTATTTATCTATTTATATATACATAGTCCCTTACCTTGTACAGAATCCCTACTGTTTGAAACCACTTGACAGTTTCTGATAAGAGAGTGCATTTGTTGTAGTTTTTATCTAATGTACAAACCATTTGAATGTGTCTTTGTGGATATTTGTGTCTTTGTGGATATTTGTGTGTGTGTGTGTGTGTGTGTGTATATATATATATATGTGTGTGTGTTTTTTGTGACAGGTGTGTCGGAAAGTGAAAAACAAATCCGGGGGACAACAAACATACAAGTGCTCAGTGATGAGGACCAGGAAGCCATGCGAGTTGTGTGCAAGGTATAGGAGATTAATTTTGTTGTATTTTTATATTTAATAATTTTGCCTCATAAATGCTAAAAATAAAATGGTTATGAACCCGTAGGAATTTCATGGGGAAAAATAACAAACCATATTACACAGGTCACTAATAAATTCTGTAAAAATTGACATATCTAAAATGTCCAGCTTGTTTTCTCTTTGTATCCCTCTGTTTTACTTTCCCATAACTTTTCCTTTCCACATTGTGACCAAAGAAGTGTAAGTTATCTTTTCTTCATGTGGCTAATCAGATCTTATTGTGTGTTAATGTTTTTCAAAGCATCATCTTTACACTTTTTATATGTCCATAGGTTCTCATCATTTGTCTACAATACCAGACATCTGCAGCTGTTACATAATTTTTCACTCTCCACGATTCACTACGGTACATCAGAGTTGACTTTAAATAACTCTTAAGTACTTTCTCACTTTTGTCGACAGAGATGGATTACATACAATATTATTTATGCTGTAAAATGCTACTTTTGCTTGAATTATTCTACATTAAAATTGTTGAAAACATTATCCCTGGTCCTCCAGATTGAGGGTTGGAGGTGCAGTTATTCATACCTTTATAGAACCTCATTTCATCATGAAACAGATTTCTGAGCCTCAGTTTTGGATAGATTTAGATGGAAAGAAAGATTTGGGAGTCGCCAACTGGAAAAAAAAGAATTCCAATCATATTGATGATTCAACAGAATGTAGCTGTTGTATTTTCGGCACAAGGTACAACTGTTTTATCTTTGGCAAAATGTATCTGTTTGCTGAGTTATTGTGTTTAGCAGCATATAGATATTTAACTGGATTCTATTTTAAACTTCATTTTGTGTAGCTAACCCGTGAAATTCTGGATGTGGCAGCAGAGGCAACAAGTGTAGGGGTCACAACGGATGAGATCGACCAGGTGGTTCATGAGGTTTGTCATCATCATCGTCATCATCAGTCTGCATGATCTTTACATAAACATGGGTGTCGTCTCAGCGCAACTGAAAATCTCTTTATCTAGCCAATTCTCCAGCTCTGTGTGCTTTCATAGCCAAATGCATTGTAAGCGTCTAATATCCATATTCTTGGAGGTCTTCCTCTACCTTGTTTTCTGGAAACTTCCATCCAACGCTGTTTCCCCCCCCCCCCCCCTCCCCCACTTCACCATATTGTTTAACGTGGCCAAAATACCCCAACTTTTGGGACAGAATTCTGTTTACAACCCATTCTCCTTGGTGTTCAAACCATTAAAAAAAATGTAAAGTCGAGAGATGTGAACCAGCGTCATTGCACACGGTTATAAACCATAAGTGCTCTGCCATCAGTACAGAGAGCTGATAAGAAACTCCGCCTGTGTCGCCGTCCCCACAAAACTCTGTAGCTACAGCGGTGTTCCTCCATTTACCTCAGAGTTTTAACTCTAGTACCCATTTCCAAGAGGCTGGGTGAACCCAGGGAACTGTCCAGTTTCAAACACTAGCTGTGGGCTGCAGCGAATTGCAGCTGGTTTGAAAGTAAGTCTCATATCGTTCCCCTATAGTTTAAACCATCAGTGTTTTTTCTCATCTCGGTCCATGGTAGTCTAAGAATTTTTCTGTAACATTTCAGTTCAGAAGCTGAGATTTTTCCTTCAGTGATTGGTTCCATGACCCACTTCCAAAAGTTGCTACGGTAAAGATGCATGATCTCAAAATGTCTCTTTTATTTGAACTCACTTACAGGTGCCATGCCATAAGTTCTTCTGTGCATGACATCAAGCAAATCTTCTACTGACTTCTTCTGGGGCCGTGTTAGCGCAGTCGATAAGAGGCTTGCTTTCAAATCCAGCTGCGACTTGCTGCAGCCCACGGCTGGTGTTCAAAACCGGCCGGTTCCCGGGGTTCACCCAGCCTCTAGGAAATGGGTACCAGAGTTGACACTCTGGGGTAAATGGAGGAACGTCGCTGTAACTACAGAGTTACGTGCGAACGGCGACACAGGTGGACAATTCTTATCAGCTGTCCGTACTGGTGGCAGAGTACTTATGGTTTACAACCGTGTGCAATGACGCTGGTTCACATCTCCCGACTTTACCTTTTTTTTTTTAACTGACTTATTTTGTGCAGTTGCCATTGTTGTCCACTGTTGAGTCTAGATATTCAGATTCTGTTACATTTTCAATTTCCTCATTATAAATGTTAATATGTAGTTGGTATGCTGCTGTATTAACTGTTGACATTATGTTTATTGGGCTTGTGGCATTAATTAAATAGGTTCAAGTATTTCTCATTAGTTTTAACTGGTGCCAGTGAATGTTGAAGAACCACTAGAGACATGGAACGAAAGTTAAATGCATTGAAAACAAATGCCTGAAAGAAATGCAACCACTAGTATCAACAGTTTTGATACAGAGGAGATTGCACTATATTGAACACATTCTGAGAAGAGATGAACAGAGAATCACCAAACAGGCACTGGAATGGGAAATAGAGGTATTCAGGAAATGATGATGCCCACAAGAAGCCTTGAGTGAATGTAAATGAGAAAAGACACAAGTGCTAGATTGGATTCCATCCATGTTATTGAGTTGCGAGATTGGATTCCATCCATGATATTGAGTTGCTAGATTGGATTCCATCCATGATATTGAGTTGCTAGATTGGATTCCATCCATGATATTGAGTTGCTAGATTGGATTCCATCCATGACATTGAGTTGCTAGATTGGATTCCATCCATGATATTGAGTTGCTAGATTGGATTCCATCCATGATATTGAAGTAATTGTACAGGATAGAATGGGATGGAGAAATAGACTGCAAGATGTGACATGTAAATGGCACAACAGGACAGTGAATTTCCGGGGCCCCATTGTGGGGGAAAGCAGGAATAGAGCCAATGACTGCCCGAAAGCATGTCGCAAGAGTTGACTAATCGGGAGCTTCCTTTGAAGTTCGAGTACATCTGCCTGAGAGGCAAGGAACTAACAGTCTGCATGAAGATAACACGCAACACTCAGTTTCTGGAACAGGACTAGAGTCCAGAAGTGGACGAACAACTAGAAATTTCTTCTGGAGTTTGCAGCTGGTGAACGTGAAGAAGAAAGAAGAAGACTAACAGGTTTATAGTTTGGTAGGACACATGAGTAGTTTCTTCTTTTTCTGCTTAGCTCGCTGTCACCGAATGTAAACTCTGGTGGAAAGTACTGGTTGTTCGTCCACCTCTGGACTTTAGTCTTGTTCCAGAACTTGACTTTTGCATGCACATTTGTTTTACAGATCTGGCTTATATTTATGCAAACTGCTGGTTCCTCACCTCTCAGATGCATTCAGTCTTCAAGGGAAACATTACCAGCTAGTCACATGTTGCGACATGCTTTGGGGGGGGGGGGGGGAAGTGGGCTGGAGCCTATTCTTTTATTCCCTGCTGTCGCCCCCCCCACCCCCCCCCCCCCCCCCCCCCCCCCCAATACAATAGGGACCCGGAATCCACACTGGAAATATCTGATTTTATAAGCTTTATAAGCATCATATGCACTAAACACAAATGTTGACAATGGTCCTGAAATCTCATGCTCTAATTGTAGAGAACTTTTCTTAACACTGGCGGGTCTTGCTAGTCACACTTGCCATCGTCATGGGCTGTGAGTCGCCTCCGCATAGCGTAATATGGCACTATCGTCTGGAAAAATGCAAAGGTGCCAGTTAATCAAGCTGCTGAAAAAGTCACAGTTTGGCGGCTAAGACAATACAATGATCATATTACATAAAATAACAATTGTCCCACTGATACACGGCATATCTTTCAGTGTGAAGTGGTTGCTGTTTGCCTCACACCAATTGTGCAGTATATTATGACTAACTTTTGTCCAATTTATTGCAGCGGGAAAAGATTCTTTTGCATTTTATGTTGTTTTATTATAATAATTAAAAAAAAGGGTGCACAATCTCAAAAATGAAGATTAACTACAATATATTAACTGCTGTCTTCGGGAATATGATTTAATAAAATTTAAAAAATAAAAATATTGTTTGATAATATCAAAACTGAAATAACAAAAATTCTGAATTTATGCAAATTAATGTGGTTTTAGTCTTCATAAGGAATTGTCTGACACTGCAATTGCTTATGTTTAATGTACTTCACAGTTTTCTTGTGTAAAGTCATAGTTTTTTTGGCATTTCCATCAGGCAACAATTGACAGAGATTGCTATCCATCACCGCTGAACTATTTTGAATTCCCCAAGTCTTGTTGCACGTAAGTGTCTCATTATGTTGTTGTTGTTGGAGTTAGCTAGTAATAGTATGTCTGCTTCATATGAAACCAAGTAGTAAATAAGTGAAAGTTACCAGGTGAAAGGTGGCATGTCTGTTAATGTCCTTGACGTGTTTTTCTGGGAAAATGTGATAAAAGTAAATCTCAAAATGCACTTTGTGTTTTCTGCGATGCCCAGTTTGATTCCAGCTTCAGCCAATTTGCAGCGCCATTCTCCTCAGATGGTAATCTTCTGTTTGTGCCTCCGCACTGTTCACGGGCTCCCAAAGGGCCCTCGCAACATCTATCTTGGCATACACCAGTTCACTTCTAAGTGGTGCAGAACCGGCCAGTCTATCTGCCTGCTTGTTTCCCAATACACCAGCATAACCTGGAAAAATATCCAAAGGATGCTGACTGCCCGGGACCTCTAAAGCGATGCTTGCCAAATAAGACTTGCCACATGATAGATGCTTGCCACTCTGCCAGAGCATACCTGTCTCCACATTTTTCAACATACTGTGTTAGTCAGTTACACTTACATGTCTGTACAGCTGATTCTCAAGCCAGTGGTGACTGCCTCCACCTCCATTCTAAAACTAGATGTTGTGATATTCATATGTCAGGCTTTGTTGCACTAACCGATGTCCATTAGCTTTTACTATGAACCCTATGCAATTTGTCTTTCTCTCAGCACAGAGCCACCTGGGCGGGAATTATTGTCATGAATCATTTGATGAAATGGAAAGCAGAGAATAGTTACACTAAAGCCTGTCAAGAGACCCAATACCCCACTCCCCACCCAAGCAAGCAAGTCGTTAAAGTAAACTTATTAGGGATGTTTCTTTCACAGTTGGGTGCATCTGCCTAAGAGGCTAGGAATCGGTAGTCTGCATGCAAATAAGCTAAATCTGTACTGCGGCGGTGTACGCAGAAATGAAGTTCTAGAGCAAGACCAAATTCTAGAAATGGATGAACAACAAGAACTTTTCGCTGCAGTTTACAGTTGATGAACAAGAAAGAGTTCCAGCAAAGAATAGTTACACTGTAGCTTGTCGAATTTTTCCCTGACAGAAAAAAAGACCTTCTTAACCTGAGGAATCGTACCTGTGTCTTCTGCAATAGAGCCCAGCTGTCTTAACCATTAGGCCAACCGCATCTCTTTGAATTCATAGCCATATGGTATGGTGTCAGTACCAGCTGGTCTATCAGCCACTCTAACCAAATAGCCATGTAGTATGGTGTCAGTACCAGCTGGTCTATCAGCCACTCTAACCAAATAGCCATGTAGTATGGTTTCAGTACAAGCTGGTCTATCAGCCACTCTAACCAAATAGCCATGTAGTATGGTTTCAGTACAAGCTGGTCTATCAGCCACTCTAACCAAATAGCCATGTAGTATGGTTTCAGTACAAGCTGGTCTATCAGCCACTCTAACCAAATAGCCATGTAGTATGGTTTCAGTACAAGCTGGTCTATCAGCCACTCTAACCAAATAGCCATGTAGTATGGTGTCAGTACAAGCTGGTCTATCAGCCACTCTAACCAAATAGCCATGTAGTATGGTTTCAGTACAAGCTGGTCTATCAGCCACTCTAACCAAATAGCCATGTAGTATGGTGTCAGTACAAGCTGGTCTATCAGCCACTCTAACCAAATAGCCATGTAGTATGGTGTCAGTACCAGCTGGTTTATCAGCCATACTTAGCAAATGGCCATTAGATCTGTCTTTAAAAAAATCTAAACCATTGGTATGTTTCAGCTCAATCAACGAAGTCATTTGTCATGGAATTCCCGATGCCAGGCCTTTGCAGGACGGCGATATTATGAACGGTGAGCTTTTATACTCAGCTGATTTGTTGAAATTCTGCTTTTTCTTATGTTACTGAGTTTTTGTGTGATCAAGTCTTATGTTACTGAGTTGTGTGTGATCAAGTCTTATGTTACTGAGCTGTGTGTGATCAAGTCTTATGTTACTGAGCTGTGTGTGATCAAGTCTTATGTTACTGAGCTGTGTGTGATCAAGTCTTATGTTACTGAGCTATGTGTGATCAAGTCTTATGTTACTGAGCTGTGTATGATCCAGTCTTATGTTACTGAGCTGTGTGTGGTCAAGTCTTATGTTACTGAGCTGTGTGTGGTCAAGTCTTATGTTACTGAGCTGTGTATGATCCAGTCTTATGTTACTGAGCTGTGTGTGGTCAAGTCTTATGTTACTTACCTGTTTGAGATCAAATTTTATGTTATTGAGCTGCGTTTGGTCAAATTTTATGTAACTGAGCTGTGTGTTATGGAGTCTTATGTTTCTGAATTGTATGTGATCGTCTTATGTTATCGAGCTGTTTGTGATCAAGTCTTAAGTTACTGAGCTGTGTGTAATCAAGTCTTATGTTATTGTGCTGTATGTGATCATTGTTTGTGATTAAGTCTTATGCTATTGAACTGTGTGTGATCAAGTCTTATGTTACTGAGCTGTGTGTGGTCAAGTCTTATGTTATTGAGCTGTTTGTGATCACATCTTATGTAATTGATCTGTGTGTGATCAAGTTTTGTGTTACTGAGCTGTGTGTTTGGTCAAGTCTTATGTTATTGAGCTGTTTGTGATCACATCTTATGTAATTGATCTGTGTGTGATCAAGTTTTATGTTACTGAGCTGTGTGTGATCAAGTTTTATGTTACTGAGCTGTGTGTGATCAAGTCTTATGTTACTGAGCTGTGTGTGATCAAGTCTCATGTTACTGAGCTGTGTGTGATCAAGTCTTATGTTACTTACCTGCTTGAGATCAAGTTTTATGTTACTGAGCTGCGTTTGGTCAAATCTTATGTAACTGAGCTGTGTGTTATGGAGTCTTATGTTTCTGAATTGTATGTGATCGTCTTATGTTATCGAGCTGTTTGTGATCAAGTCTTAAGTTATTGAGCTGTGTGTAATCAAGTCTTATGTTTCTGAGCTGTTTGTGATCACATCTTATGTAATTGATCTGTGTGTGATCAAGTTTTATGTTACTGAGCTGTGTGTTTGGTCAAGTCTTATGTTATTGAGCTGTTTGTGATCACATCTTATGTAATTGATCTGTGTGTGATCAAGTTTTATGTTACTGAGCTGTGTGTGTTCAAGTATAAGTAAAGGGCATCTTCCTATGCCAAAGTGATATCAGATATATGATAAAGTAAAGGATCCTTTTCCTGTCAGTTGCATATCAGGCATAGCATGTGATTCATATTTTTTTTTCATAGACCAATCAGCACTTGATGGTTGAAGTGGTCAGCATCCTTCTGGCTGCCTTTGAGTCTTGGGACTTTACTTGGTATCCATTTAGGGCTGTTAAAAAAAAAATGAGGATTTGAATGCAAAACCTTCAGGCTAACACATGAGCATTTATCTGTTATGCCACCATGGCTCCCTGGGTAGATGGTGCTGGCTTTTTTTTAAAAGACAAATTTGAGCTTGTTGAATAACTTGTCAGCTGTAACCGGACTGCAAATACCTAAAGAAATTAGATGTTTTAGCTGAAAGGCATAAGTATTGCAGCCATGATTTAAGTGGGCAAAACACAATTAAATCATTTAATGAACACAGAAAAAGAGGAAAAAGAAGAAGAATGGCAATGTCACTATAATTTTTACCACCTTTACATCCCAGAATATTTCCTGATACTCTTTTTAGGCTGGATGAACTTAGTAGCCAAGGTTAATTTTTTTTCGGCAGCAAAAAATTCCATGCCATGATGTGTTGTGATGTCACCTGATAACAAATCTGATTTTTTTACAAATCTTTTGTTTCTTTAGTCGACATCTCTGCCTATCATAGAGGTTTCCATGGTGATGCTAATGAGACTTTCTTTGTTGGGAATGTGAGTGAAAATGCAAAAAAACTGGTCAAGACAACGTATGAGTGTCTCATGCTGGCAATTGATGAAGGTAAGTCAGTAATTGTCTTTTTCTTATTATTGCTCTTCTCTTTCTGCTTCTTATCTCTTATTTTCCTTCTGTATCTTCTTCTACATCTGCTTTTTCTCTTTTTTCTTTCTTCCTTCGTCTTTACCCCCCAGTGGTTCTTCAGCCCTGAATCAGCTTGCGCCAAGAGCTCTTATTTTTATAGACATTCCACTTGAATGAATTTTACAGCTAAAGTTTAATATATGTGAGTGTTGATCTTCTTCTTGTTTGTTTTTCATCTAGCTTTCATAATTGACCGTTTGTGCCAGCAGTGAACTGCTAGTCTGGCTAGAAACTGTTAGTCTTAGCACATTTGAGCTGCCTTATGTACTTTTACTCTTCTTGTGCAAGCTTCAAGATTTTTCTGGGACTGGCACAGGAGTGGAGCAGGTATGGAGTGGCCCATCTGCTGTGATGTTGAAACTTTGACTAACAACAAAAATATGTGATCTCTCTAAGTCGATGGCATTTATGGACATGTTTAGTGGTTTATTATCCTTTATAATCAGATGTAGTGAAAGTGTAACCTTTGATTTTGCAGTGAAACCTGGAGTGCGATACAGGGAGATTGGCAATGTGATACAGAAACATGCTCAGGCTAATGGATTCTCAGTTGTACGCAGCTACTGTGGTCATGGCATACATAGGTTAGTGCCCTTGATTGTGTTCGTGGATTTGACTTATAGAAAGCATACATTAACCCTTTTGCCACCTGAATGCTAACATAAAAAAGGGGAATTTCCCAGACAGATCACTGCAAAAGCTTTTGAATGCAAAGAATACAGAACATATAGTTAGATGAACTGTATAACTAAAATACTTCTCAAGATCATACAAGAAGGAATTAAAAAAAAAAAATAAATAATGAAGTGTCTGAGGAACAGTTTGGTTTCAGAAAAATAGTGGCTCTAGGAAAGCAATAATTTGTCTAAAAATGCTGCCTGAAAAATGTATAGAAATCCAGAAAAGTATTTATGCATGTTTCATAGATTACAAGAAAGCCTTTAAAAGGGTGCAACAAGAAAAGCTTATTGCATGCTTCCAAAATTTAGATTAGATGGAAAGGATATCAGAATTACTATTAACTTTTACTGGGAACAAATATTACCAGTTAGACATAAAAAGATTACCTCACCACAAATAGAGATAAAAAGAGGAGTAAGTCAGGGATGTGTGTTATCCCTTAGTCTGTACAACTTACATACAGAGAACATTTTTAAACAAGTTGAGGAATTGCCTGGACTGAGTATTAATGGAAGAGCAATGAACAATCTAAGATATGCGGATGACACAGTGCTACTAGCAGAAAGCGAGCAGAAGTTGCAAGAACTAGTGGATCAAGTCAACAGGCGTAGTACAGTGGATGGTTTAGACATTGACATTTTTAAAAAAAAAAGCAGTTTAGAAGAGCAGGTAATAGTAATCATCACAGTAAACAGAAAGCTATTAAAACAAATAACAAGTTACTCCTATCTAGGACACGTAGTAACAGATGATGGAAGAAGCGAAACAGAAATAAAAAACCAGAATAGGAATGGCTAATAATGACTACACAAACATGTACAAGTTACTGACAGCTAGAGAGAGATAAACAACACAATGAAAATAAGAATCGTCAGGTATTATGTATACTCAATCCTGCTATATGGTGCAAAAACTTGTACATTGAACAGAAGAATAGGTCATATTTCTTTGAAACAAAAACAGTCCAAAACAAAGGTTCCAGAAAGACTACAAATGAAAAGAGAATTACTAAAGGAAATAAAAAAGAGACAATTTAAATGTTTTGGCCACATTAAAACACATAACACGCTTTCAAAAACCATACTAGAGGGAAAGATTAAAGGCAAGAGAACAAGAGGTGGGCAATGATACAAGTCGGAGGACATCATCAAGAGATGGACAGGCAGCAGTTTCAGAGAGTGTACAGCCAGGATAAGAGACAAAGCATGTTGGAGATCTGTTGCAGCCGGCCTTCACTGCTGAGACACCACCTGATTGATTGATTCAAAAAATTTGTTTCAGCTTTCATTATCTTAACTTTTTAATTTGTTTCTTCGAAATATATAAAGGGATATTCAATAAACACAAACAGTATGAATCTGTAAAAAAGAATACATTATCCGGAGCAAAACAAACTAAATATCTCATGATTCATGTTTTGACATCTGGACCTCTATCACAGAGGCTAATGCAGAAATTTGACATCAACTTGGCTTTAAAAAGCCATTGGTGTAATAAAAAAAACCTTTCTAAAGGGTATTTTAAGTTAGCATACTCATATCCTAGCCCATTAAAGACTGTGCAGGCACACTTAAAACCAATGTAATTTAACTGCTTTCTGAGAATAGGTCACTTCAGACACGGCAATATATCAGCATTTACGGGACTGTATCACAGCCTGGTGACTAGATTAAGTGCTCTCGGAGTGACAGGGATCATACTTTTGTTTGCTAAATGACAGATGGAAAGTTTAAATTGATTCCTTTGTTGTAATAAATTTGTTTTATAGAAAAGAATAATGCATGCCTGGTTTCACTAAGAACCTTTGAAGCTATTATCACATTGAGCATCTGGTAATAGAACATATTTTTTTGAGAATCTTTCAATAGTATTTTAGTTCAAAGGCCCCTGTTTTAAAAACCAGAAAAAAAATTAGTTAATGTAACAATTGCCTGTGGCAGAAGTTAATTAGTTAGATAACTTTCACGGGACGTTGCAGAACTAACCCCAGCAGTATTTTACTGGATTCATTTTACATTTTCCGGCAAAGAAAGAGACTTACCTTGCCATTCATGCTCCTTTGTTGCAGGGGTCTTATGATATGGCTTGGTTTGGCGTTTGCTAGGTGTATAAAATGTTTGTGGGAGGTTGTGTTGTTGTGAGCGTACAAGTAAAAAGTACTGCAGAGGGAAGCGCCGCAGGCGCGATGATTCTTGAGTATCGAAACTGGGATGTTTTTGTATTTCTGTGTTCGTTGGCGGTGGCATTTGCCGGGGATACAGAAAGCACTTACAAGGAAGTAGGAATGGAAAAATGTTGCTGTTTCCATGGTGCCTCACCGGCGCACAGGTAGCAGAACGTGAAAATAATTACGCAGGTTAGCTATGAGAGGACAAGAAAAGAGAGAATGGTTAAAGCATTGAAAGTAAGGAAAACATGACACCCCTGCAACATAGGAGAGGTCCTGCGATTCGACGAGGCATGAATGGCTTGGGAAGTCACTCTCTTTCTGGGCCGGGAAACGTGAAATGAACCTTTTACTGTGTGTGTGATTTTGCTAGGCAATTTTATGTTTGGTAGTTTGCCATTGTTTCTGAACAGTTAGCATTTCATTTCACTGTTAAAAAAAACATGCAAAGCGGCAGAATTACAAAGCTTATTCACAATGCTGATTGTAACAGAAGAGAGTCTTGAAAAGTTTACCGTCACTGGACTACTCAGTAGAAGTATGATGCATTGCAGTGTGTTAACTGATGTTGATTTTTTTTGCTTAAGCGAATGATTAATATTTTGTATACATTAAGCTGGTGTTGTAATACAGTTAGTTGGTTAGTTGACAGATCTTTCTGATTGCACATCGGACCATTGAGTCCATAAGTGCTCGGATCCTCTTCTCAGTAAAACCCACAGCTTGTACTGTCTGGAGACACCAGTTCTTTGTTGGTTTCTTTTTTTCTTCTTTGATGTCCTGCAGAAAAACCTTGTCTGGCCACACCCCTTTTAACTTGTAATTGTTATGTTTACCCATATAGCAACAGAGATATGGAAAAGGTAGTTACTAAATGGGACAGATTTCACTACAATAGTTAATTAATTAACATTTTCTTGTTTCAGATTGTTTCACACCACCCCCAGTGTGCCACATTACGGAAGTAAGTTTATAATTTGGCATAATTTCATATCACTGGCACCTTGCCACAGTCACATAAGTTGTTGCTTAAGTCCAGGCTAAATCCTTGTTTTGAGAAAAATTATGTTTGAACATTGAGATCAGATGAAAACTGTGTAGTTGCTTCTTCTTTACGTCCTTTTTTACCACTATGGGTATCGAGGGAGATATAAGGTCCTGCTTCGTGCTCTTTTAGCTGCTTCAACCATAGACACAAGGTGGTGTTGTAGTTTCTCTGATGTTTCTTCCCTTATTGTTCTTGGTCTACCTCTTGCTCTAATCCCTCTCCTCTTTTGGTATATGCCTTGTATGGTAAAGCATCAGAAGGCATTCTCTCCAAGTGGGCAAACCATTTGATTTGCTGTCTTTGTGTGAAATTTAGAATTGGTTCTGTGCCGACTTCATCTCGTATGACCTCATTCCTAATTTGATCTCTTCTGATCACTCCTAGTCTTTCTCAGACACCTCATTTCTGTGGTTACTAATTTTCTTTTATGTTTTGTTGTGACTGACCATGTTTGGCGCTGGTAGCATAGGGTGGGAATGAATATGTTTTGTATGAGATGTCTCTTTGTGCTGATTGGGATTGCCTAATGCTGTAAGAGATTAAAACTGTTTAGCTGCTTAAAAAGTAATATTAAATTTTGACATATTAGGAGTAGAAATTTATATGTCTGCCTTTGGCATATTGAGAGGTGATGAATAGTAGCCCTGAAAATGTACTTGTGAAAATCACCAAAATTGTACTGATGTGATTTTGGCATAGTGCCAGTGAATGTGATGTTTAGAACATATTTTGATTACTCAATTAATACTTGTGAATCAAGAATCAGTGGTAGAGATGTGATCACATCAACTCTTCCACTTAAATAGCTTGTGTTCAGAGCACTCCTTATCTTTACCTTATGTGCTTAGTATTATTTCTGCTCTCTCTGAAAATGTGTAAATATAAATACACTGATTATGTAAATGCGTGAGGGATGTAACTCTATTACTTGGATTAGGGGTGGGTTGTGGGTGTCTGAAATGGAAAATAAAATCAGAGCCTGAAAATTTCCCGTAAACTGTTCTTTAAGAAAATGTTGGTCAGTAATAAACGTTTTAAACAACTAGGTACATTTAAAATTGTTTTAAATAGAAATATTTTAAAGGGAGTAAGCAGCAGGAACAGTGAGAAGAATTAAATGACTTTAGTCCCTTTGGCCCAAGACAAATAATTCATAATGTGACCCCAATTACGCAAGGCAAATAGGACAATTATGACATTATGACGAAAAATTCCAATTTTACCCACAATGACCTCGGCCCCCACCCCATCTCCCAGTTTGTTCTAATGCTATTTTCATAGATATAATCATACACTGTTTTTCTTATATAAATTGAATGTTCTTGTTACTGCCATTCAGAAAACAAAGCGATTGGAATTATGAAGCCTGGCCAGATTTTCACCATTGAGCCCATGATAAATGAAGGTAAAATAGAGATGGTGTTGTTCTGTGTTTAACCTGACATTCTTAGATCTCTGATTTGTTTAGCCTCTACTTTGCGTGCACTTATGTGTGAAAGGAAGAAATTATATGTATTGCAATGCATCAGCAGCTTTTAAAATCCAAAACAACATATGGAACTTAAAATTATAAAGTTTTAGAATGGAAATGCGTTTTCAATTCTAATGTTATTTCAATTTGAACATATGCCAGCTAAAGTAAGAGAACCATTAAAGACAAGGAACGAAAGTTAAATACTTTTGAAAACACATCCCTGAGGAAAAATAGTGTGATGAATTCAAGAGGAGTGAAGAAATAAAGAGAAATGTCTGGGCAACCATTAGAATCCACTGTTATAAGACAGAGAAGATGATGCAATATTGGAATAAACAGCAAAATATCAGACAGTCACTGAAATGGAAAATTGAAAGATTGAAAAAATGAAGACGTCCAAGAGATAGAAGAAAGCGCACATTGATGAGAGAAGCCAAAAGTATTAGACTGGATTCCATCTATGATATCCAAGTGATTGCGCAAGATAGAATGAAATTGGGGAATAGACTGGACAACAAGACAATGAACTGATATTATGTATTGAAAGTTATTGTGGATTGTTGCACACTGTAAAGGTTTTGAGTTATGATAATGGGTGAATGAACGATGAAGAGTTAATGGTAGTGGAGAGAGCAATGTGGGTGTATGGTCTTCAAAATTCAGGCATCATGGTGTATCCATAGATGACATTCCTTCCCACCAGTGTTTTGTACACCCAGGCTGTGATTGTATAGCATATCTGGTCTCACTCCTGGCTGTTCATCCACCTCTTGATGTTTTTTTTTACACTTCTTGTTTTGCTGTCTACCTCTTGCTCACCTGCCATCAACTGTTCTTTTAGAATACTTTTTGTGAGCATTGTGTCTTTCAGTGTGTTCGTTTTTTTTCTTTCTTTAGCTCTCTTTTCATTCCTGTACTCTCCATAACCTCAGTGTGACCTTCATTATTGATCTTTGCTGACTGACTGTTCAGGGTTAAAACTTCTACTTTGTTTTTGTTAGAGATCTGGATATGGCAGGTTGTTTCTTGTCTAGGAACCACTTCTTTGACGAAACAGAATGCTTGCATACAGAGCTACTTGTTGTGGTCTTTTTATCTGCTTTCACACTTAACAGGGCTGTTGGCACATTGCGTTGTGGCTTGAGGCTGGGTTGTAATATCTGCTCCTTTCAGCACAACATATCTAATTTCAGCTGAACCCTAATTAATTGACTTTTAGGACATGCTTGTCAGGGGACAGTAGGCCCCCCCCCCCCCCCCCCCCCCATTTTTCCCTTAAATGGAGCCCAGAACCTAAACAGGGGGAAATATGTTACAGGTATGCATTTATTTACTAATCAGATGTATCTCCTTGGTGTTTAGAAACACTACTATGTCTGCATGTTCTTAAACCTTCATCTTTTCTCCCAGCCTCATACATTGTCTTGATCCTTCATCTTTTTCCCCAGCCTCATCCATTGTCTTTATCCTTCATCTTTTCTCCCAGCCTCATACAATATCTTGATCCTTCATCTTTTCCCCCAGCCTCATGCATTGTCTTGATCCTTCATCTTTTCCACCAGCCTCATGCATTGTCTTGATCCTTCATCTTTTCCACCAGCCTCATACATTGTCTTGATCCTTCATAATTTCCTCCAGCCTCATGCATTGTCTTGATCCTTCATCTTTTCCCCCAGCCTCATGCATTGTCTTGATCCTTTATCTTTTCCCCCAGCCTCATGCATTGTCTTGATCCTTCATCTTTTCCACCAGCCTCATACATTATCTGGATCCTTCATCATTTCCCCCAGCCTCATGCATTGTCTTGATCCTTCATCATTTCCCCAGCCTCATACACTGTCTTGATCCTTCATCATTTCCACAAGCCTCATACATTGTCTTGATCCTTCATCATTACCACCAGCCTCATACATTGTCTTGATCCTTCATCTTTTCCACCAGCCTCATACATTGTCTTGATCCTTCATCATTTCCACAAGCCTCATACATTGTCTTGATCCTTCATCATTTCCACCAGCCTCATACATTGTCTTGATCCTTCATCTTTTCCACCAGCCTCATACATTGTCTTGATCCTTCATCATTTCCACCAGCCTCATGCATTGTCTTGATCCTTCATTATTTCCACCAGCCTCATGCATTGTCTTGATCCTTCATCTTTTCCACCAGCCTCATACATTATCTTGATCCTTCATCATTTCCACCAGCCTAATGCATTGTCTTGATCCTTCATCTTTTCCACCAGCCTCATGCATTGTCTTGATCCTTCATCTTTTCCCCCAGCCTCATGCATTGTCTTGATCCTTAATCATTTCCACCAGCCTCATGCATTGTCTTGACCTTTCATCATTTCCCCCAGCCTCATGCATTGTCTTGATCCTTCATCTTTTCCCCCAGCCTCATGCATTGTCTTGATCCTTCATCTTTTCCCCCAGCCTCATGCATTGTCTTGATCTTTCATCTTTTCCCCCAGCCTCATGCATTGTCTTGATCTTTCATCTTTTTCCCCAGCCTCATGCATTGTCTTGATCTTTCATCTTTTTCCCCAGCCTCATGCATTGTCTTGATCCTCCATCTTTTTCCCCCAGCCTCATGCATTGTATTGATCCTTCATCTTTTCCCCCAGCCTCATGCATTGTCTTGATCCTTCATCTTTTCCCCCAGCCTCATGCATTGTCTTGATCCTTCATCATTTCCCCAGCCTCATACACTGTCTTGATCCTTCATCATTTCCACCAGCCTCATACATTGTCTTGATCCTTCATCATTTCCACCAGCCTCATGCATTGTCTTGATCCTTCATCTTTTCCACCAGCCTCATACATTGTCTTGATCCTTCATCATTTCCACCAGCCTCATGCATTGTCTTGATCCTTCATCTTTACCACCAGCCTCATGCATTGTCTTGATCCTTCATCTTTTCCCCCAGCCTCATGCATTGTCTTGATCCTTCATTATTTCCACCAGCCTCATGCATTGTCTTGATCCTTCATCTTTTCCACCAGCCTCATACATTATCTTCATCCTTCATCATTTCCACCAGCCTCATGCATTGTCTTGATCCTTCATCTTTTCCACCAGCCTCATGCATTGTCTTGATCCTTCATCTTTTCCCCCAGCCTCATGCATTGTCTTGATCCTTAATCATTTCCACCAGCCTCATGCATTGTCTTGACCTTTCATCATTTCCCCCAGCCTCATGCATTGTCTTGATCCTTCATCTTTTCCCCCAGCCTCATTCATTGTCTTGATCCTTCATCTTTTCCCCCAGCCTCATGCATTGTCTTGATCTTTCATCTTTTTCCCCAGCCTCATGCATTGTCTTGATCTTTCATCTTTTTCCCCAGCCTCATGCATTGTCTTGATCCTTCATCTTTTTCCCCCAGCCTCATGCATTGTCTTGATCCTTCATCTTTTTCCCCCAGCCTCATGCATTGTCTTGATCCTTTATCTTTTCCCCCAGCCTCATGCATTGTCTTGATCCTTCATCTTTTTCCCCCAGCCTCTTGCATTGTCTTGATCCTTCATCTTTTTCCCCCAGCCTCATACATTGTCTTGATCCTTCATCTTTTCCACCAGCCTCATACATTGTCTTGATCCTTCATCATTTCCACAAGCCTCATACATTGTCTCGATCCTTCATCATTTCCACCAGCCTCATACATTGTCTTGATCCTTCATCTTTTCCACCAGCCTCATACATTGTCTTGATCCTTCATCATTTCCACCAGCCTCATGCATTGTCTTGATCCTTCATTATTTCCACCAGCCTCATGCATTGTCTTGATCCTTCATCTTTTCCACCAGCCTCATACATTATCTTGATCCTTCATCATTTCCACCAGCCTAATGCATTGTCTTGATCCTTCATCTTTTCCACCAGCCTCATGCATTGTCTTGTGATCCTTCATCTTTTCCCCCAGCCTCATGCATTGTCTTGATCCTTAATCATTTCCACCAGCCTCATGCATTGTCTTGACCTTTCATCATTTCCCCCAGCCTCATGCATTGTCTTGATCCTTCATCTTTTCCCCCAGCCTCATGCATTGTCTTGATCCTTCATCTTTTCCCCCAGCCTCATGCATTGTCTTGATCTTTCATCTTTTCCCCCAGCCTCATGCATTGTCTTGATCTTTCATCTTTTTCCCCAGCCTCATGCATTGTCTTGATCTTTCATCTTTTTCCCCAGCCTCATGCATTGTCTTGATCCTCCATCTTTTTCCCCCAGCCTCTTGCATTGTATTGATCCTTCATCTTTTCCCCCAGCCTCATGCATTGTCTTGATCCTTCATCTTTTCCCCCAGCCTCATGCATTGTCTTGATCCTTCATCATTTCCCCAGCCTCATACACTGTCTTGATCCTTCATCATTTCCACCAGCCTCATACATTGTCTTGATCCTTCATCATTTCCACCAGCCTCATGCATTGTCTTGATCCTTCATCTTTTCCACCAGCCTCATACATTGTCTTGATCCTTCATCATTTCCACCAGCCTCATGCATTGTCTTGATCCTTCATCTTTACCACCAGCCTCATGCATTGTCTTGATCCTTCATCTTTTCCCCCAGCCTCATGCATTGTCTTGATCCTTCATTATTTCCACCAGCCTTATGCATTGTCTTGATCCTTCATCTTTTCCACCAGCCTCATACATTATCTTCATCCTTCATCATTTCCACCAGCCTCATGCATTGTCTTGATCCTTCATCTTTTCCACCAGCCTCATGCATTGTCTTGATCCTTCATCTTTTCCCCCAGCCTCATGCATTGTCTTGATCCTTAATCATTTCCACCAGCCTCATGCATTGTCTTGACCTTTCATCATTTCCCCCAGCCTCATGCATTGTCTTGATCCTTCATCTTTTCCCCCAGCCTCATTCATTGTCTTGATCCTTCATCTTTTCCCCCAGCCTCATGCATTGTCTTGATCTTTCATCTTTTTCCCCAGCCTCATGCATTGTCTTGATCTTTCATCTTTTTCCCCAGCCTCATGCATTGTCTTGATCCTTCATCTTTTTCCCCCAGCCTCATGCATTGTCTTGATCCTTCATCTTTTTTCCCCCAGCCTCATGCATTGTCTTGATCCTTTATCTTTTCCCCCAGCCTCATGCATTGTCTTGATCCTTCATCTTTTTCCCCCAGCCTCTTGCATTGTCTTGATCCTTCATCTTTTTCCCCCAGCCTCATGCATTGTCTTGATCCTTCATCTTTTCCCCCCAGCCTCATGCATTGTCTTGATCTTTCATCTTTTTCCCCAGCCTTATGCATTGTCTTGATCCTTCATCTTTTCCCCCAGCCTCATGCATTGTCTTGATCCTTCATCTTTTCCCCCAGCCTCATGCATTGTCTTGATCCTTCATCTTTTCCCCCCAGCCTCATGCATTGTCTTGATCCTTCATCATTTCCACCAGCCTCATGCATTGTCTTGATCCTTCGTCATTTCCACCAGCCTCATGCATTGTCATGATCTTTCATCATTTCCACCAGCCTCATGCATTGTCATGATCTTTCATCATTTCCACCAGCCTCGTGCATTGTCTTGATCGTTCCTCATTTCCACCAGCCTGATGCATTGTCTTGATCGTTCCTCATTTCCACCAGCCTGATGCATTGTCATGATCTTTCATCATTTCCACCAGCCTGATGCATTGTCACATGTGTTAGGAAATAAACAGGCAGATCAACTGACTGGTTCTGCATCACTTGTAGATATATCGATGCATGACAGGCTAAATTAAATATGGTCATGGTCCTTTGGGAGTGAGCAGAGTGGAGGCACACATAAATAATCAGGGTCCGAAGAGAACGGTGCAGCTGGGGAGAGACCAGAGGATCTGACTGACACTTTGCACTCAGGTGTAAAGGTGATAGTATCGACTTCATTGCACCGGGTTTTATCCCATATGGCTCAGTCTCTTTCCACAGAATAGCTAGCTGTCTGCCGAGAGCATCACATCACCTCCATAGCTCTGGTGATGATTCCCAGTGATCTCCATAAAAATTGCACTCATGAACTGAACGATGCCGCCGTGAAATGAACCCACGACCTTCAGTGCGCAATGCAAACGGCATGACCACTTCGCCACAGAGAGACCCCCCCCCCCCTCCCAATGCTCAAAGGAAGGGCAAGAATGACTTACAATCAGACTGCCACATGTACTATCAGAACTGGGACTCTGCACTGGCTGCTGTAGATGGGGATGAAGCACTTATGGGAATGTCTCAGCTACCATGAAGTTGGTTCTCGACTAACTCAGCCTAAGTAAATAATAACAAGATATAAATATGATTTTGTTCCATTTGGCAGGTGTCTGGAGAGATGAACTGTGGCCAGATAACTGGACGGCAGTCACACAGGATGGGAAACTGTCTGCTCAGTTTGAGCACACTCTGTTGGTTACGGAAACTGGATGTGAGATCCTTACGAGACGTCGGGACAACAACGGCCTGCCACATTTTATGGATCACATGACGTGATACTCACGTATCTTCAGGCATGATTTCTGTGAATTATCTGCCACTGGTTTGTATGTATCATGTGACCCCTGCTTCTGTAAATCATGTGATTGTGTTCTCCATCGTCATGATTTCAGTTAGTCAGTTGATATATATAGCTCGTGTGACATAATTTATGAAAATCATGCAATGTTTCTTGTGACTGTGTGAAATTTGTTTTGTTGGCTGTGTATGCCTGGAGTTCACACTTTCATATATGCAGTTTTGGTCCTTGTTCTCCCCCAAAAATTGTTATTGATTTTTAGCCTCAGATTGTTTGTTTTTTTAAATTACAAAATTTTTTTTTCAAGTATCCGGATTATATATTTTCTTGCTTTATTTCAGTTAGTCTATTTAATTAAGTGTGTGTGTATTGTTTTTTCATCTTCAAGTTTCTGATTTTTCTTTTTGATTTTTTAAACCTGCAGCAAATAAAAAAGCTTTTGTGAACACCTTTATTCCCTTTGCTGAATAAAACTGGGTGGTGAGTCGAAGGGCAGCTGACCTAAACTTAGATATTACTGTAGTTGCGGTTCAGTAATGAATTGTTCATTTTCTGAGTGTTTCCACTTTTCTCACATTGAATTTGAAAATACCTTTAGGGTAACAGATAAATTGATGTAATTGTGTTGATAAAGAATTCTTGCACGCCATGTAGAACCACTGTTATCGTATGGCTTTCAGTCCTCGAGACTGAGTAAACAAGCCAAACCACTTCCTGAGGCCTCAGATGAAGCTTTACAGAAGAATGCTTAGAATTCATTGGGCAGCCAGAATGAGTAATCAGGTTGTTTGAAAAAGGCCAGATCCCGAAGAAAACTTATCACTTACAGAAGAGACAGCCATCAACTTTTGGCCACCTTATGATAGGAAAGAAGTTGGAACATGTGGCGACTATAAATGTTTGTTGCAAAAAAGGCCTTTTGTCATAACATGGAAGGGTGTCAGCCCCGTTACTAATACTGCTGTGCAGATGTGGAGAGGCATGATTGCTGAAGCCAGTCAGCGAGGTACTAGATGATGATACATTTTTACTTTTGAAAAATACAGATTAAAATGTATAGAAACTTGTTTTATTTTGTTTAAGTAAACTAACTTTAGATAATGCTCTAATCGCTTTCCGGTAATGAATTGTCCATTTTCTGTGAGAATTCTCACTCACTAAACTTTTTTTTTTTGTTGAAGAAAATTCAGCAGAAATAAATAAGCTTATTTAGTTTGTGCTTGTGAGAAAGAGAAAAAATAAGGAAACATGTGGACTATTATTTTTACCATGTGTTTTTTTTTTCTTTTCTCATTTCATTTTAAAAGTAGTTAATAGTTCTGTTTCTGCAATATTGTGAACATGGTAATTAGCCAGAAGTGGAAGATATTGGTGGGTTCATTTTATTCTGACATCCAACCAAAATGTGTCTTGTTGACATCCATTTTTAGATGTAAGCATTTGATATGCTGGGCCATTTTCATTCAAATCCGGGGACACTCTGGACACAAAAAAACCAAATCTGTAAAATTGGATGTGCTCACAAAACTTAAATTCTGGAACAAGACCATACTCCAGAAGTGGACAAACAACCAGAACTTTTTGCTAGAGTTTGCAGCCGGTGAACATTGAGAAAGAATAAGAGAGAGTGTTTATCTTAATAAGCTGCAACAGTTGGATGCAGAGTGTTACACCTGACTTTTGTTTTTTGATAACAAAAATGCTATGAAATGATGATTATGGATTATTGAACATCACTGCTGTATTGGCATGCCTACAGGTAACCTATCTGTGTGAATACAATGTGTCCCATACGTTTACATACATAGGGCAAATAAACACTTGTTATGAAAACCATTTTTATTTATATAATATGCTCTACGTGACTACCATTGTTTTGACGTGTGTTCTGCTTTAAAAATATCCCCCCCCCCCCCTTTCCCCTTAAAAAAATATAAGACTGCTTGAGTCATGCTTGTAATGGCATTGATACAACATCTGGTTTTGAAAATAGAGGTGGAGACAGTCACTACTGCCTTCCGCTGGATTGAGAATCAGCTGTAAACACATGTCATAATTGTAGCTGACTAGCAGAGTATGTTGAGATAGCTGGAGACAGGCATGCTCTGTGCAGAGTGGCAAGCATTGCTTCAGAGATTCCAGGTAGTTAGTGTCCTTTGGATATTTTCTCCTCGTCATGCTAGTGTTGGGTACCATCGGAATTGGAACTCTTTGCTTGCTGCTGAAGATGGGAACAGCACGCTTATGGGAATGTCCCGAGTGCTATGATGTCGATTTTTAATCAAACATTGGCATTGATAATACGTTTATTTGTGGTGTGTTTGAAAACTAATGGGACACCCTGTACATCACATAAATGGTAAGCCTATTCACTGATTAGTTTCTGAGGGTCATGAAGAGGACATGTGCAGGAGGCCCACATTTTTTCTTAGAGCACTGCTTCTCTAGGGAAGATTTTGAAGTGTCATCATGGAGCGAGTTAAACTGCTGTTTCATCACGCCTGTGGCTCAGCACATCTGATTTCAGCAAACATTTGATCCAGGCTGCTTTCCTTAGCTTTTGATGCCCCAGTTTGCAAGTCTCTTGAGAACTATCTTATCTATCTAATTTGCCCTAACTCGACAAGGGGACTTAACGTCCAGAAGTTTTATTGAACACTTTTGAGTTACAGTCCTTGCGGGTCACAGCTTTTTTGGGCTAGTTTTCATTTCCAGTGTTTATATGCATGTCAGGGGTTCAACTGGCCAGACAAGTAGATTTCTCTCGAGGCACTTCAGTTAAGTGATTTAGTGGATTCATCATCTTCATACTTTTAACACTGTCTATTCATGTAATGTGCTGATGAATGCTTTCTGACTGCACCATTCACTTGTCATTTATGTTAATGAAAATGTAAAATGAATCTTTCTACCCATCAAAGGTGCAAACAGTGGGGAATGAAGAGTGAGAAGCAAGAATGAAATTCATTATCTGTGTAAATCACCATTGATCACTGGCATCATGAGAGCTAATAGACTGAAATGGTTGTGGCATATTGAAAGAATGTCAGAAGACAGAGGGGTAAAAACTGTATACAAAAGGGAGCTGAATGGTCATATACCCAGAGGCAGTCTAAGAAGATGATGGAGAGATAATGTCCAAACAGACCTGCAAACACTTGATGTCACCAACTGGAAAGATAAGGCTAACCAGACAGATGAATGAAGGCGGGTGATATCTGCAGCAATGAACCTCAAGGGCTCGGAATGCTCAAGAAGAAGAAGAAAGCTGGCTAGTTCTACATTTTTGGGGGGTTTGATGTCTTTTCAGTCTACCTACATGGCAGCAGGTTCAGGTCTGTTTGTCGACTTATGACCCCCCGACCTATCCAGCATGAATTAGCAAATCAGTCAGATGCCATCTCCGCCATGAAGGTTGGCTGCAGTGGATCTTCAACACACTTAGACTTGTGTTTGCCCAACATTAGATATTATTCCTTCCACTTGTATCATTGTCTGCCTCTTGCCTTCAACTTTTCTCTCCATGGTTATGTCACAACCTGAAAGACCCTCCTCTACATCAAGAAGGAGGAGAAATCTCAAAGAGGATACAACAGCACTGAGGACATTCCAAAACAAGCAGTCCATCTCCAGCAGCCAGCGGAAAGTTTCAACTCCATTGGTGTCAGTAGTAGTCTGTTTATATATCCACCTTGCCTTTTTCCCTGAGTGTTGAGCGGCAGCCAGATCCTCGGTTCACTCCTCGCTGCCTCATTCTCTTCAGGCTGATGATCTGTTTGTGCTACCACGCTGTTCACTCATGCCCATGCTTTGGATACATCTGTTTACCACCAAGTGGTACAGAAGCAGTTTTGATGGATGTGATCTGGAGTTTGCTTTGGTGCTTTAGAGTAACAAATGGCAGAAAATTTAAGGCCCATTCGATAAAAGTCTTTTTCACATTCACTGGTTGTAAACTCCAGCAGAAAGCTCTGGGTGTTCGTCCACCTCCGGACTTTAGTCTTGTTCCAGAACCTGATTGCTGCATGCACATCCATTTCACAGATCTGGTTTATTTGTGTGCAGACTTGTGGTTCCTTGCCTCTCAGGCAGATGTACTCCGACTTCGAAGGATGTCCCCAGTTAATCAATTCCTATGACATACTTGTAGCAGAGTCTGTTCTTGTTTTCCCCACAATGAGGCTTTGGAACCCCCACAGGGATCAGTAAAAAGTTATCTGAATCGTCTAGGGTTGATTCTGAATAATGGTTTCTTCTCTTTATTCTCCCTGCCAACAGTTTTTAAATACAGGCCTCTGTGAAGGCTGTAATGCAACACATGTCCTCCACTGACCCATACAGCTTAGTTTTCAGTGGAATGCCAACTGGCCTGACCTGAGATCTTTCTTCTGCATGCAGACAGCACATCTTCAACACTTCTTTAGTGTGCTAGGGATGTGTTCACCTGGACCAAGCTCTGAGCACATCTGCATCACTTCTTCAGTGTGCTAGGGGTGTCTGTTCATCTAGGCCAAGCTCTGAGCACATCTGCAGCACTTCTTCAGTGCTAGGGTGCCTGGCCTACAAGGCCAAGCTCTGAGCACTTCTTCAGTGTGCTAGGGTGCCTGTTCACTTGGACCAAGCCCTGAGTCCCCAGTTTTAAAAATAGGATGTTTTCTATCCAGATAATACTGAAAATGGATGCATGCACACAATATATTACCAGGATACTTACATGATAGAGAGATACAGATGCTAGTGAAAGTTTTGGCTGGTCTGTTTAAAAAAAAAACAATTAAGTTTGAGTGGACATGCACACTCAGAGAGAGAGAGAAAAGATAAGTATGCAGATAGAAAATTGAAATATCACAAATCATAGTCATTGGTGATGTTCCTCCGTTCTACAGTTCTAGAGCCTACAGAATCATCTCTCTATCTATCTTTCTGCTTTGCCTATTGCTAATCTCTTTAGTTGTCAACAGTATTCTCTGGTGCCTCT